AGGGTGGATGTGAATACACCCCCTCCTTGTCGAGCAAAATGGATGCCCCGATGGCAGGCCATCAATTTAGCTGCGGAGGCCTCAGCTCCCATCATGATGACGATGATGATGTTTGTCTGTTGGTTTGTCTGGGCCAGCTCCTACCCCCTCCATCCCTCCACCCAATGTGTGCTACAATTTCCTTTCACTTGACTGACATCCAAAAGCTTCGTCCTCGCTCGCCCCACTCAAGGATTGTATAACATGTTGGCGAAAGGCAGAGCGCCGTTTTCTTTTTCATCCGCTCAGGTGAGGGGCGATGAGGTGGTTGTGCGGCGGGGGGGATGGTGTACTTCCACTTCCGGCGCACTGTCAGTCAGTGCATCCATGCTTGTATGTGTGTGCCATTTTTGCGCTTTCTCGCTTTACACTTGACTTGCCCCCCGACTCTTGGCTCAGCCAGTGGCAAAGTTTTAGCACCGCAACTTCAATTGACCTTTGCTTTCCTTTGCCAGCCATCCTCCTGCCCTCCCCACCCCCTCTGTTAATCCTCTCCTTGCTGCTGGCCCTGCCCTCCCTCTTCATCTCTGTCACCCAGTGACTTTCTTTCGTTTTAAGTTATTCACCAACACGTACGCTTTAGCGTCATCGTCATGCCCCAGCCATCAACATGATTTCCTCCTCCTGCCCCAGACCCACACCCACACCCTCCGCTCTACTAATTTCCACCCACACGTCCCTGGGCTGCTGCCCTGGCCGTTATGTCCTCTTAAACTCTTTGAGCCTGGGCGAGCTAATTGTCCTTATGTGACTTGGATGCGGTTATCTGGCCTGGGGAGGATTCACCTGCTGGACTAGGACTTTAAGGAATGAATGGCAGCCTTAGAGAATCTTAAATATGATTCAATATCCTTGTTATAGATACTTTTTCCGATACACCACCCATCTGGCATGCTGTAGCATACTTTCCAGCGCTCTCGTCCTTTTTCTCTGGTTTTTTGTGTGTCAGCTTTTATCGCTCGACTGCGGTCTGCACTTTATTGTTTTTCGGCAAGGACACAGCCAGGCAGCAACAACAACAAGGATGTGCAGGTGTGCAGAGCCGAACAAAGCGATACACAGGGCAGGCTCGCTGGGAGTAGAGTTCTTCTGCCAGGACTTTTCTTATCGCCAGGACTCGCCTGAATCTCAGGTGTCTTGACTGTGGCCTGTATTCGTGTCTGGGTGTCTCATGTGGCTAGTTTAGTTTTAAAAATAGTGCTTACTCTTTCGGGCCTTTCTGCCTTCCACCTTGCATCCTTCCTGTTTCCGGTGGTTGGGTTGGGTTGGGTTGGTTGCCTTCATTTCCTTTTAATTTTTTTTTGTGCAGCTTTTTAGCTTCGTATCTGTATCTGTATCTGTGCCAAGTGAAGCGCGCCCACGCTGCCTGGCCCCGTTTTATAGGTCAAACTTGCACTCTCTTCCACACCGCCCACTTTTCCGACCCATTTTCCCCTACTTTTCTGTAGCCAGTGGCTTCTCCACGCAGTCTGGTTATTCAATAGTTTGGCACTTCACTAATTGCATTGCCCTTATTGCAGTTACGCTCGAAATGTGCCAAAAAATATCCCAGCCGGGTAACTGGAAATACGTTATCAAACATTCACCAACAAATGTCCAACGAATTGGGGGATTAATTTTTCATTTTCTTTATTGGAAAATGATTCATTTTGCTGCGCGGTCACACATTTTCTCGGCAAAGGGATTTAAAACCAATTGGGGTTTTTCCTCGCGAATGAAACAAAAAAAAATACCAATCTGTATTACCCAAAGGCTGTATATCATATTCACTGGCGGGAGTACCTTGCATATTTTTGTGATTATTCTCGTATTCATCCCCATAGGGATGTTATATTCTGAAGGCTCTGCTGTACTGTCGTGTTTTTTAAATACCCAGTACTTGTAAAATGAAAGGGTATATCTGCTTAGCTACAAGGAATCATATAGGGAGAAGGAAACATATCTTAACCCTTGGTGTAGTTAAATATTCTGACTGTCTCTATAAAAGTCTGAAAAGTTATCATAAAAGTACTTGTAAAATGCAAAGATATATGGCGTTCCTGGGGATCTATATAAGAGGAGAAGGGAAACATACATATCTTCACCCATGTCGTAGAAATTTCTGTATAAAATCCTGAAAAGTTATCATAAGGGGATACAATGGGATATGGTGTTCCTAAGATTATATGTCACGGGGAGGCAAATAAAATAGGAAAAGGAAACAAACATTAACCCATGATGTAGCAATTTCGTCTTATTTATATAAAAACCATAGGATAGCCATAACCATAGTTTTTTGATGCCAAACTATTCCAAGGACCAATATATCTAGGATAAAATATCTAGAAAACAAAAGTCATCCATATCAGATAATTTTAAGAAAAGTAATGTAATGTAATTCTACTTCTCTAATGATTGAAGGGAGGGACTTTGTCTAAAACACTTAAAAGTAGCCGAGAAATTCTTTCTTTTATGTCCTACCTCCCCTATTTTACTATTTTAATTATTATATAGCTAGGTAATTTATGTAATAGGAAAAAGGAATCATTTTTTTTAACCCCAATAGAGAGCCTAAAGAGTTTTTTTTTTTAAATTTGAATAGAAAGACTAATATATACATATGTATCTAGATTCTAGAAATATATCCATCTAGATTCTGGAATATACATATATAATCAAATCTGGCTTTTTTTTAGAAGAGTTACATCTTAATAGAGAAGAGTACCGGGTATCATATAGTCTAAAAAACTCTTTCTTTTTTCTACTATTTCCCCCAAATGCCCACTAATTCAGATCATATCACACACAACACCCCCAACGCACCACAATCTGCAGCCGTAAACTCTTTTTTGCTCCTTGGTTGAAATAAAATTCTTTGGCGGTTCTCGTTTCGTTTCCATTGGCATTACTCGCGCAATTTTCGCACGTGGAATTTTGCAATATAGTTGAGGTGCCTCCGAACTGACTAACAGAGTGACTGACTGACTGACAGTTGGGCCTGCCTGAGAGTGGGTGGGGATTGTGTGAGAGTTTTGAGTTGGCTACTGCTACTGCTGCTGTTGATTAAATTCCATTGATAGCGCTGGCGTTGTCATGATGCGAGCAATATCTCCCTTGCTGACTCTGTGATTTTCCGGCTGACCTCAGTTGTTGTTGCTTTTGTTGCTGTTGCTGCCGCATCAGTGTTGCCATGGCCGATGTCAGGGGGGGAGGCCTTCGGTAATGAACATTTTAATAATTCAGTCAGACCTACTCTGTATTCTCTTTTTGTTCGCCATTTTTACTATCCCATCTCCTGGCATCATCCACCTCCCTATTATACAGCCTCGCTTAATTTTGTCATCAATTTTGCTAATGCCCGGGAATAAAGTTCTCAAAAATAATTTCATAATATTGTAAATAATTAAGAGCCGCACATCAATCATGAGCACTAGCTAACAGCCATCTCTCCCTCAGTGCGGAGGAGCAAGCTCATCATGAATCATGTCAGGGGCACTTAGCCATCGGCAAATCAGCTTTTGCCTCTAAATGTTGGCCACATCCGCCCAAGAGCCCAGAAAATCCATTCTGCTGGGCCAAAATATATATATTTTTGTATTCCACAGTCTCAGTGGCGCAATATATATCTATATCTATAACTATATCTATATCGTTTTGCCAACGTCATGCCGGACAAATGAAGAAAAAGATGTTGTTTTTCTTTTAAAAATTCTAAAAATATTCCAAAATATTGGCCATTTTTTTGTTGGAATGTGACGCGTTTTAATGAGCGGAAGATATATCTTTTCTTTTTGGATGGATATATATATTTTAGATTTAGTTTTAAATGTTTTCTATGCGAATTTATAGCCATGAACGTGTTTGCATTTATTGGTTCTGATATTTTTGATAATTTATTAGCTGAGATAGCGAGAAATGGGTCGAAACTAAAGCCATAATCACGTGTTGGCCAAAACACCGTCCAACGTTCATTAAACAGATACCTAATGGCACAAACATACCTATATGTAGTATCTTTAAATCGATCAGGCCACGTTTGGATGGGGAGATACAATTAAAATGCCTGGCATAGCACAGACAGAGCACCAAACACAAACAATTTTGACATTTTCATTGTTAATGAAAATTTAATTATGCTTTCATTGCTATGTGTGTGCCTCCCGTTGCCAATCGTATACGCCCGTATATCCGTCAGATTCATGGCGGTGGGGATATCTCACAGATAAGTTCTAGACCAGCAGTGGGCAATGGAGCGCGTCGGCCCATCATCGATACAGATACATATAGATAAAGATACACGAATAGTAGGAATATGGAACGTTAAGTGCCACTGTTGGCCAACAAACATGCGACGCCCGAAACATGCAAACACATCCATCTCTCTACTACCATCTGCTAGATATGTCACAAAATGTTTGACGAAGGCTGGAAAGAACTGGCATTAGTGCAGCTTTATAGATACTTGGGGGGTGGTCAGAAATAGTTATTGTATGAGTATAGTTATTTCCCTAGGTGTCTACCCCAAAAAAACAAAAAAAAACTTTCAAACCGTATTTGTTGACAAGGCAAGTTTATTGTTGCTGCTGCTACTACGACTGCTGCTGTTGTTAAAATTAAACTCTATGTGCTATTTAGTTGTCTCGCCGCCGCTTCTGAAGGTGAATTTATGGTGCACACATGGTGTTCGAGCCAACCAGCGACGACTACCTCTGCTAGTTTCCTCTGAGTATCTGTGTATCTTGTATCTGAATCTGTGTGTGTGTACTGGCCTGAGTTTTCCTCGTGTGACATATGTCGGCTGTGCCAGAAATAGATTCATTTCGAAATGTAGGGGGCAATTCTTTTATTTTTTTTTGCTTCTTCAGAGATTTAAATCTTTCTCTCTTCTCAACTGTGTGTTCTTTGTTTGGCTAGCCATGTGGCTGATTATTTTAATGGCTTATTAATGAGCACAACTAATTCTCGAATTAATTTTATTGCAGATTTCAACAAAAAAATCCCAAGGAATATATCCAAACTGTGTATACATGCTTGCTACAACCATCAAGCCAGTGATTGAAACTTCGATAGCCGCTACATCAGCCGCCTAATATCGCCATCCGATCTGAACCGATCCGATCCTTGAAAAAAAATCTCAATTAATCCGAACCCGGTCGATCCCAACGACCACGATAATAAGATTTCGGCCAGCGCGCACCCCATAACCCAGTAACAGCCTCAAGATTCTTCCCTTCGGAGCCGCCAACTTTCGTCTGGAGACGACACCACCAGAGATGCACAAGATTGCAGCCGCACCACCGCCGGCCGCAGCGCCAACTGGAGCGCTGGAGGCCCCACTGGCGGGACCCAAATATGGCACACTCATCCCCAACCGCATCTTTGTTGGCGGAATAAGGTGAGTATCTCTCTCCTCTAACTATTCTAAGAGAAATCAAACTAAAGTTAATCCCTCTTCTTAGTGGCGATACCACCGAGGCTGACTTGACTCGCGTCTTCAGTGCCTATGGAACTGTGAAGAGCACCAAGATCATCGTGGACCGCGCCGGCGTCAGCAAGGGCTATGGTTTCGTCACATTCGAAACGGAGCAGGAGGCACAAAGACTGCAGGCAGATGTAAGTACCACTCCACTGACCACCTTCCGTTGCTAATATCTCTCGCCTGTTGAAATGTTTTTTGCTGAAAAATATTTGATTCAGAAATGTCGCCAGTATTATGATTTTATAAAAATATTAGTGTAATCGACGGACTATTTGTATTGTGTAGAGAAACAAAAACAAAAAAATGTATAAATTGTACTCCGAATCTTTTAGGGTATTACCTGACCCATCACACACAAGTACTACTTCTACTCTACTACTACTACTACTACTACCGTGAGACGTCGGTGTTCCTTCTACTGAAAACTACTACCGATACCGATAACGATACCGATACTCTACCCCACATATGATCTTAAGATCGCCCATGGGCGTATGATATAATGTATACATATACGATGATCAGATGTACCGCCTTAGGTACGGACGGCACTTTGTTCTTTTATAAATTTCTTCTTATTGCGTTTTTGTTGAGTTTACGTTTCCGAGTTACGTTACATTTCCGTTGCGTTGCCATTACGTTACGTTACATTCGATTCCGTTGCGTTCCTTATATCGTTTCATTGCCAGAAACACAAAAACACCAACAAAAGATACTCACCCAGTTATATAACCCACATTAATACACACTCTCTCCCCCAAGCGTAGGCAGCCTTATATATATATTTCTTTGATCCCACACACCCACTCACCCACACACACACATCTATAAATCGTAAAGTTTGCCCGTTAAAGCTAAAAAATAAATGCAAACAATGTTGAGTTCGTTGCACTGTTTTTTTAATGCTCATTTTTTTAATGCAATCAATTAATTAAGAAAATCTTAGCAAATTTGCTCAGTTTTTTGGCTCCAGTTCTCCAGATGTTATAGACATGTTATAGCCAATATAGAACTACAATAGAGAAATACCTTAGTGCGTTGCCTTGTTGCCTTGAGTTTCAAGTTTCCAGTTTCCGTTTCCGTTTTGAGTTTCCCATTTCCGTTTCCGTTTTAAAGTGTAAAGTTGCATTGTTGGCACATCTTGTTTCTTTTTGGTTTTTGCCTAATTTGTTGATTACGAATCGAATTACGATTGTGTATTGCACATTTTTCCAATTGCGGAATCGAAACGAATTAATAATCAAGCTCAAGCAAGCGAGCAGCCAGTCAGTAAGTGCGCCGTAAAAGTTCCTAGGGAATATTAAGTTCAAAGTTGGTAGTCCAATCACTTGCTCCCCAGTGAGCCCCAGCTGGAGCAGCCCACGCTCAATCCTCACCTGTCGGCAGCTACCTGTGTTATGGATGCTACTGCTGAACTTTCCTTTATATAGTAGAGTCAAGATCTGGGCTGGGCTCTGGCCTTTCGGGCCATAAAAAGTTGCATCCAACCAACCTCTCCTCTCTCTCATTATAAAATGAACTTGGCGAGGCCATATTTTGTTTGGGCATACTAATTGATTATAATTATTGCATAACTGGCGTATAGACCTCCTCCTCCTCCGGTGGAGGTGAACTGATGCAACTTTTACCCATTTTCAGAGCCAGTAGTTCAGTTCTCAGGGCTATTCAGTGCTCTGTGGCATATTAAGTGAAAAACTTTTGCCGCCCCGTCATTAATATGCATTGTTGTCGTTCTGGTTCCCTGTTTGCTCTTGTTAGTAGAGTCTGGGACACGAGTGTCCTTGTTGAGAGAGAGAAAAGAACGACAGCAACTAAAAACTACAACTATATCAAGTATAATGCCCGCTGGCAGAACAAGGATAACAACGACCACACCACACCACTCACTCTCGCTCTTTGAAAAAGGCAAAAGCTAAAAAAACGGGCACAGCAGCAGTCACAAGGCATGCAACATCAACAACAACAACGATAAATACAACAATGGGCTTATGACGAGTCCTAGCAACGTTTAACGAAGTTTTAATTTACACAAAAACACACACACTTAGATCCCTGCTAAAAACAATAAAACCAGAGAGACACACATTACACTAATTAAATTTCATTTAGAAAAGTTACAGCATTTAGTTTTCGAGTTTCAGTTCCGACCACGAACTCATCAAAAGCCACAACATCAAATAAGCGTAGTGGTGTGTTAATCCCCAAAAAGGTTATCCCCCGGCCCGCGGCGCTATCCCCTATCCCTCACAAAATCTAAATCATATACTATATAGTTTCTAAATAAATCTCTACTAATTTTTGTGAATATGTTTTTATGAAAAAAAAGGCCGAAACAACTAATCCTAACCAACCATCACTCCCCTCTCCAACTCATACATGCATAATAACCCAACACAAATAAGAGCCATCTGTAAGGATTAGAGTAACGCACATATCCTTCTCTACCTTCTCGGAAAATAAATAAATATATATCCCATCCAGGACGAATTTGTCCAAGTGCATTACACTCAAGTAGGCAAGTCTTCAATTTTAAATCATTTTAGAGTGGACCAACAGAAGGGAGTCTGTTTTGTTGTCCTTTTTATGACTGTGTGTGGGTGTTTCAGTGAGTGTGTGTGTGAGCTTTACAAGCAACCGTGGCTAAAACAAAGGGGCCACCGTAAAAGCCAGCAACCAAAAGGATTCTTAATTAAATTCAGTCAAGAAAAGAAGTGGTTAAGGACAAGAGAGAGAGAACGGCTTGGCCTGTGGGCCATGGCCTGTAGGCCGTAGAGGAGTGGAGCAGAGCAGCTCCTTCTTGCCATACGTTTCATCTTTAGTTTACTTTCTCAACTGTTGGCCCTTTGTTATGGCCCTTATCCTTATGTCGCCGAGCCGACGAGGAAGCTCGAGGGCGGCCAACTCGAACATAAATGAAAAGAATGTTTGCCCGCCGGCGGTCAGAAAAGGATAGGCCGCGCGATGCTCAGGTTTTCCGTGACACCCCCTCCCCCATCCCACCTCCCACTCCGGCATCCTTTTCATTTCATTTTCCACAATTTTCTTCCTTTATTTTTTTTTTTTTGTAACGTCAAAGTAGCTGGATCTCCTTGGCCAGCAAACATTTGCTTAGGTTAATGGTTATTACCGCTGCCAGGAGACGGCAGGTCAGCAGCACTCGTCCTGTCTCTCAAGGAGTCGTCGTCGGTGCTTATCTGGGTGTCCTTTTCATGCATTTCATGCGCAAATCACAAGGGTATCAGCCGGGACTAATTGCCAATTAAAGATGAACTGGTCCGGGGGTCCGGCTGGCCAGAAGCCTGAAAGAAGCCTTTTCAGACCGTGTGCGTTAGTAGTTGGTATTAAATCTATGTAAATTGGCTGATTTATTGGGTCGAGGAGCTGCTAAATGCAATTTTAATGGGAAAGGGGATTACCAAAGGACTCATAGCAGGAAGGAAAAAGGACTCTCTAGATAATCTTGTTTGAAAGAAAAGGCGATTTGTAGAAAGTTTTCCGGGTAGAGGTTTCTATATTTCCTGTGACTTTATTTTTTTAAATATTTATTTAACTTGGTTTTTTTTGGTGTTTTTTCTTATTTATTATAGTTGTTTGTTTTTTGTATTAAAATTATTTCAATATTCATTTAATTGCAAACACGAGACGAGAGAAGAAACAAAACAAAATACAACCAAAAGCAAAGCTTTATTTCACAAAAATTGAATTTTGTTCTTTAATGCTTTTGTGCCATTTTCTGTTCTTTTTAATTTTTAAATGAGTTCATTATTCTGGTTAATGAATTTTTATGTTTTTGTTTGTTGATTAAAATAAACATGTTGATTTTTGTGCCGCTGAAAATTGAATTTATGAAACAAAACAACAAAAAAAATGGAGTTAAAACTGAACAACATTGTGGCGATAGAATTTTTTGCTTTGAAAGCCAATTAAAAAAATAAAACTATTTATGCAACATATGTACACGACGTTTTTGTAATAAACATTATTTTTTTAAATAAACATTCACACACACACACACACATATATACACCACTATATAATTACACCATATAATTTATATATATTTTATAAACAACTTTGGTAATGGTACTTTGGTAATTTTGCCTTGGCACGTGTTTCTCTCTCTCTTAGCCATGGCCGTGCCATAAAAAATAAGAACTGAACAACAAAAAAAAAATATTAAAACTTAAAAAAAAAGACAAATAAAAACAAAAGCGTTGCGAATTAATTTTTAAGTATTTTTGAGAATTTTTTGATGCTGCTGCGTTCGATTTGAATTTGAATTTCTTCGTTCGGCTTGTGTGTTTATAATGCAATAACTACGATTCTAATGCTCCACCATTTATGCTTTTTATCTTTTTTTTTCGATTGGAAACAGGGTGAATGCGTGGTATTGCGCGATCGCAAACTGAACATTGCACCGGCCATCAAAAAGCAGGTAAGTGTAGTCTAAACTTGGCTAAGAAAATCACCTGATAATCTCTCCTTTAAAGCCCAATCCTCTACAGTCGATTGTGGCCACCAATGGAGCTGTCTATTATACCACCACGCCGCCGGCACCCATCAGCAACATCCCCATGGATCAGTTCGCAGCCGCTGTATATCCGCCAGGTGAGTTTGGAAATTATTACCTACTATAATACACCATAATATCGCTTTCATCTCTAAGATTCACTTGGTTTTATTTATTGACATTTGTGTTTCTTTTCTTTCTTTGTAATTTCATAACTTTTCTACTTCTATTTGAACACCACACCACTACTACATCATCTTCACATCTTGAACAACTATGTACAACAACAACAACAACTACACCACAACCACCAACCAACCATCATCATTTGGGAATAAATTAACCAACCTAGTTACTGACTTTACAGCCGCTGGAGTGCCAGCCATCTACCCACCTTCAGCCATGCAATATCAGCCATTCTATCAGTACTACAGTGTGCCAATGGTGAGTTATTAAAATAATAAAAACTAATATATATAAACTAATAAAATATTAAATTATTTCAGAATGTACCCACCATTTGGCCTCAGAATTATCAAGGTGAGTTTTGAAAGCTTAATTAGTAGTATAGGCCCTTTTCTGGTCGTATTTTGTCGTCGTTTGTCGTAGCCTACACATATCGGTATTTGCTTTCTTTTCTTTCATTTTTTACTTGGCGCACCACCACCACCACCAACAACTACAACAACAACTACTACATCAACAACAACCACCACCATAAAAAAAAATAGGTTAAATCCAAAAAAAAAAATGATAAATAAAGTAAACAAATTTTCGTAGTCGCCAATTTTTCGTTGAGAGCTGCCCTGAATAATTAAAATATCATACCAACAACAACTGCAACAACTACAACAACTATCTGACAGATGCAGATGCGACAACAACAACAACTACTACTACTACTACTACAACTACAATAAAAACCATGCTTCCCCCCCTCAACTCTGATCGAAACTGCAGCAGCAGCCGCACTCTCCTAGTTTATAATTTTAGTTTCATTTTAAAATTAAGTTAATGCCTATGATTTATTGTAATTTATGCTAAGTTGGAGCTTTAGTTCATATTCTTTTTTTAATATGTATGTACTATATATGTAGAGCAACAAAAAAAAAAGATATGTACATGTATTTTAAATTAGTTTGAATGCCATGTCCACGTGCTAGTAGAAACAAAAAAGGGAGAACATTTTTTAAACTTCAGTTTTAATTCAGTTTTTAATTTTTTAGTTAATTTTTTTTAAAATAATTTCGGTTATGCTTGCTGTACATATAGCAGAGAATGATTTGTAAATAGTAGTAGAGTCTCGGCACACACCTGCTTGGAATACCATATACCACAAAAAATATCAAATATTATACAAAATTCATGGAAATATTCTCTCTCTCTATATATGAAATGGAAATTTTTCAATTATTTTGTAGGAATTTATCCATGTTAACTTTGAGGATGCAACAGCAACAGCAACAATATAGTGATGCTACAACTACTACTACAACAACAACATCAACAACAAAAGTAAACTACAACAACAACAAACAGCATAGAATTTATATAAACACACACACACATACCCACAAACATACAGACAAAAGTACACATCCCAGCTGCAATTTCGGAAATGTTTAGTCAAAGGAAAATCGTACAGGAAGGACACTCTCCCTCACACACACACACACACCAGCACGCACGCACACATCTGCAGTGACAAGGAAACCATTGCAAAATGCTGTAAAGTAAGCTGCTTATGTTATTAAAAGGTAGCACTGATGCTGCAGATGTTGCTGCTGTGGTGTGGGTGTGTAGAGGGGGTATTTGGTGGGCTGGAAACATTTATGATGTGCAATTAGCGGAGAGGATCGAGTAGGAGGACAAGGGGGGGGAGGGAGGGGTGAAGGTCTGAAAAGGACTATAAGGACAGTTTTGACAAACTGCAGTGAGTGTGGAAAGTCAGCAAGCGAAAGACAGAGAATAAATCGCATAAGAGAACACTTGAAAGAATATTTAAACTATATTATATACAAAAAAAACACGGAGATGCTAAATACATAACTGGATTATACAGAGGCAGCAGCAAACACACACACACACACTGAACAAGAGCATACTTATAAATAAATATTATAATATAGAGAATAACTGAGTAAATGGCATAAACCCACAACACACACACACACATACTATAATGGTAGCTAAGAGGAAAGCGGGGCAGCGATCGAAGATTAAAGACATAATATTATGCATAAATTAATTTATATACATATATACAGTACATATAAAGCGTAAAATTACTATAACTCGTAACTGTAAAACTGGTATACTGTTATACACAGCCACATACAGCGATACAAAGCAAAAAGATAAGAATATAAGCAAAGGAGACGACAAAGTCAAACTACACGCACACACGCAAACATTAAACACAACACACTGAACACTAAAACACACACATACGCACACTAACGAGTCCTGGTCAGAGAGTCAAGGATAATTTGTGAAAGATGTCCTTCACTCTCTGATCGGTATCCGGTAGAACGCTAGAAAACTAACTTGTAAGCCAAGCAAAAGAAAACTGAACGAAATTTTAGTCTAAAATGCAAGAATACTAAAGGAAAACGTAAAATTGATAAACCTAGTTACATAAGTCAAGCAAAAAGTGAACTAAAATTAAAAAAAAAAAAAAAATGAACTACAATAAAGATATTCAAAATATGCTAGCTAAACAAACAAAAAAATGCAAAAAACATACACACAACTCCCAATAAAATGTACACGGGAGGCATATATTAGAGAGACTATTAAAGGAAAGCTAAACTCAAAGCTCTAGCGAAAGGAAAATAGATAAAACTCAAGCAATACATAGACACTCATAGGTGTGTGTTACACAAGAATATATAGTTAAATATATACGAAAACAAAATAAAAAAAAGAATTAAAAGTAAAATAAAATAACAATTTAATAAACTAATGTACAACCAAAAAAAGCAAAAACAAAAATATGAAAAGAATCGAACTCTGCAAAAATGTTGATTTATTATTTCTGTTTTTCAACACAAAACACACACATGTACTTCAAAGATTTTTTTGTTGTATCTACTTATTGTTATGATGATGGCATCAAACTAATCAAAAACACGAGAACGAGAAACAAGCGAGATGTGTTAACCAAAATTATTTAATGAAATACAAATGCCAAGAGATACATTTGCGGGGGCAGCCACAAAATCGGGCCGGGCGACCCGGGCGACCGTCGAGCGAATTCCATTCAAAATTGGTGCATAATTTGGCTGAATATGAAGAATACCTTAGCGGAAAATTCAAAATAAAAATATTTATATATACGTATATGCCTTATTGAATGAAACAAAATTATTTGCCCACAAAATACTGTTATCGTATTGTAATTGAAAATAATAAACCAACCCAGAGGTTTCAAAAATACCTGCTAAAAAAAAAGACACACTGAAAACCGATAACCGATATCGCCGAGGTCGCCTGCCCAAAACCAAGAACTCGATCTGATGCTGCTGCCCGCCGCAAATGGCATTTCAAAGCGAAACTTGTTGACAAATTTTTACTAAATTGTTAAATAGTTAAATACAAAAAAACCTTTTTAAATCGAATTGTAACAATAATTAGAAATCACTCTTTGTTGAAACGAGAATAGCAAACAAAAAAAAACACAAAAAAAAGATGAAAATATTAATGGAATGGAAAGCAATAATTCAATAAGGCGTGCTCTAGTTAAAAACTAAAACTGAGGTCAAGTCGATGAAGCAACATAGAAACCACCAACCGAGAGTACTTACATTTATGTCAGTCAATAGGGATTTCATTTAGTTTGAAGATAAAAGGGGATGTATGTATATTCAATTAAGAGAGAGCCAGGGTTCTAAGTTTGAAAGAGGACAGAGAATCCAAATTGCTGGGAATATATTGGTTAGTAATACCCAATAGTGAGAGGAGGAATGTGGAGGTCAGGTCTAATTTTTGATATCAGTTTGATTCACTCACTCACTACTTTTTAGTCCCAACCATGCCCAGTTCCCAGCAATTTCCATCTTCCGCATCTACTCAACACTTAAAGATCAGATCATAACTAATAAATCCAAGGCATAACTTAAGTATATACGTGATATTTTGAAAAAGCGAAAATTCATAAATTGTTTAGGTTTAAAACAATATTAAATATATATTATACGGATATATACATATATACATTATAAAGATAATGCCAAGGCATAATTTAAACCATAATGATTAATTAAAGAATGAATGAACATTTTTGCTGACAAAAAAACAAAAAAAAAAATAAGAAATGAGAAAAAAAAAAGAAAATCGAGTAAAATGTTTGTAAACTCAATTTATTGTACGACTTGAATGATGCAGAGAGTAGAAAGGAGGTTCTTAAGTTTTTACTGAACAGCAAAGAGCAGAGAGCAGATTGTCCCATCGTAAAAATCTATTTAGTTTATATATAGTAAATATTTATATTATATATACATATATTAAAATGAACAAATGGCAAGTAACAAAGAAACCAACAAAAATGAGAAAATAGCAATTAGACGGAAGTGAACAAAAATTATATATATACAATACAATATATATCATAGCGCAAAGAATATATATATAAATATATATATATATATATATTTTAATGAAGAAACATCAACTGATTAAGTGCAGCTCAAGTAAGAGCACAAAATGTTTTTAGACTAAGTACCTACCTACCTAAATGAATTCAGCAATTACATAATATACAAGAGATAGACGAGATGCAGGAGTTTGTAAGAGAAGTAGTTTCTACTTCTATGGAGTCTAATTTGTATAATTATATATACAAGCATGTTATGATATAATATACCCCATGATCATCACAACAAAGTAATTGAAAACGAAACATATTTAATCACACCCACACACACGCATATACTATATATATATATATAGAAATCAGATGAGAAAAGAACGCATAAATAGCAATAACAATAAAGCAACAGCTACTTAATAATTTTAGCAAAATGCAAAACACAAAAAAAAAAACGATATGAACGAAAAAAAAAAGAACAAATTGCAAAACTATTTGGTTTTTCTTTATTTTTTGAGTCTAAGCTTTTTTAGTTTGGTATTCTAGCTTTTTTTTCAGTTAATCGTACCTCGATTACACCTATTCCTTCTCCCCTTTCTCAGATATGTAAATCACACCAAGCCCCATATATATTTTATACAGAAAACCATTCACCAATGCTGCACTCGCCATCGACGAACAACCACCCACAACACCAGCAACCACAGCCATCAAATGCCTGGCCGGAGGACCATCACCACCACAGTAACATCAACCTGACTGGGTGCATCATGCCCAGACTTTAAGCCCTCATCCGATTCTTGGGCGATAGGGCAGGGAGCAGGGAGTGGCTGTATGGCGGGGCTAGCTATATAGCACATAGGATACAAGAATATATATAGGACATAGGCGTGTAGGAGGAGAACAAAACAAGATAAACCCAGAACTCTACCAAGCAATTATCGTCGGACAGGTTTTATACGGGAAAAAGGGCTCGACTGGAGGAGAATCGGATGATGTTATTGGCTAAGAAGAACACGAAGAAGAAAAGTTTTGATCTTCATCAAAAAACATTTTACCACATTGATAGAACATCCCGATGGCGACGTCGCAACATAAAAAACCAAGAAAATCAAAACCCAAAAAAAGCAAAATGGTTTAGTTTTGATCAGTCAGTTGATCAGTTGTTTGTTATTACCGAACCATTTTCCCCCCAAAACCTTCACGCTTTCACCACCCCACCTCGGGGATATCGTTTTTTGTTCCTGACTTTAAAAAAAATGTTTATTCGTTTTTCGTTAACGTTTCGTTTGTAACAAGTTACGATTATGGGCAAGAAGAGTGTGTAAGCGAGTTGAGAGCGGATACAGAGGAACGAGAGGGACTACGATCGGCAAGCCATCTAGAGATCAACAAAATAGCAAATAAGCCACAAGACCCAACGTCGTTTCCCCATAACATTATGGGGACCATCAACACACCAAACGCCCATTGATTGATTCGCAAGAAACCAACCCTAGCATATCCAATACTTCTTCAAAATTGTTCAGTTATGAAAAAGACGATATACGACACCATCTTTAACCGGAGTATATACAAGCTTGCTGTCGCCCGATCCGAACTCTTGAGGTCTCCAGCCTGGAAGCCTGCCAAACCGCTATTACATCGCCCGATATACGTTATATTAGCATTGCAAAATGTTTCGGGTTCGATAGATTTCTTGGGGTGTTCCGATTCATAATATTTCCGATATTGTCTCGTTGACCTTGCAAAATTATCAATCTTCCCTATTCCAATGTTAGCTTTTGCCAATTTTATTTCGGCCCAACTATTGTCAAAATTCGGTTTAGTTATATGAGAAAGTGTATAGAATTTATTCCAAATTAATAATGTTTAGATTCAGAGTGTCCAATGTCATGTCTTGAAGATAATAAAAATGAGAGCCCGAAGCGAACATTATTTTGTTTTTATTTCCTTTTTTATTTGATTTTCTTTCATTTTCAGATTTTGGTAGCCATTTTTGGTAGCCATTTTGGTTTTAATTTCACGTTCACGTTCAAAACATGTAGCATACTTTTCAGGTGCGTTCCAGAGAAGTGGCAAACACCAGAGAGCAAAAGCAACGAATCTTTCAGTAGCATGGCAGTCGAAAAGCAAAAATCGTTAAGCAAATGATATAAAATAGTTAAATTAAACGGTTGTGTCAAATTAGCTATAATCTCAAATATCCAATCGGAGGAAGGCGGCAATTTATTAGGCCTAAACTTAATGAAAACAAAACTTGTCTAAACTCTAAATGTAGTTCAATTACAATTGGTTTGCTAAGCTCGCTCGTCTTTAACTCCTATCTCTCACTACCGTGTGTAAACTTTAATCTTCCCGAATGCGATCAAGAAACGTAATTATAAACTATATATATATATATATGAAGCATACAAATCATACACTTAGATGATGCGTCGTATGTGCGAAAGAAAAACAAAAATTATACATACATATGTAATGAAAATGTACAAGAACAATATCTCGATGGCGTCTTAAACACAAAATGAAAACGATAAATTAGTAATCAGATACCAAGTTAAAAATATTTCTAAAAAGGACGAGAAAAGCAAAACATTTTTACATAAGAAAATGCATTTTTTAACAAACGTCTACGTGTGAATTGAATAAACCTTGTATGTGTATACACGCATATATTATATACATTTTATTAAATATATATATATATATATATATATGTATATGTAAAGTCGAGCAGCAATTTTTTATAACAATAAGCGGCCCGATGGTGAAGCCATAGAGACACGGTGATGGAGACGAAAAATTGGAAAAGTCGGAAAAAGCTGACGGAGAAATATCCCGGAAAATCGACGCCTCAAAACGCGGTGAAAAGATCCACTTTGCTCCGTGTGCGCGCGTTTAAACGTTTTTTGAAGTAAAATTTAATTTACACAAGACTGACGCTAAAAATAACTAAAAAATATTAAAAGTGTACTAACCGTTTACGAATTTTTCAAATGCCGCACACGGAGCCTTTGCAGGTGAATGCCGAATGGCCGAATTCAAGTTTGGACGGTGGATTGTATGATTTGCTCGAAAGGACGAGGATGGGGCGCCGCTTTGTATATGGTTATATTATATTGTACTTAATAAATGAAAAACCTGAGATATATATTATATATATTTATATTTACAATAAAAAACAAAACAAAAAACAATTGTAAGAAAACGGTCATAATTTATAAACAATTAAATGAAGCAAAAAATTAATGGTAAATAACAAAATATACAGTGTTATTTTTATTTTTATGATATTGTACTTAAAATTAGTAACTAAAAAAAGGAAAATAATGGCGCAGCAATAATTAATAAATTAATTAGCAACCAGAACTAGGCAGAAAGAAAACCCCACAAGAAAATGTGATGAATATTGTATAAAGCGAATTAAAAATATATGTCCCATTATCCGAGAAGAGACATGAGAAATTAGTTTTGTGGGATTCAGCATTATTTTGAGGTATAATAGATGTATTAGGAAGTCGAGCCTAAAAATACAATAAACGTGCAACGAACTCTATTTCTAGATTAATCGAGGAATAACCTTAACCACACATAGGTGCATTACGTAGCCAGCTGAACCTTATAGATACATCATATGATATGTGGTATTCTACGATCTGCGCCCAGAATTGTTTGGATTATTGTTATATTTGGTAATTCGTTGGATCTTTAGTTCCTAAATAAGATATACCCCACCCCTTACCACCACCATTGTTTTGGATCATTGTCAGCAAAAGTATCTTTTCGAATTACTATTTCCAAAATATACATACGATATACAAAGCAATTTCTAGAGCGAGATCTCGATTTAGAGGCAAAAACATGGCAAATGGTGAAAAGCAAAATAACAACCCAAACATAATGGTTTTTCTATCAATGTTGAAAGCAAGTGTGTAGGAAATATTTAACCATATATACAACAAATATAAATTGTAGCTAAAATGGTTTCAAGTAAACGAAATTGTTGAGTATTTTTAGTCATGAGAGAATCGAATTAAACGTCAAACACACACACCAACCACACAAAACCACAAAAAAGAACATGAATTTATACAAATTTTTAAAAATTTTGCAATTCTCTAGGGTTTCTTTTTTGTCGCCATTTATTCGTCAAATATTTGCACAGAATTTCGTTTATTGCCTTCTGCTGACAAAAATGTCCATTAACTCCTTGAAATTCTTTAAGTTTTTCCCCAAAAAATCACCCAATCCTCCCCCACAAGAAAAAAGCCGAAATTCTGTTGCAAAATATACAGACATGTATACACACATGTGTATGTGTGTAATTATAAAAAATAAAATTAAATTAAAAATATATTGGTGCAAATTGCACATTGTGAGAATCTGTGCTGAAGCTGCTCCAGGATTAATTGTAATTGTGTGCGAGCCACGAAAGATACAAGATACACATGTAGAGTAAAGATACAGCTACCGATGCCGCGATTTAGATACCGATACACCTATGTTAAGCCAATTAAAGCGCCCAATGAATGTGCTGCTAGCCGAGGGATAGGAATACCGAAGTAAATACATAGCAATGATTAGCTGAAGAGAAAATACTAGACAAATTATACCTTTAGCTAAACGAAAAAGAAATAAAATACGAAAATTAAGAAAATGTATCCAAATTCTTCCGTAAATGAAAAAAAAACCACATTTCTAGCAAACAATTTACCATACATAAGAGTCTATATATACATTCATATAAACTATACTGTGCAGCATAAAAGTAGTCAAGAAAATACGTAAATCAGATGACACACAACACACACAGACACCTACAAAAGAAATACGAGGTATTACAGATCAAGAAAATGCAGCCCACTAACGAAAAAGATATCAGCAAGGAGATAACAGAGATTGTAGAGATTGGAGGGCATAGAAAAACAGGATATAGCTGGATAAGGATTAGCAGTAGCGATAGAAGATTGTAGGCGAAGCTAGAGAAGAACCCAACTGATCTCTACTGTGTTCTATGCTTTAGAAAGGACATAGGCATATTATTAAATAATTACAAAAAACCCAAGTATTACCATTTTGAGCTGCAATATTTTTTAATCAAAAAAACCCAGAAAAACCAGATAAACTTAACAAAAAATACAAAGATAATAATTAATATATATTTTTCTCTTTTGAGATAAACCAAACGAAACTGTTTTGACGAGAATTGAGTTAGGCAAACAAATAAACGAAGCTAAAATAACATAACATATTCCAAAAGAAAGTATCAAAAAACTGAAACCAAAGCTAGCTAAGGAAATGCACAAAGTTTTGTGTGTATTTTTTCGGTTTTTTATTCATATGTGTGTAAATCTTCCGTGTGCAAATAAAAAATAAATAAAAAATGGAAAAAAAAACAAGAAACCAAAACTACACTACACTACAAAAGCAAAGCCAGACACTAAGCCCAACTGAAATTGTCAAATATGAGTAAAAAAATATATAAAGTCTATATGAGTATATATTTAGATAACAATTATATTATATACATATATATTATATACATACATGTGTGCAAATTATTCAGATCCATCAAATTACGATGCGGAAAAACGGAAAAAGTCTCTATATATATTTAGTAAAATTATAACGAAAAGAAAAATGAATACGTAGTACAACGGCAAGCGAAATAAAAAGTATAAAGCAAAAACACATATACGAGAAAACACACACAAACACAAAAAAAAACATTCGAAAGAATAGCATAAAAAATAATTATTTATAAAGGCTGTAATTGTAAGTAAAAATCCCGATAAAAACGATCTATTTAAAATTAAAACTTAAAACCAAATTCAACATCAACATATTTCACCCACAAAACAAATTAAATTAATTAAAAACAAAACAAGAAAATCGAAAGAAAATCGCGAAAATATACTATAAAACATAAGTAAGAATGATATCTAAAAACAAATTAAAAACCTAAATGAAAATTACATAAAATAAATACATACAACAAAAAAGAAAGTAAAGCATAAACATAAAAACAAAAACTTATATATATACGAGAACTCAATGTATGTAATAAATATAAAACTAAATAAATAAAATATTAAAAATGGAATAAACCGAATCAATGAATGAGTATTATTTGTTATTCAGGGATTTATGTCATTGGCCATGTATGGAATGACGCATTCCCATTTGTATATAGTATATACATTTTCCTAGATCCCCTTTATTAAAGTGAAAAGTCGACAAATATTTGTATTTCTATTATCTACGCTCTAGAATGCATTTATTTAATCTTTGTTATATGTTTTCTATGCCAAGGTACATGAAAAATCGTAGCGCTGGCTTCATTTAGATTCGATTCGCTCGAGGCACTCAGCTCGACATTTATCGCCTCAGAAAATACTCGTTCTACTATACGCACTCGAAAAATATATATACAATAAAGTGCTCGAAAAAAAAATGAAGATTAGGAACATCTCAAGGCCGGAACTGAAGACATCCTTCCGGAATTCCGCAACTAGGCCTCCCTGCCGATGAAGCTGCGATTGTACTTCTGCAGCCGGACACTCTGGGGGGCCTTCTGGGAGCGATCAAATTCGCAGAACTTGTTGGTCTTCACCATCCGGGGATTGGGTCCGGCCGAGGTGCGCCAGTACACCGTCTGGACGGCATTCCGTCCGGCAATAAAGCGACTGGTGGCTCCTACCAAGTGATTGACCTTATTCGCAGCAGACATGTTTGATTTTTGCAGGTTTTATGTCGTTTTTTGGTTTTATTATCACAGTTGGGTTGCTTTTAATATAGAGTATGCTCTATATTTTGTTGAATTTTTCGGAATTTTTGCTCCGAACTCTGGTTGTTCAGCTCATTTGCGCGCACGATTCGTTTGTGTGTCCGCACTTCGCTCCGGATCCGGTATTTATAGCCGTCGGCACATGTCGGGTCGATTTCTTATCAGCGGTTTATACTGGTACATTATCTTCCAAGTAGTTTCGGCTTATCAGGCCCGTTCGGATGATGGCGGTGCCCAAAGGGTTGTTAATTGATTGCCTTATGGCCAGGTTATAATAATGCAACCTGCAGGCTGCGACGCATTTAATGCCAAAGGTTCTGCTCTCAACTTATTTAATGTTTACCTTCTGGCCAGATAGCCTTTGTCTAGACTGGTGGGTGTAACCAAATTATGATGTTTCCTTGCACTTCAAAGCTGAGGTCTCAAAGTCCAAAGACTAAAATCCAGACTGATGTGCGAATATTGCACAATTAAATAAATACTCATCAGACAATGACGTAAATCCTCATTAAGTGTATGTACAGTCTAACATCTGTCACTCAAACTCACTTAATTGAAATTAATATGCTATATATTTGTGGGTATAATGGGATTAAAATAGGTATAATTTCACTTTTGATTATAAACAAGATATATGACCCATACTTAATCATTCTCTTAGATTAGTGTCTCTTTTCTAAGATTATCACTTATCAAGTAAAAATATTTAATGCAGGTCAAGGGTTTCTTTATAAAGAATTTCGCCTGTAATTGACACATTTTTGAAAATATATACATAACTTGCTGGCTCATGACAGCGCCAGAGGTCGCATTAACCTATTTAGACACATCCTACTCGAACCGCTGATTATGCAGTCGGAGTCGGGTCTTAGATATGCTACAACTGTTTATTTCTTTTATAATAGTATCATGAGCTCTCAACGTGTGCCTACGGGTGGCTCTTATCAGGGGCGCTTGCCTATGACTTATTATTCTGAAAACAAAACGTCAAGCCTGCGCGGTCTCCGACTGCAATCAGGCATTGTTGTAAAATCCGGCAGAAAGTGTGCGATCGTGAAGTCGTTAAATAAACAATAACATTGGCAAAACAATAATAACAAAAAATTAAAGAACACCTGATGATCGCACTCCAAGTTCAAGTGCGATTCCGACTCAGCGGGGGCTGACCAATCTCGGGAACAATCGGGAGGCCCTTATCTATAACAGGCACGTTGTCTGGTAGTGCTCCAGAACCCCAATGCACTTCGTTTCGTCATGGCACTGAGAATTAATCATCGGGATCGTTGGGAATATTTTGGAAACTAAACTTTTCCACCCTCCCATTGTTTATTTTTTGTTGAGGGAATGTCCAGCAGAGGCTAGACATTTTATTTCGCGAACAAGTACTTAGTAGGTTTGTTTCTTTCCATCCGATAACAGGCCAGCCACTTTCTATACTTATCGCCGACAAAGAAACAACAAACCACATAAAGATAATATATTGCCAAAAAAAAATCGTTTATAAATAGAGCCATCGGCAGACTTTCGAACTTTGAGTGTCGAAATCGCGTGAATTGCGGCCTCGATCGAAGAAAAAATGGGGCTATCACCTGGATTTTATGGCCCTGATTGCGGGGGGTCCAACCCATTTTTCTAATGAAACGAAAATCCACCTGAATCCCCCACTGATTAGCAGACTCCAGTTGCCTAGGACTGATAAGATTAATGCAGATTTTTCGGCTAGAGCCGATTGTGTAAAAAAATGAAATGTTAATAACGTAATCAGCTTTAAGTGGCATTGGCATTGGCTTTTCAATGTGTGTGATTGTGTCAACGGTGCGTATGATTAATTTTGTAATAAACATTTTCGGCAGCTCGTTGGCGTTGCCTACTTTTGGGGATTTCTCACACCAACGAAAAGATTTTCTCAGAGAGCATTCTAAACCCTAATAGGGTAGCAACCAAATTATTATTTCCCCCCGATCGGGTAGAGATCCCAGCTAATTGAATTAAGCAAACATTTAACGCCTACAACTAGCTGACTTAAGTAATCCCCCTGTCTTTGGTCTAATTGGCTTTAATTGACAAGACGAGCAATTAAAGCGATGAAAGTACTTCACCATTTGGTTAGTTATGGGTAGTGCCCTCTCGGGGACTTTCGTCTGTATATTTTAAGTAGTCTTTACATGAATTAACATAATATGGCTGGACTCAATAATAAGCTGATTGGAGGCCGTCGGGATCACTGGCCCCGCCCCCATCCAGCCAGGCGGATGCCCAGAAAGAGGGTTACCAGGGCGAGGAAACTGCCACTCAGCTGACCACATCCATTGCACACCTTGCGGATGGTATCCGTGTAGAGTCCTCGTCGGGAGAGAAGGCTTCGGATGCTCCTCAGTTCCTGAAAAAAAATAAAATAATAAATTTAAAAAAAAAATTTCATTCCAATTAGTAATCTAACAGATTGGGGTTATCTATGACTAGATGCATGCGCATGTTATTTAAATATATAAAAAAATATTATTTCACCTTTGGCTTTAAAATTCTCAGATTTAAGATTGAATAAAATGCTCACGTAAGAGATTATTTGGAATCTGTTAGAGATTAGCTAATGATGCTTCTAATTTATTATAATAAAACAAACACTTTTTCTATGATACTGAACACGTTTCCTATTAAACTCAATAAAATTCTTATTCTGACTAGAATAAGGCCTCGTATTATGTTTCTCAGTGGTGATAACTTAAACCTTTTAATATAAAGCATATATCATACTCACATCTGAACTGAGACCCAGCCTATTCCGGGTCAGAACCACCGTGTAAATGGAACTCTTGACATCATTGCCGCAGAAGTTCAGTACCAGGTGATCGTTGACAGCCTTAACGACCTGGACAGTTCCCGTGAACTGGGTATAATAGTTCAGGGATGCCAGGGAGCCCCGCTGATCACCGATGTTGGACCACTTTCCCGGTGCACTTGTGCTGTAGTTGAAAGTGTACTCCAGGTTGTTGTCCCGCTCGCTCCAGACTAGGCGAAGGTACTTCTGCTGACCCTGGTTGTAGCGGGGATATTCCTCACTTCCCAGATAAGAGGGTGGCGTTGTAGTCCTTCCATAATTGTTTTGGTTGCGGTTGTAATTTTGGTTATCATAGCCACCGTAACCATCAATGCCATAGCGACGATTGTTCTGAGACAGAAGAACCTGCAAGAAGACCAATATTTAAAATAAATCTTTAAAACAAATATTATGAGAACTTACCTGGTCAGTGACATCTGCCAGGTGGATGATTACACATGAATCGTACTCGTAGACTCCGGGAAAATCTTGGGTGTGCACAATAATTTCGCTGCCGTACCAGAGGCCCATCATCTATATATGTACACACGTAAAAAAATACAGACCGGTCATTATTACACATCTATACAAACAGTATGGGGGTCATTTGTGCGATTTGCATGCCACTCGCTGTGCGTTCAATTAAATAAAATTGGAAAAAAAATATTTAGGACGACTGGGGTGCATGAACATCATTGACATTGGGCGCAAAGGGTTAATTAGCATAAATAAACCATAATTGCATTAGCCATAAGCGACCTCTTGGAATTTAAATAATTATTTAAACAAGCTAAGCTTTACAAAAAAAAAAAAGGGAAACAGATATATACATCTGAATCTTAGTATACTTTACCTGCTCCAAGTCCATCGAGTTCTGGGGATTAATGTCCATGCAGCGCATTTCGGAGTTACTCCTCTGGGTAGTGGACGAGGACACTCCAGTGTTATATCCATATTGATCCACTGCCGTGCCCGAGATAAGGCCAACACAGAGGCTGAAGATGGTCCAGCAAGTAAAGGATTTGCTTCGAAACATTTCGAGATACTTTGAATTGTGCTATCAGTAAGCTCGACTAAGCGGCGATCTGTTCCAGATGAAATCCCACGGCTGAATAACAGAGAATCACCACGGGTCCGAGTTAAACTGAGATCGGACCCAGAGAGATACGGAGATGGGGAAAATTTGAGAGATACTCGAACTAAATAGGAACCGCCCGTGTGCACTCTTTCACTCACAAATACACAAAAATACCAAATTGAAAGCCAACAGAGAGTCCTACACTGAAATAAATACATAATACATAAATAAGAAAGGCTTTCAAGAGGTCTAAAGTATATTTTGATAAAAGTTTCATTACCAAACTCTGTTAAAAAATAATAGTTTCAGGTTAATTTTCATGAATATCAAAATTTTAAATGTTTTCTTCAGTGTACTCTGGCAAATTGTTGTATTAATTAAGTTAATTGTAGCGCTTTCCATGCCGATCATCCAATCGCGCATGCAACGCCCGCACAATACTTCCCAGCCGCTCTCCGTCCCCATTTAACCCCTCCTCTTAACCCCTGGCAGCCCCACCCCGGCCTCCAGCCACAAATTGGTCCCCTTTGACCATTCGGCTTGGTGTCAATTGAGTGTTCTCCGGCCACAAAGCCAGCGAGAGGCCCAAAAAGCAATCAGGAGGAAAATGCGGACGTGGAAGCTGAGCATTTCGAGTTGAGTTCTCCAAAAATGTGGGGGGGATGAGTCGAAAAATAAAGCATTTCGGACTTGTGAATTAAATCATTGTCGCGGATCTTGTTTGTTGTGAGTGCTATTTGTTGTTGCTCCGGCTTAGGCCTGGGTTTGTTGTTGTCAGTTTTATTAGCATTGATTATGGATTTAATTAAGTTTCTCGTAAATGGAAAGAAATAGTTCAAAAGTTTGTTAAAAATGTACTTTACTTTATGTTTGAAAATATTTCTTAAAAATTATACATTTCTAATAGAAACTGTCTATTAAGTAGGTCATGTTTGATGAGGAACTAAAATCCTTTAGAGACGCTGCAGGCTTTCGTTGATTTTCTCGTAGATCCAATCGATATAGTGGTTGACCCGAACATAAACACCTGGTCGGTTCTTGTAGCCGCAATGGTGACCCCACGATATGATGCCATAAAGGGTCTCCCCATCTGAAACAGAAGAGGTTAATATAGAGATACAGCATACCTCCTATATTAAATATTTACCATTATTTGCACAAACCAGAGGACCACCTGAATCACCCTCACAGGCATCCGCACTCTCGTCCATGGAACCGGCACAGAACATGCCTGAAAAGTGTAAAGAGTATATGCGGGTTATTTCCTGTTAAAGCTAGATTCACAAGTATATTTCCACTGAGATCCATTGTTAAACGGTTCAGTAATCATAATAGATTCGTTTTCACACACCTTCTGTCATGGCTGAGCCGTAGACATTCGATTGTTGGCACACATGGTCGGCCAGAATGGGCAGGTCAGCTGAGCTCAAAACTTGAGAAGGGGCTGTAAGAAATTGCATTATAATGATGATGAAGTTGTTTACTACAGCTTAGTCAACTTACTAGAAATACCAGACTTAATGGAGCCCCAGCCAGAAATCGTACACATACGACTCTCGACTAGCTTTTCGTTCTTATCCGGCAGGCAGATGGGCTGCACGTAGTCACTGAATCTCAGGGGAGTCTTGAGCACTACCAGGGCAATGTCGTTGTTCATGCGAGAACCGTCCCGGAACTTCTCATGGATGTACCAGTGCTCGATGAACGTGTCCACCTCGGAGGACTCGGCAATGTTGGCATAATGATCACCCACGCGCACAAAGTAGGCGCCCTTCTTATTTCCGTAGAGACAATGGGCAGCAGTCAGGAGGTGGCGCTTGGAGATCACCACAGCGCCGCACCAGTGACTGGAGATGTGACCTCGTCCGCGAGTCCTAATGGTGGCCTGCCAGGGATGACGGCCCCTTTGAGCTGCGTGGCCCTTCACCACGCGCTCCTCCTCATGATGGGCGTACTCATCGACCAGGTCGTCCTTGAAGATTCCACATCGTCGCGGGGTATGCAGCGCCTTGCTGGATCTCTCCCAAAGGCCGATCTGGGAGAATGAACTCAAATCCTGCTTCCCACCCTTGATGGGGTTTTGGTAGAGATTCTGGGATCGTGGCGGAGGTCCAGCAGTGCAATGCAAGGCCACATCTTCGGTGTGGTTGCAATTGTGTTCACCCCAGTTCCAGTGATTGCACTTGTCGATGGAGGTTTCGTTGCCGTAGCACATCACCTGGTCCAACCAAATGGGTCCATTGCCATTGCCAAATATGTTTTTCTCAATTTTCTAAAAGATGCGAGGGACTTAGATCATATTATGAATATATACTTCATATTCCACTCACCGCTGGGCCATAGTAGCCCATAGAGTTGCAAGCAACCTGGGCATTCTTCACATTAAAGTCATCATCGCACACACTGCCCCAAACGCCATGGTACTTGACCTCCAGGCGGCCTTCATTGGAACTGCGACCTCCCTCCAAACGGTATTGAATGGAAGACTAAAATATATAGTAATATTTAATAATAGTATTTAAAATTAAAAACTTGTCCTCCTCTATGGATACAGACCTTGCAAACAGCATCGCACTCATCAGACTTGTCGGCACAGTCCACTGTATTATCGCAAACAAAGGCGGGCGGGATGCACTCCTTGGAGGCGTGGCAGAGCCAATAGTTGTTGGGACATTTCATTGCCGGAACCTTGCAGATGACTCCGGCCACCTCGTCGACGCCACAGTTGTGAACTCCCCAGCCCTTGAAGCTGCAATCCTTGAGGCTTGTTTCGTTGCCCTGGCATTCGATCTCATCCATCAGATAGTTGAAGTCCTGGCTGCTAGGGGCGTAGAAAGAGTTTCCACGAACTTCCAGGGCACCCATCTTAAAGCCCAGTTCCCGGCAGACAACATCCGCGTCCTTAAGGCCAAACTTGTCATCGCAAACAAAGCCCCACTGGCCGTTGGCTGGAAGAAAAGTGAAATTATTAAAGCCAAAACATGAAATAAGACTGCCAGCTCACCCTTGACTTCGATCCGGCCCATATGCGGACCCTCTCCACCAGTCAGTCTAACCTCGTAGTCCTTCGGAGGACAATTAGATTCATCCTTGCCATGGGGGCAATCTTTATGGCCATTGCAGACCTGCTCCTTCCTCAGGCACTTTCTGTTTCCGCAATCGAACTCGCACTCGTCAATCACATTGGAGCGCGAACCAATCTTGGGAGTAACTTCCTCTGCATTGGGGTTCTGATACAGCTCCCAGTCGTCTTCCTGGGTGGGGGCTTCATCCTTTACAGGAAAAGGATTCGGAAGCTCTGGATGACGACGATGGAAATCGGCACTGTGCTCATGGTGATGGGGATGGTGGTGGTTGTGGGAAAAAGGATTTTGGTGGGGCTTCGAGAACGGATCGGGAAGATTTGGATGGCGCCGGTGGTAGTCACGATTGTGACCGGACGCATGCCAATTGTGTTTCATTGTGGTTGTCGTTGTTGTCGTTTTGGGGGTGGTCGGGTTCTTGTCAACCTCCGCCTTGCGGGTGCTCCGGTGATAGTTTACCGAGGAGTAGGTAGTACTGGGTTTAATGGTCTGCTCGGTGCGGGCCGTCTCCCTGACATCTGGAAAAACATAGTCATCTTCAGTGGAGTCCAGGCTCTCCTGCTCCCCGGCTTTAATAAGTTCAACGTCTTCGTCCGGATCTGTTCTGGGTGTGGTTGTGGGGCGTTTGGTCGTAGTTGTGGTTGTCGTGGTGGAAGTAGTGTCAGTTGGGGGTCTACTGATGGCAGAAGCTAAGGCTGATTCGGCCTGCTTGGCCAGCTTGTCTTCAGCATTGCCGCTGTGATTGAAGTAGGGGCGAAGCATTAGCTTCAGAGCCTCCTTCATCGCCGATTGGGAATTGGGATCTGCTCCATACACTGATGGATTTGATTTTGGAGGGGTTTGCGGACGGTTCAATTGATGATTGAACGGAGGAGATTGTCTCTCAGTGGTTGTGGTTGTGAAGTCGTCGTCGTCATAAATGACATCATCTTCGGGATTAAAAGGATCTAAAGGCGGAGAGGGGGTGGTGCTTGTTGTGGGAACTTTAGCCCAAGAAGCGTTTCTGGAATGAGCAATACCTGCATAGGAAGGACTATAGTGAGGCTGACTGGGAGATTGTGGGGCATTCTTATCCACTGCCGGATAAATGGGGTACGTGTATAATCGATTACCTAACTTGGGCAAGGGTGTGGTGGTACTGGTAGTAGTGGGTGTGGAAGGAGGCGCCCTGGGCGGCAGCAGACCACCGTAGAGATTTGATTCCTCCACAGGGTGGGAAGGATTTTTTGAATCTGTAGGACTACTAGGGTGATCTAAGGGCTTGGCAGGAGTGGGGTTTGGGTTGTAAGGCTGCCACTTAGATTGAGGCTGGGAGCCTCTAGGCGACTGATCTGGATAATATCGCGGAGGTGATCCAGGAGGAGGTGTAGGAGCCTTTCCCGAATATGGCGTTGGCTCGTCAAAAGGCGTCTGCGGTTCATCGTAGTCCCAGTCGAGAGGTTTCTGTCCGATTGAGGGAGTTTGATTGTGTGGTTCCCTAGCCCCAGGGGAATTGGGATTGTAGTCAAGGCTTAAAGGTTTCTGGCCACCGAGAGGAGCAAGTGGCGGCATCGGTTGCCAGCCGTTTCCTGGCGAGCCGTAATCGATTCTGCGACTAAAGTTCTGACGCGACGGAAGCGGAGGTTGCTCCGGTTCGTTCTTCGGAACAGGCTGAGCGTAGTATACTTTTCCGGGATCGACAGGTGCCATTGGTGCTAGTGGTGTCTTATAGGTAGGATAATTACGATTCGGCTGCAAAGAGCCCTCAACATAGAGGACGTTCTGGGACGGATCACGGCGGGAATAGGAGGTCTCCTGGCCTGACCAGCCAACTTCCTGCGGGTTCTGGTAATGTGGATTCTGCTCCAAACCAATGCCAGATGGTCGCTGCATGTTCATGTCCCTCCAGCGATCGCCCTCGCCGATAACCCTGGTTGTGGTCGTAGTACGAGTCGTGTAGCGATTTCCGAACTGATCCCGGCCAGGCGTCTCGTACGACTTGGACTGGCGATTGTCTGAAAGCAGAAAGGAACAAAACTTAAAAAGAGCACAATGTCTACCGTGTGTTAGTAACCATTAGTGGGATCTGTCCAACCGATAGCCTCTTCCCCCCGGACCAGATAGTCGGAGCGATCGTAGCTGGCCAGTTTATCGTCCAGCACGCACAACCTCCGCGAAACACTGAAAACCTGCTGGCTGGGACAGTCAAAGATCTCCGCCCGACCAGGCTCGCAGTGAAGGTATTTGCTGGGAGTCCGGGGATGGGGCAGAGTTCCAGTGATTCCTTCTGGACATGCGGGTACGGCGCTCTCAAGCTTCATCTTCTGCGTCCAGTCGTAGACGATGTAGAGCTCCTCAAGCGTATACAGGCGATCTGTTCGCTGCACCTGACCCTTGGGAAGGCAAACTCCCTGTGAAAGACTGAAATGCTCTTCCGGAGAGCAACGCTTCAGGATCATCCCAGTAGTACTGCAGCTGAGAAACTGGGAGCAGTCGAAGGGGTAAACAAAGAAACCCACGTTCGGACAGCTAACCACTGAAAGATTTGAGAGATCGGGTTTAGATATCGCGGAAGTTCCAGGCAACCCCCAACTCACTTGTCTCCTGCTCATTTTCTTTCTTCACGAACGGAATGCGATCGGTCGAGGCAACATGCTGCTCTGGCAGGCAGTATCCTTTCGAGACACTAAACACATCCAGAGCATCACACTTCCTTACCAGAGTATGACCCTCGATGCAGGTCAGATAGCTCTTGGCATCAAAGGGATTTGGAAATAGTCCGCTCACGCGTTCCGGGCACATCAAGGGTGTAGGAGGCGCTTGATAATAGAAGGGGGAGCCTGGCCCATTATTAGCATAAGATGCTCCACCGGATTGCGAAATCTGTTGGTATCCTCCAGCCGCTTGCGGAGGCTGATATCCTCCCTTAACTTGAGCTGGCGGCTGATATATTTGCCCTCCTTGAGATTGGTAGTTTCCTTGATAACCTCCAAGAGTTTGGGAGCTACTTCCTTGGTAACCTCCAGACGTTGGAGAGGTGCTTCCTTGATAGCCTCCTGTTGATTGAGAGTTGCTTCCTTGGTAGCCTCCGGATGATGGAGAGTTGCTTCCTTGGTAGCCTCCGGTTGAATGAGAGGGAACTCCTGGATAGGCCCCAGGAGTTTGAGAGCTGCTACCATAGTACGGTCCAGAATAGTGCGAATCACCGCCATAACCTCCTGAAGATGGTGAAGAACCTCCTTGGTAGCCTCCCAAATATTGAGAAGAACTTTCTTGATAGCCTTTACCAGTTTGAGGAGACCCTCCATGGTAGGCTGCAGTATGTTGGAAAGTTGGAGAATTAACTCCTCGGCTGTCCCCTGGGTATTGAGAATGTCCGCCTTGATGAGCTCCCGAAGGTCCTCCTGGGTATGAAGAAGCACCTCCTTGGTAGCTACTAGAAGTTTGAGGGCTACCTCCAGTATGGGCTCCCGAATATGGAGAGCCACCGCTTGGGTAAGCCCCTGGATATTGAGAATAGCCACCTTTGACGCCTGTAGGTAATTGAGAAGAACCTCCCGGGTAACCGCCAGACGATTGAGGGCCCGGATATTGGTAACCTCCTTGGGAACTGGGATAATTTTGTGTGGGGTATCCTCCGTTGGACTGTAAAGCTTCAGCTGGCGGCCCCGTGGGCTGATATCCTCCATGTTGATGGTCGGGCGATAAAGCTCTACCCTGGCCATATTCTTCATTCTCATCTGCTTCCTGGCTCAACTCGTGCTGCGTTCCACTCAGGTACTCCACGCGATCGTAGGATTCTGTAACCTGATCCCTGGGCACGCACTTCTGTTGGGATATGCTGAAAACCTGGCCCTGATCGCAGCTACCAGTTTGTGTTTGTCCATCCCAACAAATCAGATACTTGGTGCAATCAAACGGATGGAGATAGTAGCCCTTAGCGTTGGGAGGACAGGTTAATGTGGTGAGATCCTGCATAAAGTCAGCTGCGAAAGAAAAAGACAACCTACTACCGGCACATAGGATAATCGTGAAGGAGCTTACTCGAGAACTGAACACTGATATAGGCATGGTCCAAGTAGTCATGGGCGGAGAGGAGATGCCTGGCCACACACTGGCGCTTGGACAAACTGTACAGTTCGGAAACTGGACAGCAAACGACCTGCAGAAGTCCATTCTGGCAATTCACATAGTGGCCGGCATGGAAGGGATATGGATAGTTGCCCTGCAGATTGGCTGGACAGCCCCTGATCGCAGACTGATGGTCTTGGGTATCCTTGTACGTGTAGGTTGTAGTCGTCGTAGTTTGCAGCTCTGCCCAGAACTTGACCCGATCCCCAAGAGCCACTTGGCGCGCCGGTCTACAACCTTTTTGGCTCAAACTGAAGGCCATTTGGGAGTCACAGGGCAGAACAGACAGTTTCCCAGCGGTACACTTGACATATTTGGCAGCATCGTAGGGATACAGATGAAGGCCGTCCGTACCATCCGGGCAGGCAGAAAGGATCATGGCTGATGAATCGAATATTGTGAAATCTAGAGACTTGATTGACTCCAAGGCAGAAAACTTACTCTGTTCGATGCTAATTTGGGAGACTATGTACGTAACGTAGTCGGAGTATACCAATTGATCCTTTGGCTGACAGGTGGCCCTCGATATGCTGAATACATAGCCGGGATTACACCTTTGAACAGCCAACTTGGCTGCCTTACAATTGAGGAAACTAGTCTGATCGAAGGGATGAATGAAATACCCATCAACTCCCACAGGACAGAGAAGATCTGACGAGTGCTGCTGGGCGGCTGGGGATGGGTTATCTGGGAAAGGGTATGGAAGATGAATCTTAACCGTATCTAACAAGCAACGTATGGATAGCATGATGAACTTCAAGGCCAAGGTGAGAAAGCAGAATGATCTATAAAGCTAATCCATTCTATATCCGACTTACTGAACGTCTCATAATTGGGATTTGTTGGAGGACTTTGATGAACCGGAGGATGTGCCACTGGAGTGGGGCCTGTTGCGAAGCTCCTGCCCGTGCAATCAACTTTGTTGGCAAAATCGCAGTTCCCGATAGCCGTGCTGAAAGCAGTGCCTGGTCCACAATTTTTAATGAAGGTTTGTCCATTTGCACACTCCAAAAACTTGGTGCAATCGAATGGATGAGCATGGAGTCCACTAGCGGCTGGAGGACATTTAATGTCTCCTTCCCCATCTAGGCTCTTGCCATGTCCTCGATTTCCTTCTACAGCAACACTCTGGACAATAGTCGTCTCGAAGTAATAAGACACAAGATCATAGGGTTCTATTACTTGTTCCTTGGGCTCACATCGTTGCTGGGATATTCTGAAGACCTCTCCTTGGGGACACTCTTCGATGTATGTCTGCTGATTCGAGCACCTGACATACCGCGTGCAGTCGAAGGGATGTAAGTACAGTCCCTTACTATCAGGAGGACAAGTCACGGTCGACACATCCACCAGGAACTCAGCTGCAAATTAAACATTTTTGTTTTTCCTCGAAAAATTTGGGAATTCAGATTCTTCAGAATGCTTACTCGAAAACTGGACACTGATGTAGGAGTAATCCAAATAATCATGTGCGGAGAGAAGGTGCCGAGCTACGCACTGGCGTTTCGAAAGACTATAAAGCGTTCCAGAAGGACAACACACTACCTCCAGGACTCCATTGAGGCATTTTATGAAGTGACCCGCATGGAAGGGATACGGGTAGTTGCCCTGCAGTTTGGCCGGACACGACTTAAGAGCAAACAACTGATTTGTTATTTGATTTTGACTTTGTGCGCCTTCATTGAAATACGTGGTTTCAACCTGAATTTCTTCCCAGAACTTGACACGATCGCCTCTGCCGATTTGTAGGCGCGGGAGACAAGATTTCTGAGACAGGCTGAAGGCAGTTTGGGGGGCACAGTTGAGAATGGACAATTGTCCATCATCTGAGCATTTAAGGTACTTCCCAGCATCGTAGGGATACAGGTGCAAGCCATAGATGCTGGCAGGGCAAGTATTTAAGCTCAGGGCTATGAAAACTCAATTAGATTCACCTGTGCATCGAAAATAATCCAGTAACTTACAGTAGTCGAAGCCAATCTGTGTTATAATCAAAGTCACATAATCGCTTTGAAGTAATTGCGTCTTTAAGTGACAGTACCCTCTCGATATACTGAACACAAAGCTAGGCTGGCAGCTCTGAATGGCCAACTTGCCGTCCTTGCAATGAAGGAACTTGGTCTGATCGAAGGGGTAAGCGAACAGGCCAACTGCCCCCACAGGACACAGAAGATTGTTGGCCTGAGCTCCGGCTGAGGTCAAGGCGTTGGCTGGTGCGAAGAAAAGGATTAGATTAACAGGATCATAGGTCTATATATAATGCAGAAATAAAGCAAATAGCAGGCAAGCATGAACCGCAGGCGATAAGGATAATAAACCCAAGATGGAGAAGCACATGAACCAGGCAAGGCAAAGCAGTTGGGAAAATAAAATGAAACTTACAGGAGGTCTGGGAGGGGCCTGAAAAAACACATACCAAACTGAAGCCATCAAAGATCTGTCCCTGAGGACACGGCTCTACTTGGGGCTGAACACCGATACCGCAGCGCAGATACTTGTGGGGATCGTGGGGATGCGAACGTAAGCCACGATAGCCGGTTGGACAGCCCAGTTCCTCCGAGGCAGGAGAGTAGCCTGAGCTACATGTTAGTAAAGGTACTAGACATACTTTTCCCTCATACATACCGTTGCCATTGGCATAGGGTTGAGCTCCTCCAGATCCACAGTCCACGGAGCCCTTGTGTGCGCACAGCAAGAGTTTCGGATCGAAGGCCGTGCCCGGTCCACAGTCCTGAATAAAGGTTTGTCCGTTGGCGCAGTTCAGGAACTTGGTGCAGTCCGTGGGATGGGGTTGTAATCCATTTATACCCGCCGGACATTTTGGCTCCCCGTTTAACTGCTGAAGTCTCCCCAAACGAGTGGATTCCGTTTTTCCGGCTCCTCCTCCCGAAACAAAGCATTCGACGTTGTTTGGATGATCGCACTCGAGGATCTTTCCATTAAAAAGTGTTCCTGGAGCGCAGGTTTGGATAGTGGGACTGCCATTGTAGCAGTTGATATAGCGGTGGCAGTCATGGGGATATGCCAGCACTCCCGTATATTGAGGTGGACAGGCGGAATCGCGCTGGTAGATGGACTGGCCGTGCCCGGCTGATAACCCAACTTGCCCGGACTGCTGCCCGGCACTTTGGTAGTTGCTGTTTGATTGATAAGCTGAGGCCCCGGGTCGCTGTCAAAAGCGTAATTACGAAATATTATTGTACAACTACAAGCTGGAGCGAATAGCATATAATTAGGTATTATTGGCGGGCATTTGTCTTCCGTTTTTAATTTAAAATTTAAATTTTAGACTATTTTTAAGACACATGCATATTTTTTCAGAAGTTTTATAGCTTTCCTCTAATGCCTGATGGATACGGCATCCTTTACGAACAGGATATGAGATTTGGTAAGACAAAAAGTCCTTAAATCAATATCCAAAAATAATCTTTCTTTAAAATATTAAATTCTTTATAGGATTTCCATGCAAATAAAGTCACAAACACAAAAAATACTAACATCCACCAGCAGAACCGCCAGCCACAGGCTCAGGAGCCACTTGGCCATATTCCGTTTCCGATTTATATTATTTTTTTTTTGAGGATATATAGTATAAGCCACCGATACTGATAGTCACTTTGCTAGAATTCCTTCCGAATTACGTTCGAATTTAAGGTTTCCGTTGTTGTCCCGTCCAGGTTCCAGACTCGACTGACTCAACCATAGATCGCATTTCATTTAATTGAGCTCGGAACGAATCTCTATCTCTGCTCCCGCTGAATGATGCGCTCGGATGTCGCTGGACCAATTGAAATGGACCACTATCTGCCCCGTAATCTCAAGACCTTTCCCGCTGACTTATCGCTTTGTTTTGTTTGTATTTTCTTTGGGGGGTTTCACTAGTTTATTTATTTTGTGGAAATCGAGATGATTCTTTCCTGATGGCAGTGGTCATGATTTACAGTGGCACAGTTGTATTTAGGGGTAGTCAATATTTACATTAAGGGCATTGCTTTAAAGGGGGAAGCTTCTAAAATATATACATTTTGAGGAGATTTTTGTTTTAAATCAAAACAGTATTTTTGACTGTGAATCTGAATTTTAATATTTTTTTTTCAACAATTTTATTTTTAAGATTTTAAAAAAATCTTTTTTTAGGGGGCGCCCCCTTAAAAACTCAACATCTTACCTACATTTAGACTAGAATTATGACTGCGGTACCTAATCATTTTGATTCCGGCTTATCAGTAGCCGAATGCGCGATGAGCCCTATCCGCTGCTGAATCTTCAGCCAGAGCTGATCGTACGGTTGGTCTAGTTCCGTTTTTGTCTTGGGAATTCCCACCATGCGCCGCACATCCGGCGAGAGAAGCAATAAATTCTGTCCCAGGCCGAAGCTACTAGAGGCCACCCAATAAACACAGAGGGCCGAGGGCACAGTACAGGCCACCGGAATCATAACAATGCTCAGTCCCCGAAAGACATTGTTGGCTATGTTTTGCAAGCGTGTGGACGGTCGCGTTCTGGTCATGGACTGCACCTCGATAATGGCCAAATTGATGATTCCTAGGGTTACTGGCAGGATGTAGGAACTATCCACTACCGTAAGATTGGGTATCCACCCAAAGCCGCCAATTGTCAGTTCTGTGGCGACGATTTGAGCCTGAATGGTCATGGGATCGGGTAGCATGTAGACAAGATTACGCAAAGCCACTGATTGGAATATCCACAGGGGAACCTGACCCCACAATACTATGAGTGTCTTCATGGGGTGACAGTTGTCGCGCACGATAAGTTTCTGCCACTGTTTTTTGATCTGAAAATGAATTAAAATTAAAGATTTTGGAATAATTTCAAGGGTTAAGTAATGCAAACCGATCTCCGGTAGACTATCTGGGTTTGTTTATCGCTCCACTTGAACTTCTGTTTTGCCATCGCAGCCTCCTTCTTGAGCTCTTCCACTATGGCCGGCATCTCTAGGGCTATTTTCTCGATCCTGGCTGTGATCTTGTGCTGGTAAATGGTCAGTGGGAGAGTGACTACACTCCGGAACAGGAAAGTGGATAAGATAATAGAAGCCCACCAAGGCAGTCCGCTGTAGTCGTGTATCGTTATAAGGGTATCTTGCATGACTCCCACGGGCTGACTATTTGACAAAGTCTGCCAGAAGCCCCCCAATCCACCGGCATTTCCGAATTGGGCGGCCGCCGCCGACGCAGCTTCTGTTGATGATAGGCGATGGTGGAGCGATGTATTCGGGCATTTTGAACCTGTGTATGTGAACTTGTACGCTGCAATGGGGCTAGGCCTTCTTAGGGTCCGTAAAAACAGCAAAGTTGCCATTAAAAGCAATTTATGTAAACATGTAAACAACTAAAATGAGATTTTTTAACGGAACAGCTGAGTTTACAGCGTACTTACAGTGCTGTTATTGAAAACAGTACAGCTGCTTGGACGATTAATTATAACGATATTATTCCAGACCTTTAAAAACACCGAAGATTGGGTTAATGTATTGTAACACTAGAAAATTACAAAACATAAATTTCAAATTTAAAGATCATTTAGAAGGCTCTTAATAGAAAAAAATATTAATATTTGAAATTTTTAATGTGACCAAATTCAAGCACTCCGGTGGTTTGCGTTTCCACTTTCCACCAGTGGTGGCGCCACTCTGTTTGTACTCATACTGTCAAACCATAAACAAAAAAGTTGCCTCCAAAGAACATCCCGCTCTGACCAGAATCTACAATAAGGATAATTATAAAACAAGAAAAATGCGATCCAGATCAATGGCAGGCTCTGCCGGCTCACAGGCGGCGTCGCACATTGGCAGCAAAGTTCCAACGCGCTCATCGGCCGCACACAGCCGTGTTTCTGGCGCCGGTGCATCAATCAAGGAAGGAAGCGTGCGGCAGCGAACCGCTCCGCCAAAAAACGACTACGAGAAGTACTATGAGAATGTTTTTCTTGGAGATGACAGTGATCCAGAGGTAAGAAATAGCCTGAAGAAACCCCTGGGCATTTAAACCATTTCTTTATTACAGAGTCAGGGAACGTCAAATTCTCAGCAGTCGGAGCCATCAAGGAAGCGGTCGTTGCACGCGATGCTAAGAGAGGAGCCTCAACGGCCGAAAGTGGGTCGCCCTCGTAAGATTCCCATCCTCCTAGAACCCTACCCAGAACAGCCAAAGGACGCGGTCATCCGGCAGATCAACGGAGATCCATTGCCAGTCAAACGCCAGTTTGTCCACCAAGCTACTACCTACGCGCGATGTCGGACGGATAAATTAGGACAACAGCTTTATACAAAGACAGAAAGGCACGTTTGGAAGAAGGAGGCCATTCAAATGTTCCTCCAGCTGTGGGCGCACTATATAAAGGATCTCCGTGGTCCGACGAAGAACTGCGTTGTCTACAGAGAAATGGAGAAGCAGATGAGCGAGTTTGGACCAAGCCACTTTGAAATTAAAACTAAGATGGACAATATGTCCCGAAAATATCGGTAAGTCTTAAGAGATATGAGACTATATGTTTATTAAATATCTACGTTTTTATTTTTAGGCTGGAAGCAGAGAAAGTGAGGGAAACTGGGCAGCCATCAACTTGGGAATATTTCCATAGAATACAGTCTCTTCTAATTGGTACTAAATCCGTAGACGTATTTGAGGAAATCATGTTCGAAAACAAAGGTAATTGAGCATAATGAGGTGATATTAAACCAGTGGTCGGCACCCCAATACATTGATATGATTTTACCGCATTAGTGTTAGTAACGTATAACAGAAAGTAGGCTTTGAGCATGACGTTTCACACATTTATACTGTGTGTGTGTGGCAGAGCTCGGGCAGAGAAATTTCCTATGCCCCCGAGATAGGGCCGTGCCGACCTCTGTATTAAACGGATGAATACATTTTCTACAATTTCGCTTGCAGTGCCAACCAATTTATCCCCAGAACTAGAATCAGATGATGATTTAGATTCTATAAAAGAAGAAGTAGATGTAGATCACTCCGTTAATGAGGCCCACAATTTCAAAGATGCGCATGAAAGCAGCTTAGAAAGAAGTATAAAAAATTCACCAGTTGCCTCCCCCGAATTCGAAGAACCCGCTGATGAAGACGAGGAGGAGGAAGAGGAACCAGAGCAGGATGAGGAGCACGAGCAGGAACAGGACATGACGGTCGATCTAGAGGATCAGTATGAAGAAGATCTTCCAGAGGATCAGTCAGAAAAGCACGTTTCGCGATCCCAAGCAATGAAATATCGCTCGGACCGACTGTTACAAATAGAAGAGGAGAAATTGTCAATAGAACGAGAAAAGCTGCAAGTTATGAAGGACGCACTTAAAGAACTAACTTCATTTCACAAAGATTTAATAGTTTTATTCAGACAAAAAAGAACGTAAACTTTTTTTAATTAAAATAGCTTGTTTTTATATTAAATTGAAATTTTTATTCTTGACTTATAATATTTATTATGGTATAATTTATAAAGAAACAGCAATTTTAGGAGATATTTCCACAGCAAAAAATATATATTATTCCCATGATCGTCTAGCTTGCTTATGCAAAAAAAAAACGCTTCTGTTGCTCGTCTGCTACTCCGTTCCGGTGCCACCACTATACTAGTCCTCGTCCTCGTCGTCTTCGTCATCGTCATTGTTCGCGGCCGTCGACAACGAACTCTTGTGATTGAACTCCTTTTCGGGATCGAATTGCATGCCCTCCTGATCGACGCCATCCTCCTCGTCGTCGTCGCCGGCCACCTGGGCGTTCTCGGCCTCGGCCCGCTCCAGCCGCCTGGCCAGATCGGCCTCGTCGATGGCGGTGACCAGCTTAGGTGCCATTATCACCTTGAATTCGCCCTCGTACCTCACGATCTCGGCCCGTATGTGTTCGATGGCCACCTCGAGGGCTTTCAAGCCGTCTGTCTTCTTGGTCGTGGACGTGGTCATAACATAGAGTGGCGGTGCTATCAGATTGATCCGGATGGGTAGCTCCTCGGTGCTCAACTCCAGGCCCTTGGTGAGGGATGCCTTGACGGCGTCAATGCCCTCATAACCATAGCAGGAGCACTCGATGTCAGCCCGGATTTTGACCGTTGGCGAGACCAGCTTGCGCTTGATGTTGCTCAGCAGCACCTCCTTGGTTTCGGCGTCCAGATTGCATTCATCGAAGACCGAGGGATCCGTCACGGACTGCTTGAAGATGTCGTAAGCCACCGTTTTGCTGTTGTACTTCTTTTCAAAGTACCAGGCAGTTTTCTGGTATAGCTCTTCCAGCTTTTCGTTTCCATCGTAGCCGAGGATTTCGGCCACATGCCGGAGCAAAGAATTGATGGCTTTCGCCTTGGCGAACCGCTCGGTACACTTTTCCACATCCTCGGGGGAGACACGACGCTTGGACAGATCAATGTAGCCCTTCTCCTTGTCCACACGGATGACGACGACGGGTTCGGTTTTGCCTACTCGGATCAGCTTGTTTATGGAACGGATGCGACGTCGTGACAGCTCAGAGAGCAGGATCATGCCCTCGATGTTGTTGTACTCCAGCAGATGGACGTAAGCGCCCATTTCCGCAATGGAAAGTACGTTTACCATAACGACATCCTCGATCTCGGGATATCGCTCGAAGTAAAAGCGCGACGTTAGTGCCATGGTGGAATATTTACACACAGTAATTCAAAAAGCACTCGGTGATCCTGGAAGAAACGTGTACAATTTCTGTTAAGAAGCGTAAGAAGAAGAGCGGTGCCGCCGGGCAGTGTTGTAAAAATAAATTTTTGTAATAATATTAATTTTTTTCTAACATATATTTAAAAATAAAAACCTTTGTTATTTAACAATTTAAAATAAATATTCCCAGCCACTAATTAAGTACAGGGTATTCCAATAGGACAACATTTAAGCGGAATAACCAACAGCTGATACAAAATTAGGGTGACCAGAGGGTTCTTGGTGAAAATTCTAGTAGTACCGATTCTCGCAGGGAATTTTGCACCTCCAGCGGCTGGAGTATAAGTGATTCAATATTAACGCCAAGATGAAGAACCTCAAGGAGTCAAGCCGCGAAGTGGCTCTTAAAGTTTTCCAAGGAGAATATAAACTATTGGACAGGCAGCAACGCAGCACCGTTTGGAAGGTGTTTCAAGCAATTGTTCGCGACGATGGAACAATGCTGAAGAACTGCTATTTTTGTACCGGATGCAAGCGCGTCATGCGGGGATACAGCTCTTCCAATTTTCGTACCCACATGTGTCATGTCAAATACATTGCGCGTATGCGGAAGGAGTCCAAAGACCACACTGAAACGATCAGTCCCGAGAAGGAGGAAAATCTCAAAATGCCGATCCGCTTTAAAAGAAGGACTTCTGGTCAGTTTAGATGGTCAACAAAGTCAACCAGCCTATTGTTACAGCTGTGGTCCGAAAATATTAAGGAATTACTGAAGGGAGGCCGATCCTTAGATATTCTTAAAAATATGGCGGATCATATGAGCCATTTGGGGGTGACTTCTATGGATATTAAAGACAAAATTGATGATACTATCGAAAAATATCGGTAAATACCACACATCTCAAAAGGACTTTAATTTTCAATTTTATTAAAATATTATACATTTTTAGGGAAGAAGAAAATAAAGAGAAACTGACGGGTAAACCGTCAAAGTGGATCATTTACAAACGTGTACGGAAACTTCTCTCAGGAGTGGAAAACAAGGCTAAACATTTCGATAATAAAACTTTCTTGAATCGGAACCTTAACTATGAAACTCCTCTTGAAATTAAATCGGAACAGGTCGAAGAAGTTGTTAATAATGCAGGAGATCAAGAGGACGAGCTGGCAAGGCTTAAGGACAACATTATAAAGGACATAGAAGCATCGTTGGAAAATTACGAAGAAGAGCTCGACAGTCAAACGTCTACAGAAAATCCTACAAAAAGAGCTCACTTTCATAGAGAAGCTAGACTTTTGGAAATTGAAGAGAAAAGGCTTGTCCTGGAAGGTGAAAAACTGGTAATAGAAAAGGAGAAGCTTGAGGTTTTAAAGACCCTCGTGAAAGAGATTTCTTTATTTCGTAACGAACTAAGCAAAGCATTTATACCAAAGTAACGGCAATCGTTCTACATTTTTACAGTGCCATTTATAATTAAGAGTAAGTTGTTAGATTTTAAATAACGCGTGTTGACTCGATATTTTCTAATCATAGGTTTAATGCAATAAAAACCAAATTTTACCAATTTTGTTGTTTAAATTTTAAATTTTGTGATTAGTGTGGCCACATCCAATTTTGACTAATTGGGCGAAATGACCATCGAGTTTTTTAATAATTGGCCACACTTATTTAAATTTGTTGTTTTCTAAAATTGAACGAAATGTTTTTTATAAACGTCTCCGGGGAGGAGGAAAAGTGTACCGAGGCCCAGCTGGACATCTTGCTGAAGATCAACACCGGCGAATATCGACTGGTTAAGAAAAACAAACGCAGCTCCGTTTGGAATGTTTACCGAGAGATTGCTCGCGCGGATGGATCCAAGCTCAAGTGGCGCTACTTCTGTCTTGGCTGTAAGCGGGTTATGCAGTCCACTGGAGGCACAACCTCCAACCTGAGAATCCACAAATGCCACGTCCGGTATCTGAAACAGAACGGCAATGCGTTGTCTACTGGTCAACGGAAATTTAGTTCCCGGAGACGGGAATTGGGCGTTCAGCGTGAGGACTTCTGTCAGATCCAATCAGACACCATATCGGAGTGCGAGGACCTGATCGAGGATGCAGAAGAGACAGGCCTGGAGGAAGATAACATTGCTGAGGAAGATGTAAGCAGACTACTAAAATTTATAAAATTTTTAAATAAAGTTATCTCTTTCCAGTTGCAACTAGAAATAAATCAAGAAACATCCTCCAAGTCTCGTCCCCTGCTGAAGCTATTCTCAGAGGACTCCTGTTCTGATAAACAGGAGCTGGATGAGGATCACATCAATGAGACTGGGTCTGAAGAGCAGCGAACCATTGAATTGGATCACAATCAGATGCAACACCCAGCTACAGACTTCAAGCCAGAGACTCCCCCATCCAGAAGCAACCATGACTTCGACACCAGTGCCATTGCCGAAGCCGAGTCGTACGCCAAAGCCTGGACTCACGCCTTCCTGCGTTTAAACGACGAGCAAAAGTTCTACGCCAAACGATCCATAGATGAACTCCTTGTGCTGGGACGCTTGCAAAAGCTTAGCATTTCAACAGTCACTTCCCTATCCACAAACTTCTGATGAGTTTTAGGTGGTTGTAGGTTTAAAGTTAATATAACTAGATATAATTTGTACACCATTTGTAATCCCCAGTAAAGTTTTGAATACCAAAATATTTTTCAATTTTTTTATTTTTTCCAATACGTTTTTAAAGTTTTTTTTTTTTACTTTTCTTTTTTGCCATCATGCGTTTGTTGTATATTTTTTTTTGCTTGCTTTTACACTTTTTTTTTTGTTTGTTTAGTTTATTTGCTGTGAATTAGATATTGTATTCTCAACATGCCAGTGTTTCTGCTTTACTTTTTGGTTACATTTAGTTGGGCCTTTTGCTGGTCGTATGATTCTTTGATATTCAGGATTACGAAAGTGTATTAAAGTGAACAAAAAATTCATTTTAAATTTTAAGGTTTTATGTTGATCTTTAATACGAGAAACTTAGAATAAAGGTTCGCTTAACGCACAACATAACAACGTTTGAGAGGGGATTTCAAAAATAAATAAAATTTTAAATAATCATTAGGTTAGTTAAGTTGTTTAAAGGGTAGAGAGGGGGAGATTGTTACTAACAATCCAAATATGCTGGGCGAATTTGAATTTATTGTTGTTGATGTTGTGGTTCATATAATACAAATCGACATTCATAAAATTATTGATGGCCGGGCATGGTTGAAGTTGGTTTTGAATTTTAAAGAAATCTTCGTGTATGTATTGATGTATTAGTTTTACTTTTCGTTTTGCTGTAGTTTGCCCTACGAAACAAAACAAATAGCAAATAAACAAAAAAAACGCAGAGGCCCAGCTAGCAAAATGTTGCATTTTCTGATGTTGATTCAATTCGCACGGGTTTCTGATGTTGCATCTGTTGCTGATGGTTTTGCTATCGTTACTCCACTTCTTCTTGCTGATCTTGGTTTCGATGCAGATGGAGAATAAGCGACCCCCATTAAGCAGTGCTCTCAGTAGTCGTATTTTGCACCTCTTGAGCTCCGTTCTGGGAATTGTGTGTGTGGGATTGGGATATAATTAACAAACCAAATAGTAAATAAACATAAAAAGAAATCATATGATAAAGGTAGAAAATGATTTGAATGCATTTTTTGTTGTTGTTTGGTTTTACATTAAATGTGTGTGTGTCACTGAGTTAGCCAATTAGTTACAAGTAGCTAAAATAAAAGAATGTTAGTCCCAAAGCCTCTTAAGTTAGGTGTTAAGATTATAATATTCTTCTCCTTTGCAGTATTGTTCATTCGGCATTTCAGCTGTTGTATTTTTAAGGGTTTTTGTTGTGGAGGTGCGAGTGGTTGTTGTTGTTGTTAGTGGTTAATCGTGAATGCATCTGTTGAACGCATTTTGGGTTAGTTTTTGTTTTTATTGGCCGCCACCAAGATGCTCCTATCGTAGACGTTGTTATTATTGATGCAGATAATGCTTTCGCTCTGAATAGTGCATGTTTTTTTTTTTTCTTGTTAAACTAATCAGATGTTATCGTAGTTTTGCTTTGGCGAAGATGTAGTTTCTTTTGTAGTTTCTGGTGTGATTAATTCATTACCTGCTGTGGCTGCTGTTCCAAACCACCAGGGCCATTTGGTTTCCGATTCTGGCGACGCGGACGAATTTGTTGAGGCCGAGCCTGTCCCTGACCTTTAAATGTAACAAAAAAAATAAAATGGTTTAATATCTGGCTCGGAAAAGAGAAGCCCAAGCTTCCCAAAGAAATAAGTAGACTACTAACTGTCATCGCCGTGGCGTGGTGGCGGTGGTCCGTTGTTATAGTTGCGTCGGAAGAAGCGCCTCTGGGGTCCCCCAGGCGGGCCGCCACCACGGCGTGGACCCTGTCCCTCACCTCGCTGCAGACCATCAACGTTCTGAATGTGAACACCGGGATCAGCGCTGCTGCCATCACCGCCGCCCAGACCGCGACGAGGCTGGCGCGGATAATAGTTGTTGTAGCGACGGGGACCGCCAGGTGGTCCGCCGGGTACACGGGGACCTCCGCGAGGACCGCCTGGTGGTCCGCCGGGTGGGCCACGACGGAAGTTTTGGCGGGGCTGACGTGGTCCGGACTGCAGCTGCTGCGGCGGCTGTCCGTCTACGGACGGCGGCTGCTGCTGCTGCTGTCCCGGCGACGCCAGTTCCTCGCCCTCTTCGCCCTGGCCATCCTTTCGACGGTTCTTCTTCATCCAGGGGCGGAAGTTGCGGCGCTTGTCTGCCGCAAACTGGCTACCCCGGACAGGTTCGCCAGATGGACCAGTCACGTTGGCAGCCTCGTTGCCCTTCTCACCGATGACCACATCAAACTCCACAACCTCTCCATCGCCCACCGAGCGAACAGCCTTTTTCGGGTTGTTGCGCGCAATAGCGCTCTGGTGCACGAAGACATCCTCTTTGGTGTCGTTCCGGTTGATGAAGCCATAGCCGCTCTTGACATTGAACCACTTGACGGTGCCGGTAACTTTGGTGGCTGCAAAGGAATTTATTTTAAAGAATAAATAAATTATGTTTTAAATCTTTAAGTACATAACAATTAAGCTTAAACTTAGTTCTTAGCATGTAAATGGAGAAGAGGGGCTATAGGTCTCGCACCTTCGAAATCGGCTTAAAGCCAAGCACATGTTACCGGGAACATCGTGAGTAGAGGTGTGTACAAATAAATTTACCAAAACAATGAACACACACAACCACACTGGCTGCCGCTATCCCGCTTACACCTACGCTGCGCGCGCAGTCGGCGGCGGACCAAAAAATTGGGTTGCTCTGCGTCTGTACGGTGCGTGTGCCGAGGCGTGGGGAGGGGTGAGGATGAGTGGGGGGGGACAAAAAAAATAACACCAAGGGGGTGGGTGGACAGACCGGCAAAGGCAGAATTTTCATTTCGTTAGCCGGCGAACGCGACAGTATATGTATTTATATGTATGCGCAATGCCTCACAAAATGGCCGACGCGCGTATATTTTAAGACCTAAACACACACACGCACGCCAGCTACGTTTCGTTCGTTTTTTTTTTTCGTTCCTTTCATTGCTTTCATTGCTATTTTGGTAGCACAAGCTGCAGCCATGTGTTCGCGTATGAATGAAATGGAGTAAGATTTGTCGAGGGGATTGGGATTAACTGCTCACCGATGATTTCCTTTGGCGGCGGAGCGGGCTTGCCCTGCTGTCCCTGCAGCTGCTGGCCCTGATCGTCCTGCGGCTCCTGATCCTGATCCTGCGGCGGCTGCTGCTGCTGTTCAGCGGGAAGGGATTGCTGCTGCGTCTCGGCAGCCAGCGGCTTGTTCTCGGTGTCGGCCATCGCGAAGCGGGTAGCGAGCGACTCCTGGGTTGCTGTTGGCGGCGGTTGTTGTTGTTGTTGCTGGTGGTGCGAGTGCCGCAACTGTTCTATTTTCACTGCTTCTCGTGGTCGGTCCGCGGCTGCTGCTTAACTGCTGCTGCTGGTGTTATGCGGTCGGGCGTTGTTGGGGTCGCAGTTGGTGGCACTCTTCAACTACCACTACCACTTTCGATGTTGTTTTTGAGTGTGATCTTAAAACACTCGCCACTCGCAGGGTTTTCTTTGCCTTAGCGATTCTATTTTGTTCGCAAGCTCCGGAAGTAAAACATGACAGCCAGGACCAGGGCTGCTCAGCGTCGCCTATCGATAGATGCCGCACATCGATAACTTCATCAAGTGGCCCAATCTACCATCACTAAGGCTGGAGACTTTTTCAAATGGCTGTTACAAAAATTCAAATGGAAAAAAACTTAAATAGTCTTATGGGAAGATATAATCTTATTTACGTTTTCTCCGATTGCCCTTTATTGGAAAAGGAAATTGTGACTATTTTATTTTAATTCAAATACATAAGCAAAAGTTTAAAATGTAGAAAAAATTTATCCTTTTAGTTTGAATTATTTTAAAACAGCTGCGTTTTATGTTCTGTATTTCTGATTTGCTCTACCTTCCCAATAAACTAAAAGTAAGCTTTATATTTAGAGTTTATTTTGCCAATGTTTGTTTTACTTTCGCCCTGAATTATTGCCCTGACTAAGTTAATGAACTTCTCACGCAACTTTAATTTTGGTTATGGGGTCTCTTGGGAGAACGACCCCGGGTGCTATGACCACCTTAAGCCGATTCACCTGGTCAGTTTCCTCTTCCAGGATGAAGCCGTCGGTTGTTTTTGTACTCTTCCTTATCTTAGGTGCCATTTCTGCTGAAGTGGACTTGCTCCTGGCCAGGATTGCCTGTCGAATGGCCGTAAATCAAAATCTCCAGGTCACTTATGTCTATCGCTGTGCTAGCTGTGCGGAATCCTTAGATCCAGAGCACTCGGCTATGGAGCTGGAAGTACAGCGTTGTGTGGGAAGTCGCCTTCCAGTAGTATCGCGAAACATTGAGGCCTTCGAGCTGGAGCCACTGCGTCAAACAGATAGCGTGAGCATCTTCCATATACCGATAGCCGAGAAGGGTGATTCCCTGGTACGACGCATCCTAAGTATGTTGAATCCCCATCAACCGCGGAAACACATGCACAAGTACATCTTTCTATGGTCCGATGCCAGCCAGGATCAGCTTCTTGAACTATTTCGTGGCTGCTGGGCCAAACAGATCCCCTACGCTCTGTGCATCACCCACCGGAATAGTGGGATCTTTGATTTCGATCCTTTTTTTGATGGGGGTCTAAAAGTGGTGCAAAGTGGCGAGAACTTCCGTGAAAAAATGAGTAACCTAAGGGGCTATCAACTCCGCTTCTCCATGTTTCCTGATCCTCTAATGGCGATACCACGGGATCCGGTGGAGAGTAAGGGCTACAAAGCCACGGATGGAGTGGCTGCACGGGTAGCTGTCCGTATGCTAAACGCCTCTGTTACATATGTCCAGCCGGCGGATAACGAATCTTACGGACGCTGCCTGTCGGATGGAAATTTCACAGGCGTGGTACGAGACCTGGTGGCAGGACGCACTCACTTTGGACCTAACTCCCGCTTCGTTCTGGACTGCATCTGGCCACATGTCGAAGTATTGTATCCGCACACCCGTCGTGTCTTGTACTTGGTTGTCCCGGCGTCCGGAATTCAGCCAGAGTATCTAATTTTCGTGCGGGTCTTTAGGCGTTCGGTCTGGCACCTACTACTGGTCACGCTCCTGGCAGTGGTCGTCATCTTTTGGCTTATGCAGCATTTCCAGAAGCGAGTTCCTCGGCATGGAGGAATCACCCACTTCCAGGCCAAGTGGTACGAGATCATAGAGATGTTTGGCCGAACTCATGTGGGTGAGCCAGTCTTGCGGGCGTCCTCGTTCAGTTCGATGCGGACCTTTCTCATGGGCTGGATCCTCTTCAGCTACGTCCTGACCACCATCTACTTTGCCAAGCTGGAGAGTGGCTTTGTACGTCCCTACTATGAGCCCCAACTTGACCAGCTGGACGGCCTCTCCCAAATGGATGTACACGTCTATGCGGTGACCACTATGTACGATGCAGTTAGAGCCTCGCTCTCGGATTACCATTACGGCCTGCTCTCTAACCGGAGCCGCCAATTGCCCTTGGGACTGACCACCTCCTACTACCAATTGTTAGTGGTCCGGCGAGATAGACGTGCAGCCTTTATCATGCGCGACTTCCACGCCCGTGACTTCCTGGCCCGTAACTACAACTCCGAGACGGAACGTCCCAGCTACCACATCGTCAAGGAGTACCTTCGATCCATGCTCTGCACCTACATCCTACCGCGGGGTTCGCCCTTTTTACATCGGCTTCAAACTCTTTTCACCGGATTCCACGAACACGGATTCTTCGAGCACTGGCGCCAAATGGACATGTTAAACCGGGAAGGCACTTCCCCCAATGGCGAGGAGTTCTATGAAGACTTGGGCGACCAGACGGACACCGACGCGTCAGCCACCGATGCAACTATAAGGCGCAAGAAACGGGTTGTCCTCACCCTTGACATCCTCCAAGGAGCCTTCTATCTCTGGTCAGTGGGCATTGGTTTAAGCTGCCTGGGATTTGTCCTGGAGCAAGGTCATTACTTTTGGAGGAAACGGCACGAACATGTCCATTAAAATATGCCCTATTAAATTGATGCATTTTTAAATATATACTTTTAATAATCAATTTATTAGAAATTAGCTTAGCAACTAAATACTTTATAATGATGTGTATATGTTCTGATTATTTCTTCAAAGCCACTTAATCTCTTAATTTATAAATATATGTAAGTCAGGTAATTATCGCAGAAAACAACACCTGACAGTATTGATGAAATCATTGCAGTTTATACAATAAATAAAATGAAAATAATATTTGAATACTCTATTACTCTCTCTCTACCAAAGTTGCAAAGTTTTAAGATTTAAAATTACAAATCCTAGATATTTAATGGGCCAATCCAAAATTATTTATTTGGAAGCTGAAAATTAATCATCATAATTTAGGTTGGACTATGTCTTTCGATGGATCATTGCTCTTTGTTGTCTCGACATGTTGTCGCAGCATTATGGTTTAATGTTTTGCAATTCAAAATATTTTTAGCACAGGTTGATAATGATGCGCCTGTTCCCTTGGCGACCCATCCAAGATCAAAACAAAGAGGACTGCAAGCTTATCAGGCTGTGAACCCAATGACCCATGCCAATCAATCGCCAGGTGAATCGATTCGATTGACAATGTAAATCCAAACACTATACTTGGAGTGAAGAAAGGGGCCTGCCACTTACCGGCTGAGGAAACCTTATCATACTCTGCCTGGAAACTGCTGAATTGCAAGGTGCTGGTTTTTCAGTATACGCTTACATAATGAGTTGAGTCTATAGAATTGATAGATAGGGGTTATACACTGGAAAATGGAAAAATTAAAGAAAATTTAATGAAGATTAAGTTACCAAATGTACAAAGCTTTCATTTTACAGGCAGAAATTCTAACTAAAAGAAGGCAGCCTCCTTTTTCTTAATCAAAGATTTTAATTCTTAATCACTTGTTTTGAAAACTAATGGAAAAAACCATTATTTTATTAAAACTTCCATTACGAATTAAATTCTTTGTCTTGGAAAATATTTTCCCATGTGCACCATTTTACCAAATGGGGGCCTTATCACCTGCAGCTCCGGCTGCTGCAGTCGGCCCATCATCGTTCAGCTGAGTCAGTGACCAGAGGTTGAGCAGATCCGGCGGAGTGTCAAGGCTACGGATGATGGGACGTTGCCCGGACTGCAGCCCGCAATCTGCAATCTGCAATCGGCGAACTGCGCCCTAACACCTCGATCCGGTATAAATACGGGCCGGCAACGGTGCAGCAGTATGATTCGGCGAGATGAAGTCGTTCACGGCGATCGCAGTTGTTACGGTGGCTCTGCTCCTCGGCAGCCATGCCAAGCACCTCGAGTCCAAGGTGGCTGACAAGGACTTCCTGGCCAAACAGAAGTTCGTCTTCGATATGGGCCAGCACGTCTACCAGGACGATGTTTTTGTGATGGCTTATGGCGGTAGCTATGCGGAGTACAAGCCATGGGAGCATGTGAGTGACTTCAACCATCCGGAGATGCTGGAGCACTTCTTTGAGCTGTGGCAGCACCATCCCTTCGGCGACGACCAGGTGTGGTCGGTGATGTATGAACGCCACGAGGAGTATGTTGTGGGTCTGGTGCGTCTCTTCTACTTTGCCAAGAACTGGGAGACCTTCCAGCATGTGGTCTACTGGGCTCGTCAGCACGTCAACAAGCAGATGTTCATCTACGCCTTCACCATCGCCACCATCTTCCGCGACGACATGGAGGGAGTTGTCCTGCCCGCTCACTACGAGATCCACCCATGGAGCTTCTACGACAGCCAGGCCCTCGAATGGGCCGAGCACTACAAGATGCACGGCTTCCACCACGTCAAGCAGATGGACAACATCTACAATGTGGTGATCCGGGCCAACTACTCGAATGCCCACGGCTCCTTGAACTACGACCACGATCTGGCCTACTATCTGGAGGATATCGGCTTCAATTCCTTCTACTACTACTTCAACCTGGACTACCCCTTCTGGACCAAGGGCGGCGAGGAGCATGTCCTGAACAAGGATCGTCGTGGTGAGCTGTACCTGTACGTCCACTGGCAGCTGTTGGCCCGTTGGTACATGGAGCGTCTGTCCCACGATCTCGGTGAGGTTCCCGCCTTCAACATGTACCTCCCAGCTGAGTCTGGTTACGCCAGTAACCTGCGCAGCTACAACGGAGTGCCCCAGTGGCCCCGCGACAACCACCACAGCTTCTACCACGGCCACAACTTCGAGTACATTGAGTTCGTCGAGATGTACACCCAGCGCGTCATGGAGTGGATCCACAAGAACGAGAAGTTCGACATGGAGGTGGTCAACCAGTTGGGCAACATCATCCAGGGTAACGCCGACAGTGTCGACAAACACTTCTACGGCAGCTTGGACAAGCTCTACCGGTTCATCGTCAACGAGGGACACCACTACGGCAACCACGATGAGAGCTTCCCCGGCCTGTTGATGCACTACGAAACCTCCCTGCGCGACCCCATCTTCTACGAGATCTACAAAAAGCTGGTCGACCACTACTGGCATCTGATGGAGACCTTCCCCGAGTACAAGAAGACTGACTACGCCTTCGAGGGCGTCCAAATCGACGCCGTCCACATGCCCGAAAGCCTGACCACCTACTTCGAGTACTTCGACTCTGACATCAGCAATGCTGTCAACGTTGAGCCAGTGGTGGAGAGCTCCACCGATCCCCTCTACAAGTTTGGACGCAATTCCCACTACAAGGGCAGCAGCTACGTGATCAAGGCCCGCCAGCACCGCCTTAACCACAAGCCATTCGAGTTCACCATGGACGTGACCTCCGACAAGGCTCAGGATGCCGTTGTGAAGGTCTTCATTGGACCCAAGTTCGATGAGCACGGACACCCCATTCCGCTGGAGCACAACTACCAGAACTTCTTCGAGCTGGAGCACTTCAAGGTGCACCTGGAGGCCGGAGTTAACCACATCAAGCGTGCCAGCGGCGATTTCAGCTTCTGGGTGAACGATCGCACCACCTACCTGGAGCTCTACCAGAAACTGATGGACGCCACCAACAGCGACTACAAATTCAAGCTGGACCAGTCCGAGGCCCACTGTGGAGTCCCCAACCGCATGATGCTTCCCCGCGGCAAGAAGGGCGGCCAGGCCTTCCAGTTCTTCTACATGGTCTACCCCTACCATCAGCCAGCTGTGGCTCAATTCACCGGCTACGATCCAGTGGTCAGCTGCGGCATCGGCCACGGCTCCCGCTACGTGGACAACCTGCCATTCGGCTTCCCCTTCAACCGACCGGTGAAGCACGACTACTACTTCGACGTGCACAACTTCAAGTTCGTGGACGTGAAGATCTTCCACCGCGACGAGCACACCAATGTGGTCTAAGTCCAGACCCCTTTACGAAAACTCCTCCAACAAACGAACGAACGGAATCGGATCCATTAATGTTTTCTTTTTGTCTACACCCAGTTCCCCCATAGCTGCCATAATTTAATTTAGTTTACCATTTAATTTGTGAGTCTTCCTTGTGCCTTTAACTAATAAACGAATCCGAATACCACCATACTTCAAGTCATACGATTCTTTCTTAGTTTTTAATTTCAAAAAAACAAACTATATTTTTGGCAATAATTACCTTTCCGATTTTTGAGCAGAATGCCTTCAACGATTCGTAGATCGATTCTCCACAAATCTGCATCAGCCACAATATGGAGGGCCACAATATGGCTCACTGCGAAGTCTATATCTTTGGCAATATTCATCCGATTCTTGATTGGAGTACGTTACACGATTCGTAGATCGATTCTCCATAAATCTGCATCAAAATCCAATAACATTAAATTTTTTATATTTTTGGTCAAATTTTCTGGAGGGTCCCCTTCAAAAATCCACAAAACTGCTTGGGGCCATAATATGGCTCACTGCGAAGTCTATATCTTTGGCAATATTCATCCGATTCTTAAGAGGAGTACCTTAAACGATTCGTAGATCGATTCTCCAAAAATCTGCATCAAAATCTAAGAACATTCAATTTTTTAGATTTTTGGTAAAATTTTCTGGAGGGTCCCCTTCAAAAATGCACAAAACAGCTTGGGGCCACAATATGGCTCACTGCGAAGTCTATATATTTGGCAATATTCATCCGATTCTTAAGAGGAGTACCTTAAACGATTCGTAGATCGATCCTCCATAAATCTGCATCAAAATCTAAGAACATTCAATTTTTTAGATTTTTGGTCAAATCTAAATTTTGGTCAGAAAACAGCTTGGGGCCACAATATGGCTCACTGCGAAGGCTATATCCTTGGCATTATTCATCCGATTCCTGAATGGAATTACCTTGAACGATTTGTAGATCTATTTTCCATAATTGTGCACCAAATCCAGAGAACTTAAGTTTTTTTTCTACACAATTTTTTATCTGTAAAATTTTTTGAATTGACCACTATTTTTCAAAGATTTTTTTGAAAATTTAAAATCGTATGTTTAAAATCGTATACAGCGGGCTGGTGGAAATTTACGAATTTTTTCATCGATATGAAGCCGATATATTGTTTACACCAAGAAGGTCCGGTAACCATGTCGATTAGTGATCCGGCAACTCTATACCCAGCTGATTAGCTTAAAGTCCATATTTCTGTCGTCGGCTCGAACATTGTTTATAAGTTTCTCGAATAACATTGATTGATATGAAGAACAACACAACAATGGAAAGCAACAAATATTAAACCAAGCTATTGCTTAGAAAAGCTAAAACAGCTAGCCCAAATTTAACAATAATAATGGATAAGCTTAAAGTGAATTGAACTGATTAAACAGATAAAAAGGTGATAAGGGTGTGATAATATCTATATTTGGTAAAGTTTTAGTAAGCTAGAGTGGAAATTGGCCATGGAAAACCATGCAAATAACGTTCTAACCCATGGAAATGTTCCAAAGGCTGAGGTGGCGTCGCCAAAACATCGTATGATCCGGTCAAGCCCTGTGATTGGTTGAATCGCTTTCGTTTGCTTTCTTACTCGCACGTGTATGTGTGCACAGTGGTCATAATGACTCCTCGAGTGAAAAAAAGGATTATTATGAAAAACTAATTTACAATATAGATTTCAAACTTTGTACCACAACTTTCGTGTCTATAATTTTTTACTTTAGTTCTAACGAAATATTTCCTAATAGAATCCCCTTACACAGCTTTATAATTATTAGAAGTGTACCAACAAAATACGATTATTTAAATATATATTTCTTATAAAAAAATAAGCTATCCTGTTGCTAAGGTAATTTTTTTGAACAAATGTTCTGGGTGTGTAATTTGCTGTGATTTTAAGGGTGAAAAATATTTAGCGCGAAAAACTCATTCCACGCCCACTGTTGTTTATGTTAGTAATTGCGCCGCCTGAAAGTTTAATAAACAAACCGCTTACGTGTGTGTTTCGTACTAAATTACACAATACTGTTGTTGTTTTCATCAGCAGCGAAAACATGGACACGAATTCCATCGACATCATGTCAACCGGTCCCATGGAAGAATCCATGGACATGGAGTTATTCAAGGATGAAGACGCCTTCGATATGATCAATGAGGTCCTGCATTTGGACATGTTGGACAGCATTTTGGACGAGATGCCCCTCCTACTGCAGACGGAGGACCCAATGCTAAAGCCCGTAGAGCGGCCTCATGTAAAAAGCGAGCATTATTCTCCAGTTCACGTCAAGGAGGAGATGTTGCAACAGGCTTCATTGCCACTCTACAACCCGGATCCCTTGATGGGATCAAACTACAAACTACCCCAACAACAGCCTCAGCCGCCACCACCGCAGCATGTGGTCATGCAACCCACGGCTACCATCCACCACATGGACGCCCAAAGGATGCCTCCGAGTGCCCCGCTCTACTCCCCCTCTCTCGGCAATGGATTTGTTTATCAAACCGTTTCCCCACCCACGCCGCCAGGTGACTCATCTCCTCATAACGGAAATGTCCAAACTATGCAAACCATGGCGGGGCAGACGGCTCTGCCGCATGTAGCACCAACACCACCCTACATTATGTGTGCCCAACCCCCTCTAACCCCTGTAGCCGCCATGCCTGCACTGCTGAAATCTCCAACAACCCCGATGGTGGCTAGTCCCAAGACCTCTCCTTCAATTGCTCCACAACCTAGAAGCAGCAAGGGACGAGTGGCACAGCTGGCCCCAACACCGGCCGCCGCCGCGGGTGAAATAACCAATGGCAAAGTGGCCATCAGTCGAGCCCAGCCGAAGGTAAAGGAGGTGAAGCGCTCGGCTCACAACGCTATCGAGCGCCGATACCGCACCTCGATCAATGATAAGATCACTGAACTTAAAAATCTAGTGGTTGGAGAACAAGCCAAGTTGAACAAGTCTGCAGTATTGCGGAAGTCCATCGACAAGATCAGGGATTTGCAACGCCAGACGCACGAGCTGAAGGCGGAATTGCAACGTCTCCAGCGTGAACTAATGGCTCGGGATGGGTCCAAGGTAAAGGACCTCCTTCAATTAGGCACTCGCCCTGGCCGTGGCTCGAAGAAGCGCCGAGAAAGCTCCCTGACCTCTTCTACGGACGCCGGACTAACGCCTCCGCGTAGCGATGTTTCCGATCCATCCCTGTCACCGCTGCACTCGGACATCTCATTGCCGCCATCGCCATACAGTGGCTCTACGGCCAGCTGCAGTAGTGGTAGCAGCAGTAAGGACGAACTGGTTGTTGTGCCAAGCTCGATGCGCGGCATGGCCACCCAATCGCGGCTCGGACTTTGCATGTTCATGTTTGCCATTATGGCGATCAACCCTTTCAAGACTTTCCTTCAAGGCCGTCAATTCGGTAGATTTGGCGACGATGACTTAGGCGGAGAGCTAAGTGGTCAGCGACGAAGCATTCTCTCTTACGATGTGGATGGCGGTAAGATTGAAATTCTTTCCTAGAATTGGTGTTTCAACTAAAGAATTTCCATTTATTTCTAGGCGATGGTTTTCCTGCTTGGCAACACAGCTCCTTCATATGGCTAATGAACTTGACTCTAATAATAGGCTGCTTGGTAAAACTACTGGTCTACGGTGATCCACAGCTGGACACCCAGTCGGACATCTACTGGCAGCATAAGCAACGCGCCGAAGCTCACTTTTCCCAGGGTCAGGCGGCTCAGGCTTATGCCGGCTATCTGAATTGTCTTCACATGTTTGGACTGAGTTTGCCGGCCACTCGCTTGGAATGCTACCTTCAGACCACTTGGCAGTTCATACGCTTTGCTTTTCATCGCCTTTGGTTGGGTCGTGTGCTGTCCCGTCGGACAGGTGGACTCTTTAGCAACGCGGCAAACAGAAAGCAAGCTCTGGCCTCAGCCCGTGAGCTGGCTCTGCTCTTCAATCGCCTCAACCAACTGCAACTGACGGGCAATGGAAATGGAAGCGGAAATGGTGTAATGATGGCTCTATACGCCAGCAACATGGCTGAAGTGGCTCAAAATCTACTAACGCCACGAGAAACCATATGCATTCACGTGATGACGGCCCTGCGGATGAAACGAAGTGCACCCAAGTGGCTGCAACAGCTTTTTGCCCGCTATTACATGAGCCGGGCACGACAGGAATGCGGACGTACGCGAGCCACCGAGCAGACACAGGAACTGCGTTGGGCCTTTACTCTTTACGGCTATCGCTATTGCAGCACCCACATCTTCAATTACGATCTGAGTGAATCCAGCGAACAGGACGACTTTTTCACGAGGCTACGCAACCCGTGCGACCCAACAGCTCACGTTCTAAAGGTGAGATCTGAGCTCTGGTTTCAATATAAAACCCCTTACTTATTTGATATTCCTTTAGCAATACCGGGAACATTTGCTTTTTAAAGCCATTCAGTGCTTAGTTGGAGCCGGGCACAAGTCAGGTGGTGTACCTGCTTCCTCTGTAGGTGGAGAAGCGGAGCAATTGCAGCAGCAGCAACAGCACAGTGGTACTATAGTGAGCAATGTGCTGAAATACACATCACTGCTCCGAGACACTCTCTGGGCTGACGAGGACGAACTCGACACGAATGTGGTGTGGTGGGCTAACGTCCTGGAGATTGCAGTTCACTGGCTGTTGGGCGAGGACACACTGGCAGAAAAGCTGTATGATGGCATCAAACAAGTACCAGTCAAGTTCCAGCAGAACAACGAATCAGATCACCTTCCCAAGGCACTTCACGCGGTTCTTCGAGCCAAAATGATACTGCTGATGTGAGTTAATGGTTGAAAAACTTAATTGTACGCTATAATCGATTTATTTTGCAGGAACAATGGTAATAATCTGGACAAAAGATTGAAGCAATCGATCAACAGCCTCTGCGACGAATCTAGTGCCCAGTTGCAGGAGTGTTTGACTGTTAATCGGATTCAGAATGCCAAAACCATAAAGTTGGTAAGAAAGTTTGAAGATTTTTTGATAGTGAGGTGACCGAATACCAGCAGACACTTTTACCTGCCTTCGGAGATGTCACGCAGGTGCATTGTAGTCGCATTGTCTGTCCCGCTTGCTCCAGGCAATACAACTGCAGTGCAAGCTCTGTGCATTTCACAAACAACGCCACCTGTCACTGGCATACGGTGCCGGAACTCTCAATACTAATCAGTAACTAATCGACTACGATTTTCTATACGCAGCTGTTTCAATTGCTCACCTGCGATTGGCTACTCGAGACACGTACGGCCATGTGGGAACTTGAACACATGAATATGGATGACGATGGCTTTTACCAAGTCCCTGGTGACGAGCTAGAGAAATTCCAGACCGATTTAAATTCGTTGCGCAGCATTGTTGAAAATATACCAGTAAGGACGACTTTTATAAATGCATAGCTAATAGCTAATGCCTTGCTTTTTCAGAATGCGCAGTCAAGGATATACTTGTACGAAGCTGTTTGCCGGCTAATGGCCGGGGCCTCGCCCTGTCCCACCCAACAGTTATTGGACAGAAGCCTACGCTCGCGATACGCCCACTCGTCCATCTTCTGTGGAAGCAAGGACCGGCGTCAACAAAACTTCGAAGGCGGCGAACGAGAACGGGCTGCTGCAATGTATGTAGCCTGCAAGTACCTACCTCCCGCCCTGCTCAGCTCTCCGGGTGAGCGTGCTGGCATGCTGGCCGAGGCGGCCAAAACTCTGGAGAAGGTGGGCGACAAACGGAAGTTGAAGGAGTGCTACCAGCTAATGAAATCCCTGGGCAGTGGTATTGGTAGCGTCAAAGCTTAATCACGGATTTGATTATTATAAGTGTCTTATGTGTGTAATTTGACAAGGAGTCGGGATAGAAGGCAAAATATGAGCCTTGATTTCCAGCCCATTTCCCATTTTCCTCCCTCCCCCAGGAAAAAGCTGCCTTTAGGCTTTTTATTTACATTTCACCTCGTTTATGCCCGTTATGCTTAGATTGTAATTCCCAAGTAATTTAATATGGAAATCGTATTTGTTTAATATTTACCGTAATGGTTGAACATATTTATATCAATAAATATTTTAACAGTTTGACCTTGAATTTGATTCTTATGCATGGGCTTATTTGTGATTTAAATGCAAGCTTTTTATAAAAAAAATGGCCAGTACATCCGAAATAAACAGTGGGCATAGTTTAAGAAATCTTACAATAATAAAAACAGCTAATCTTTAAATATTCAATTGGAATAAACAGAAAAGATTGCAATTTAAATATATTTATATATAAATATTTTGAAAGATGCATTCCGCAATGTCAAGTTTATTATTAGAGACGAATTATTGGAGTACAATTCTAAGTTTTCTTGGTAAGATTTTCCTTTGAAGGCCAACAAGACATATATACACATATATGACCTTCCCTGTTTAGTGGGACAACATTTCACAAATTCACACACAACATGCATTCTGTGGCATTCCGATTTTGATTTCCACCTCGAAGACGTGGAACCAATACCTGTAATTATTATAAACTCAAAAAAATGGTCTAATTATTCGGATGGCTACGATACTTACAATTGGAATCAAAAACGGCGAGAGTTCGATACAAATGGGATATCATACAATGATTGGACACTGAGGTTGACGGTCGCCATCGAACATTCTCATTGCGAGGTAATTAAATTTATGTAAAAATGGTATCGCACTTAGCATGGGTATCTCGTTGGCAATGGTGACAAGTTGTTTCCTTAAAAGACAGCCGTAATACTTCGGAATCCCGCACAAGATTCTTCAACTGGAATTTTTGATCAGTTAATTGTTATAAAAAGAATTATCATATGGCCAACCTTTTCTTGGATATCCTCATTTTCAATAAAGGTGAGACTGAGCAGAAGATTTCGCTTTGGGTCTTCATTTGTGTTTCCACAGGAGCCAACTAATCTTTCACAATCCTTGATGGCCATGCGCCACGTAACACCCAGTTTAAGGTGTTTAAGATTGGAGCACTTTTTTAAAATATCCAAAAGTTGAAGTATTCCGTTTGGATATGGCTCCAAGCAATCTAAGGCCAAACACTCAAGACTAGTTAAGTGACCCAACTCATCTAATGACTGAATAGGATATTCATCGCAGTCAAAAGATTTAAGCCCGTTTAAAGATCGGAAATGATGCACTTGATCCACCCTAACACGGATAGATTTAAGTTTCAATCTTTGCAAGCGGCCGGCATAATGCTTTACTAGCGACCTGTAAAAGTCCGTGTTCATTTCCACGATCCGCCAGGAGAAAATTAAATGAAGCGATTGAAGATTCCTAAAGGTACCCAGATCTCTAATTCTGGAATCAAAGTTCTCCAGGGTAATGTGGTTGAGTCGCGGACACTTTTTTTCCACCTGGTGTAACAGAAAAGATTGCCTGAATCCCTGTCCAAAGTTCAGCACCAGACTTCTCAGTTGGTCCTTGTTATGGAACATAGTTTCAAAGGCTGAAATGCTAAGGGTTTTATCAATTCCATCCAAATCCAAAGCTTGAAGTTTACTAAAATGCTGCAGTTGTTCCACTGAAAGAGATTAAAAATGTTTAAAATCTTTTTCTAGGACAATACGTTAATGTGTTACAAAATATTTTTCCCATAAAGGCCTTTTTACTGTACCTACGGTGACTTGCTTTGGCATCTATAAGAGTTAGGTTCGTCAATCCGGGAAGCTCCAAGAGCAACGGCATGACACTGGAGGGAACATCTTCGGTCGTATGCAGTGGAGTCACTGTGTGCATAAATATTACCACCACCTGGCGGAGATTCGGGCAAAGGCGCCCTAAAAGCTTCAGAAAAGGATAAGTGAAACCGTCGTCCCAGTGGCCATGAGGAAGCTCGCATCTGATCACTTCGGAGCCGCACAGTCCCAAGAGGAACTCCCAATCTGAAATCGTCTTCAGCATCCGCACATTGATCTTTGTGTAACGCATTCGCAGCACATGACCAAGTACATCACAGAGCAGTGGATGAGCCCGGCCAAGATTCAGCAGATCCTCCAGCGTTGTTAAATAGGAAAATATTTTCAGGTAGCAGTCATAATTCAGCTGAAGGATACCGCGATTCGATCCTTGTGGTTTTCCGGACCGAAAGAAAAATGGGCAGGCCAACCCTAGTTTTTCCATTGCCCGACTATAAGAAGGTTTTCTTTATCTCTCGAATGGGGCGATTTTTCTCAATATTCTGCAAACCGTTTTGTTTATTTTGGTTTCTATCGATAACGTATCAGCTGTTGGGAATTTTCTATTGCAAGTTACTCAACACTGTTCATGTAAAACCACCGAAAATTATAAATTTTAAATTTTATTTTAGACTTTTATAGCATTCCAAGAACAGATTCCGGAATTCGCTGAATTCTTTTACCACTCGAGCATATATTCCATTTGGCGTTCCCAGCGAAATCGGTTTATTTTCGTGGCCACCGAAAAACTTTTTTCGAAAAAACAAGAACATTTTCTGAGCCAATATATATTTCACGGTTCGGCTTAAATTATATCTTAAAATTGGGTATCTGTTTTAAATTAGATTTTTTATCAGATCAACCACATATATTTCTTGTTACATCAACATATTTTAATTCAAGCGTAGTTGATATTAGAATTAACCGATTTGTGGGCAAAAGAAACTTTGAAGTGAATCCACCACCAGTAGAATTCGATTTAATTCAGCGTTACGATGCCAAACTCCAAGAGATAACATGGGAAAATGGAAGAAATAACGATGTGTCTCAGAAACTGCGAAACCTTCAAGGACGTGAGATAATTATTGGGATTTTTGATTACAAGCCTTTTATGGTGATGGATCGAGTAAGTTAGGGGTTTGGTCTTTATGTATTTCCAACTGGATTAGGACCTTTTCTTTTTTAGGAGAGAGAGCCAACAGTTTACGATCGAGCCACGAAAAAGGCAGATATTTTTATAGACGGCACCGATGTTAAACTTATGCTTATATTCTGCAAACTCCACAATTGCACCGTACAAGTGGACACGTGTAAGTATTTTAAATATTCATTGAGATATTTGAGATATGTGTTTTCTATTTTCACAGCCGAGCCTTCAGACTGGGGCTACATATACACAAATGCTACAGGAATAGGCCTAGTTGGAATGATTCTGGATAGGCAAAACGATTACGGAATTGGCGGAATGTATTTATGGTGAAACTAATAAAACTTGCCACATTATACCATCTAAAGATTCCCTTTTTTTTTAAACAGGTATGAGGCATATCAGTTTATGGATATAACTCACTTTTTGGGACGTTCTGGTGTCACCTGCCTGGTGCCCTCTCCACATCGCCTTATAAGCTGGACCCTCTTACTGCGTCCATTCCAAACTGCCCTCTGGATGGGCGTTATGCTGTGTCTTTTGCTCGAGTGCCTGGCCCTTTGTATAACTCGACGGTGGGAATCCTCTTCGGTTCCTGGTTCTCACACCTGGTTCGGCAGTCTAATATTTGGGTGCATTAGCACCCTTAAGCTTTTTGTTAATCAGAGCACCAGCTATGTGACCAGTTCCTATTCCCTTAGAACCGTTTTGGTCGCTAGTTATATGATTGACATTATCCTGACCACAGTTTACAGCGGAGGACTGGCTGCTATTTTAACATTGCCCACCATGGAGGAAGCGGCAGATTCCCGGCAAAGACTTTTCGATCACAAACTAATATGGACTGGGACGTCACAAGTCTGGATCACCACGATTGACGAGGGCTCAGCTGACGTTAGTACTCAAGATTCTATACTGTCAACCGAATGAACACTTTATGTACCTTCTTAGCCAGTCTTATTGGGCTTAATGGAGCACTATCGCGTCTTCGATGCCGAAAAGATTTCGGACTTTTCGCAATCCGAACAAATGGGTTTTGTGGTGGAACGTATGCAATTTGGACATCTAGGCAACACAGAGCTCATCCCAAATAGGGCTTTGGAGCGCCTAAAGTTAATGGAGGACGATATTTACTTTGCATTTACAGTGGCGTTTGTGCCACGTTTGTGGGCTCACTTAGAGGCTTATAACGACTTTATTCTAGCCTGGCACTCCTCGGGGATGGATAAGTTTTGGGAGTGGAAGATCGCCGCCGATTACATGAGCGCCCAACGCCAAAATCGGATCGTTGCCTCGCAGAAGCTCACCTTGGATATTGGTCCCATAAAACTGGGCATTGATAACTTCATTGGCCTTATTCTGCTTTGGTGCTTTGGCATGATTTGCAGTCTACTTACATTTGTGGGGGAAATATGGCTAAGGCGCGAAATATTCATATAATAAGAACTGTATTTTATTAGCTTGAAGCTATGATTTTATTCGATTTTATAAAATATAAAACTTTAAAATTGCGTTACTTAATTTAAATGCAAAACTTGATCAGTCACGCGAGCTAGAAGAGGATCCAACTCGTTGTCCCGTAAGTCCTTTTCCCACAATTCGTACAAAGTGTCCATTGCCAGCGTCACGGAGTTTTTAGCACTGCTAGTCTGGGCCGCGCGCAATGTAAGAAATATGACTGCATCCTCCACAAGTGGCGAGTAGACATCGCAGATCGTGTGCAATGCTCGAGCTCCACTGGGGGGAAGCTACAAGGTAAACGGTTTAAAAAGAATTATACAAGAGTATATTCGCTCGTAACTCACTTCATTTAGATTGACGATAAGGAATACTTTGCTTCCTTTTTTGACCTTAGCCTTAAAGCGTTCTATGGCTAATCCGTAGTCTCCATTTTGCACACCAAAATCTTCCTTGCTCATTTGAATCAGTTGACTGGGGCCACCTGTTACACAGTAGTCAGAACTAAGCACTTTTGATTTGCTTCGGTTTCACTTACCAAAACAGCTGGATGCTTCGGTGGCAATGTCGCGGATTAGCTTATGCTGCCGCTGGTCCTCGTGCAAAAATAAAAAGACACTGGGACGGTTAACTTCCTTGTTCACGATTCCTTCGATACCTTTTTGCAAGGCCCTCCACACTTTATCCGGCTGAGAAGGTAGCTTGCCACGAAGTCCTTCAAAAGCGCAAGTTTTACGCGAAACCTTATCACTCTTAACGTAAACCGAAATAATTATGACTAAAGCGAAAACAACGCCTAGCCATGCCTTTGATGTTTGTTTCTCCTCATTAATCGATGCTTCTGCATTCGGTCTGCTCCCACGCCTGTTACGCTGAAGAGGCTCATCCGTTCTGGGTGTTCGGGGACTTGCTCCGCGAATTTCGGGTGTCACCGGCGTCTTTGGAGCCGGCCGCTCCTCCTCCTCGTTAGTTTCTATCTCGCTAGCAGAAGAAGAACCTTCTTCGTAACTATGGGCACCTTCTTCATTGTTGAGCTTCTCAAACTGGGTAAAGGCCGCTGGGCTCCCCTCATGTATGGGTTTTCGCTGCATATTTGAAAGAACCACAAAGATAAAAACTAAACTAACCAAAGAAAGATAAGTAATCGATACAAAAATGTTTGTTATCGATAGTTAAAAACTATTGAAATACATTTAAATCTGGTTACCAATTTAATACCTATGAAATAATAAACCGTCCAGAATGGATCCAAAATCCAATATCCATACAATTAGACATTTTATTGAGAAACATCTAACTTGACAATTATTTGGCTTAGTAGAGAAAACCCACGCTTTGGCTGGGTTTCCCCAGAATTTTATAAATAACTCAGCAATCCTTTACTTCCAAAAACAAAATATTGATGCAGCAAATCTGATAAAATACTGTCTATATAACATAATATGAACGGTTTTTTGAGTCTTAATGCAAAGGCCCTTAAAAATTTACTCCGCCGGAGTCACCGTATTTAAAGTTAAGCGTCTCAACCTTCCCAAGACAAAGATTTCGTCTATGGCTCTTTTGGCGTAGAATTTTTGGTCGTCGCTAAGTTTCCGAAACTCCAGGGACCATGTTTGCGCGTAAATATTAGACTCTTCAATTCCGCCGTCACTGGGGTGGGTTAATGAAATTTCCGGCACGTCAGACAGCTGCCGTTGTTGCAGCCGATTAACTGGTTGGGTATGAGATGGAAGTATAGGGGAATCTACTGGAGGGAGGATTCCAGCTACATAAGCAGCTACATCCACAGCCGTCGGCTTGATCTCGATGTCGTCCGAGAGCGATTGACGGTCCTCCTCCGTTGTGTTCCCGCCATCTTCATCCATTTTGGATTGCTCGCTGGTGTCTAGACTGATTATTTCCTGCTTCTTAAGGTACTGTAGGTGACATTTGTGACGCCGTAGGTTCGTCGTGGACTTGTGTACAAAGGACATTATGTTCTTGCAACCCATGCAGTACAAGACCTCCTCCAGAATTGTCCCATCGTCCTTCTCGATCTTCCGGTACACTTGCCATACGGTGCTGCGTGTGCTTTTACGATTTGTTGCCAATTTGTAGACGCCACTCTCTATTTTCTCGTGTATATCGTCGAACTTACACGACATTCTGCTAAATTATTTTATTTGTTATGATTATTTATTTGTTATGATGCCAAAAATGCCTAATGCCAAAATCAGCTAGTGGTGTGAAAAAATAATCTAGGTGTTTCGATATATATCGATATATATACAACATGAAATCCGGCACATTGCGCCGGCTACTTTTACATATATAACAACGTTTTGTTATTATTATTTTGAACCGTTTTTCGACAGACTTTTACCAATGGCCGCATTGTGCTTAGACTTTCTCGGCTTTCAGGTGAGGTTCAGGAAATATAAAGAATTTGTTGTTTCTAAATTGGTGCATAATATGTACTGCATATGTCAACAGGAGGCCCTAAAGAAAATGCGAGATGTTGACGACAAAATTATTTATGCTCTAAACGCCTTGCCAACAGAATCGTTCAAGGGCCAGGTGAACAGCGAGGGTACGTGCCGGGACCTTTACTCCAAGCTTCAGAAGTCGCATCTCTCCCGGGTAACTACTCTTTTAAGCTTATCCCTGAATATCTTCTAAAGCTATATAAATCCATCCATTCAGCAAGATAGCATACGCAGTTGCATAACCCTGTCGGCAACCAATCTGAAGCAACTCCGTGAGCAAAAGCAAGCCAATCCGGATGACATAGACACAGACAGCAAATTTAAGGCTGAACAGCGCAAAGTAATGAAAAGCCAATAAGAAACTAATAATAAATTAAGAAACTAATTAAGATTTCTTTATAGTTGCGTGTGCTACAAGCCGAGCTCAACGTGGAGGATATCATAAAAGAGCGCACCTATAAGGCATTCAACGAGCGCTGCAGGACATACTTCCATGCAGGACAATAGGTACTTTTCTTGAGTACTGCCTTGTGCAATGATCACAGTCTAGTTTTAAGTGGAGTTTTTAGTGGTTAGCAAAAGGAACTGCCCAGCCAGAAGGCATTTACTAGAACCTGTGGTTTTAATTTGAAAAAGAGTAATTGAAGACTATATTTAAAAAAAAACTTGCATATTTTGATATTCATAATTGCTTTTACATTTTATTTACTGTGGCCTATTGCAACAAAATAATATTGGAATAAATTCTTTGTTGCTAATTCTTAACTCTCAGAAATACTCCCAACTGGTATCCCATCCCACCTAGTATTTGAGCATATTTTATTCGTCGATTGGAAGGTTGTAGGAGGCGTGAAGTGATCGAACGGGAACCCCTTTCATTGTGGCCAAAGCTCCCAGGACAATTTGCGTCGCATCCTTGAGGTCGTTGTATTCATGAAGCAATTGAATAGTTTCCTTTTGTCGGGAAGCGACGTCCTCGTCGACAGGAGTGGTGTCCTTTCGCTTGTTTGCATTTTTACGTGGCTTCTTTTTGGAATTTTTCATAATTATGCTGGAATAAAATTAAAATTAGAAGTCCGGGCTATCGCTATCGAATGCATCAGCTGTGATGCACTCAGTCGCCAACAGTACGGTCACACTGTTCGTCAAAACGTGTAAAATTTCCTGCTGCTCTTTGCATGATTAAAAACACGGAAAAGGAAAGGATTACCCAGCACAGGTAAGGTGTCGATGCACCAACCATATGAGTGTATTTCTGCTCCAGAAAAATGTGATACCTAGCTGCAAGTGTGTGTCCCCCACAGATTAAATTCCTCAGTGCTGACCTAAGCCCGCACACTCACACGCACACGGGCACACACATTAAAATGTGAAAGTGTTATGATTGTTCATATTGCTAGGAAATCTGAAAGGTTCATTAAATGCCATTCTATGCACAATAAAAATGTAAAAACAAATCCTTCAGACTATGGTTTTTGTTTTAGAATGCCCGGTTGGCACGCTTAGCCTGTTCATGGTTAAAACTATTAATCTTTAAAAACCGAAAGTATTTTTTTCGCATAAGAGTCCTTATAGTATATCCTTATATATGTACCTAGATAAACCTTATAGATAAACAGTTGATCTTCTAATCGGATGATCTTTCAGAATAAATGTTGCAGAGGTAGCAACAAGTAATATTTTAAAAAGTTTCAATCAATATACATACATAGCTCTGAAACACAATTCGATCATGTGCCAACCCTAAGTTTGTTCCAGACCTTAGTATCTGACACGAAATCAACCCATACGGCTCCTAGTTTTCAAACCTTATCAACAGTTTTGGTAAATTATTATATTGTAGCCTCGAAATTGCCAGACGACAATATGTCCACCACCCACAAACAACGCTACAAAAATGCCGCCCTGGATTCCACTGAGATGCGCCGTCGCCGCGAGGAGGTCGGGATCCAGCTTCGAAAGACCAAGCGGGAACAGCAGCTTTTCAAGCGCCGTAATGTGGTCTTGGAGCCAGCCACATCCTCGATGTCTGCCGGAATGGACAGCAGCACCAGCCAAGAGCATCAGGTAGGTCGGCCATAACTTATCATTTTGCAAGTCATTTATAAATTATCATATTCGTGTAAAGGCCGGCGACATGCACATGGCGGACAGTAGCACCGGACAGCCGCAGTTTGCAGGACATTTGGATGGGGCCGCCGAAAGCGGAGCTCAGGTCTCTGCTATCAGCGATGAGATGATTTCAATGCTATACACCAACAAGGAAAGCGACCAGCTAGAGGCCACTCAGAAATTCCGAAAACTGCTTTCCCGCGACCCCAATCCGCCCATCGAAGAGGTTATCCAGAAGCGAATTGTCCCGCAGTTTGTATCCTTTCTACGAAACAGCACCAACGCCACATTGCAGTTCGAGGCCGCTTGGACGCTGACCAACATCGCTTCCGGCACATCGCAACAAACCAAGGTCGTTATTGAGGCCGGGGCTGTGCCTATATTCATCGAATTGTTAGCCAGTCCCCACGACGATGTCCAAGAGCAGGCTGTGTGGGCTCTTGGCAATATAGCTGGCGACTCGCCATTATGCCGTGATCATCTCCTTAATTCCGGAATCTTAACGCCACTCCTGCAGTAAGTCTCATTTGAAAAACCATAATTCTCCCCAAACATAATCTCATTTTTTTTTCAGTGTGCTAACTACTTCTGAACGCATTACATTGATACGCAATGCGGTATGGACACTATCGAATTTGTGCCGCGGAAAGAACCCGCCGGCAGACTTTTCAAAAATAATCCACGGTCTGCCTATTTTGGCACGCCTGTTGAACTACACCGACGTGGACGTTCTCAGCGATACATGTTGGGCCATCAGTTACCTGTCCGATGGACCGAACGACAAAATTCAAGCTGTTATTGATGCGGGTGTTTGCCGACGCCTGGTTGAGCTACTACTGTATGTACTTGTATGTCTCTATGCGTATGATTCAACAATGTGATATGTTTTCCTTTTGCAGACATCCCCAACAAAATGTTAGCACAGCCGCATTAAGAGCAGTGGGAAACATCGTCACTGGCGATGACCAGCAGACCCAGGTTGTTTTGAACTACAACGTTCTGCCCTGTATTAGTCACCTGCTGCGTTCCACAACCGAGACAATTAAGAAGGAATCTTGCTGGACTATCTCAAACATCGCCGCTGGGAACCGGGAGCAAATCCAAGCCATAATCAACGCCGACATATTCCCCATGCTGATGGTCATTATGCAAACAGCGGAGTTTAAGACCCGAAAAGAGGCTGCTTGGGCTATTACTAATGCCACAAGTAGTGGTACCTCCGAGCAAATTCACTATCTTGTCGAGGTGGGCTGTGTGCCGCCCATGTGTGATTTCCTCACCGTTGTCGACTCCGATATAGTGCAGGTGGCGCTGAACGCGCTGGAGAACATATTGAAGGCGGGTGAAAAGTTCCAGGTGCGACCAAATCCATACGCTATCACAATCGAGGAGTGCGGAGGTAAGTCATATTGTCAGTTTGTTTATTTACCTTTAATTAATTCGCATTTTTAAGGTCTGGATAAGATCGAGTATCTGCAGGCGCATGAAAACCGTGACATCTACCACAAATCCTTCTACATCATTGAACAGTACTTCGGAAACGAAGATGAGGATCCTCGTGTGGCCCCAGAGGCCGGTAGTCAGCAATTTGAGTTCAAACCGGACAACATGCCCAGCAGCGGTTATAACTTTTAGCACACCACCAAGTTTCATGTGCCGATGTTTTTTTAACTACGAACACACAGAGCACACTACAGAAAATTGAGGCAAAGCACTGCGCCTGCCACGCCTTGACCGAAATGCAGGACAAAAGAAATATTCAAGGGATTGAACGAAATGCGCCCAGGAAGGGCAGTCACTAATAGCATTTAAGAGATGGTGGGGCCCGTTATTATTTCATTAGGTTTTACATACTCGGCTGCACATTGTATCTGCGATTATTTTTTCGTTTTTGGTCCTGGACCAGTCATGACCTTTACTCAAGCATTTCACCAGCTGGCGGAATCGCTTTTACTTAGTTATATGTACTAATTAAATGTGTTATACGATCTTATGTATATGTATTTACTTTCATTTTGATTTTGTAAATATTCTATATTTTATTAAGCCCAATTTCGTTGAGAGCCTGACTTGGTGTTGTTATACATTAATAGAGACACGCGTAATTTTACTTTATTTTGTTACGAATACTTCAGAAATCTATAAACTTTTCAATGTTTCATTTAATTGGAAGGAAATTTGAATAAAGAACAACAACCAGACCAGAACTATAAATCGTATCTACATCTAAAAGCTATGATTATGATATTTAGGTGCGCTTTACAAATTTCACTTTGTAGGGCTTCGGAGTAAGTGTGATCCCTGGAAGCAGTACCATTGACGGGGCTTCACCCGTTGGCAGGATAATGTGGAAGTTTTGAGCGATCTTCACCAGAAAAGAGAATATGCAGGCACGGGCGAGGGCGTCGCCGAGGCAACGGCGTCTGCCCATTCCAAAGGGCATGAAATACTCATCCTTGAAACACTTGCCATCTGCATTAAGGAATCGCTCTGGACGGAATTCGAGAGGATCGCCCCAGTGCTTGGCGTCGAGATGAACGGACCGCAGTCCAATTAGGATAGTGGCGTTCTTGGGGATGTCGTAGCCACCAAGTTGGGTAGGCCACAGAGCCCGGCGGGGTCCTGTAATTGGAGTAATGTGGAAAAATCGCTGCACTTCCATAATGAAAGCATCCATATAGTCAAAGGACTCGCGTCGGCTTAGATGCGGAAAGGCATCTGTACTGGCCTTTTCCATGTTCGCGGATACCTCGGCAAAGAGCTTATCTTGCACATCCTTCCGCATGGCCAGAACCATTAGAGCCAAGTTAATGGTATTGCTGGTGGTTTGGGAGCCAGCAATGAAAAAGTCCAAAATGGTCATAACGAGCTGAGTTTCATTAAAGCTGCTGGTTTCGTCCCCATTGCTCTGCATCTCCTGCAAATAAGCGTAGATGAGATCTTCATCCTTGGGGCTCTGATCCTTTTCGAGCTGACGACGGTGGTCCTCTATGGTGCCCATGAAGAAGCCGTAGAGTTCGGAGTTAAGCTGCCGGATGAGATTGTAGCCGGTGCGATCGGGAGCAAAGTGCCGCAGCCAGGGAAACTGAGCCAGAAGCCCGCCACAGATGTCAAAGAGCTTGGAGCGCCGGTTCATCAGGTCTAGTAGCTTGTACAGTGTGCTATCCTCTTCGCTGACGATCCTCTTGCCGGCAATGAGGCACCACAACACGTTGAGAACGCTCTGGGCCAGCCAGGTTACAGGTTCGGTTGGTTCCTCCTGGGTGCGACCCAACTGGGCCATCAGCTCCTCCGCCTCCCGCTCAATGTGCTGCTCCATCTGGCTGCGGCCGTATCCCACGTGACGCATCTGTTTCATGGCAAAGTTACGGTGTTCGTACCACAGCTTTCCGTCCGTGCAAGTAATACCTTTCCGGGTACCCATCGTCCGCAAGCGCAGGAAAAAGTTATCCGGTCGACCTTCAAACACCTCCTGCAGCTGCACCTCGCGCACCATCTCATGCCCCATCGCCACCACTACATACTCTTGGCCCAGCTTCAAGCCGATTAGGTTGCTCTTGTACTTCTCAGACCAGCGCTCGAAGAGGATATGCTGACCGCCGAGGGCACGAGCCTCTTTGCGAAACTGAAAGGTAATAATGCGGGCTGGGTTATTCTCTAAACTCTTAAAACCTGAAAGCTTAAAAACCCAAGGTTCTTTAAAACATACCTGTAAGGTGTTACCAAGCCAAGGGAGGAAATCGGGTCCTGAGAAGATACAATTCAAATATTACAAAATATCCAAACATTGCATAGGCTTATTCAACATTATTTTGATAATTTGGAAGTATTATCAACTAATTTATTAACAACCCATTGATTTGTTGATAAAGTCTAACTCGGTAATCACTTAATAAAAAGTGAAATGTTTCTAATCTTATCGGTTCTACCAATTCAATCTTTAAATCTGTTAGTTAGGCCACTTAGTTATAAGCTTTTAATAAAAATGTGCATAGGGAATTATGTTTGGTATTTTTAAAAATAATAACTAGCATACTTGAAGGTTTTGAAATAAATTTAAAAAATAACTCAAAAACTTATAAATCTTTTGTTTATTATACAATTATAACTATGATAATTCTCTCCCTATTAAGGATTTAAAATTAGGTTTTCAAATGTAATCTTGTTTTGGCAATTACATGTCTAATAAATAATCAAGAATGCAAGTCATCTATAGATCAGCTTGGCCCTTGTTAATGGAAAACAATTCAGACCAGTTAGGCAGGGTGTCAGAAATGTGTGACGATGTTATCAATGAGATCTATTTGCATGCCAGACGCGAGTCTTGCCACCTGTCGAAGTGTCCGATGACCATTACAAGTTGCTAATTAGCTCCCCATTTGAGTGGTCAGTGGTGAGTGTGGGGCAGGTCGTATGTCTGTAAGTCTATCCTCTACCATTTATGGCAAATATTCAGAGCTAATAAACATGCGATAAAATTTATGAGAACTTTAAACAGTAGCATGAGTGTTATTTTCTATTTTAAAACTTTATTTCTTATCAATTTGAATTCTCCGAAGAACGCACAATGAAATTCTTTTATATCCCTTTGGTAGAAATTTCATAAGAGCCTTACCTGGGGGAAAGTTCTTGGGTCGCCGCATGGATTTGAAGAGTGAATAAATCACAAATCCAACCAGGATCGTACTCAGAAATATGAGGGCACTCATTTCAATAAAACTTGATTGGACGGCGAAAACCAAAATGATACCGAAACCCGAAACGATGCCTTTATCCGCGTAAATTATGATTTAATAGGGGAGGGTGGTGGAGAGCCACAATGCCAGAGCGTCCGCACACGACGCCAGCTCTATGCCAACTAATTTCGAATCCGGCGATTGAGACAGCAACAGACCCAGGCCAATCCCACGCGCCTGGTCCGCCGCCGCCTCTTTATGGGGGTCTATTGATAGTGCAGGCAAAAAAGAAATAAATAAAATAACAAAAATCAGGCAAAAAGCCCGTCTCACATGATAAACCAAATAAACCGACATTCATGTCGGCGGCACAGGTACTTACACACATATGTACATATAAGTAGTTATGTGTCCAAAGAAATTCGAGCAACGATCACGTCCAAAACGTGCTTGGCTAAGAACTATTTTTTCTTTTGTTTATTCACTACAAGCGTTCTCTTCTACAATAATGGGGTATCAGAGAACAATAATAAAAACTTGATTGGTTGAAGAACGAGAGAATTCCCATTGAATTGTTTAAAATTCTTTTAACTTTAATTAAATTATTTTGGTACAAAAGTATGGCTTATCAGAATAAGTGTTTGTACATCATTACTCAACATCGGGAGATGATCTTTGGGAATGTAAACTAATGCATAGGTCGTTTCTCTTTCTAATGACCTTATAGAAACACCGAATTTTTGGCAATTATGTAGTCAATTTCGTTCGTCCATGGATTTTTAAATGCCCGCCACTCGCTCTGCAGTTGGATGAAGCTATTATCCTTGCAGCGGAATCTATAGACCTGCGTGGTAACCTTTTCTGGCACCTGCATAACCATTTTGTGAGACTCCATCAAGGCGGCGATGTCTTCATTGTGGAAGTACTCGTAAAAGCTGGTGCCCAGGATCTCTTGTGGAAGGAATCCAATCACGAGGGTGGCACTATTGAAAAGTAACCAAAATAATAGTTAGCCAAGGGCATTAAGGAGAGATTACACAGCCTAGAAGCTTCTTTAAAAGCTACCAATTTAATACATACCGCTGGTCTATAAACAGGAATTTGCCCTCACCCGAGTGCCGGGATAAAAAGAGCACGTGCCGAATGTTGGGATGATTGTCCAGCGAGGCAGGAACTGTGGAATTATGAACGTTTGGTGGGATGCGACCAATGGCCACCAGACACGAAAGATTAGTCGTTTGCTCATCGCTGTCACCATCCTGTTCCTCGTCTTTGATAGGCGTCCAGGACTTGAGGTAGCCAGTACATTGAATAACCCGGTATTTATGACCCGTACTCAACTTGGACTTTCGCTTGGTGGAGCTGCGCGAGCTGGATGAAGTGTCCGATTCCTCCTTTATTTGGTTGTTGGTGGCCCGCAGTTTCATGCGACAAAAGAATGAACGCCGGGCACCTGGACATAAACGGCACAAGCTTTGCGGCACGTCTGTTTTTACCGGCAACATGGCTTCACGGAGAAAAGCTTTTAGTTTAAGGGATATTTGTGGTTTAATAAATCACTTACTCTTTGCATCGATGAGTCGCTCCCTAGGACACTGTTCCAGCGATGAAAGTTGCTCTTTGACCTTACCAATGTCCTTAGGATGCAATACGTCAAACCAGCTCTGTCCAAGCAATTCTGCCTGAGTGCAGTTGAGCACATTGGACACTGATTCGGAGACATAAAGGATGCGTCCCCTATCACAACCCACAACGAATAGAAACCCTTCCGAGGCCTGCAGAATGATCATTTTAAGCTCCTGGTCCGATAGAAAACTAGGCCGGTAGTCTGACACATTGAAGGGATGAAGGCTGCCGCTTCCGCGTATCCCACGGAGGTGTTGTACCGCCATCCGGAGAACTGTCAGCTTGTCCAGCTTCCGCTGCATGGCGTAGCACATGGGAATCATGGAGGAGAGCTCATTGATGTAAGTGTTCATCTTATCCCGCCGCCGTTTTTCGATTTCACTGTGGTTTTGCCTGCCGCGATAAAGAAATGGTTAGTTAAAAGGATGTATGATGTACAGTATAGGATGTATATATATTAGATTTTAAATTAATTTATTTTTCCTACTTTCGATTTTCATCCGAAGTTCTCGCAGATTTCTCCTCGTCGAACGTTTCGTCCTCAATCTCCTCCAGATTATCGCTGAAATAATAATAATAAGCTAATTTTAATAAGGAGGGCTAAGAAAAAACCACCCCATTGCGTGTCTGGAGGTGGTTGCCAATGTAACGGGAGTCAACTGTTGCTCGCTTTTCCTTTTGCACCCACCTGAGCGCACACTAGCATACATCTCGTGGGTGTGCGTATCTATGTGCCTGCAGATGTGCGGTGGTGTGAGTGCTCGACTCAAAACGCACAGCTTTATGTAATTGGCAATGCACTTTTTTGGTACTTACCAGAACTCTGTCATTTCCATTGCCAAGTTATCACGACCTACGGAGTTACTTATTTTGCAATCTATTGCAAGGGGTTTGGATTTGTTTACTAACAATATCTAGCAAACGGGAAGAATCTGCAGTAGAGCTGGAAGCAAAGTAGCTTTTAGAATCGATACATCGATACCTTTAGAACTTTGAGAACCATCGTTCTAAGAATGAAGAACGGATTTATGGTATTACTGGTCACATTTGAATTTATTTTAAAAACTCGTTAAATTAGTTTTTAATGTTTATTTTTTACGTTCTACAAATATCATATACAAGATAGCACAACACGAATGAAAACAAACAAACAATAAATACATAAAAAATCAATCTTTATCTTAACCTAATCACAGCTTTAAATGTGATACATTTTATCCAAGCATATCGTAATAACCTGCATATATCGGTCCCAAAGGCATCGAGTTTCTTGATCCCTGCAATCATAAATACATTATTGCCGTCCCTTAATTAAATATATTCAACAATTTACCTAGATATCTCCAAATCCAAGACGCTCTGTGTAATGGACGCCAAAAACTTGTTCACCTGCTCACGATTCCACCCATTCTGTCGCCAAGGATCAATTAATTTCTCGCACAGATCGACAAACAAATCGCGAAGCTCCCGGTTGCGATGCAAGTTGCAGGCGATTGTTATTAATGCGCGCCAATATGAGCTTTAGAAAATAATAATTAACATCGAAAAATTGGATGTGAATACATTATACGCACCGAAAGTTAGCATCGAGTTCGTGAAAGGCTCGCTCTAGAAGTACAGGCTTAAGACGTAAGCAGACGAGGCTAAAATATGTAATCTAGTATATTAATCTTTACAGATTAAAAATATATTCCTTACTGTTTGATTTCCTTCTCCTTGTCCAGCAGACAGCGCAATTCTCGTAAATCCAAAAGGAATTCCTTATCCATTTCTGTGTCATAATATTCGGGACCCGTGTGCTGCAGAAAGAGTGTAAGCTGTACCGATGATAACTTGATAGAAATTATTGCTTGCCTGGTATGTGTATGTCCAGTATATCATAATGGCATGGGAACAGGTCAAGAGATCACTAAAGCTTAAGTACTGTAATTTCTTTTTTGTGGTTTCAAAGCGCAAACAGGCTAAGAACACAATGCAGGCGTATTTTCTAAAAATAAATGGTTTTATAAAATGATTGTCCGTGGAAGAAGACAACTCCTACTTGGCTAAATCGTTGGATATAAAGAAGTGCTGTTTTATGTTGTTGGTCAACGTGCCAGGCATCTCCTCCACGGCCTTAAAAATGCGCTTTACATTATCGAATTGTCGTCTGTCCAGAAACATAACTTTGTTAGTCCCTATTCAATAAAACTATTTCAAAAATAACTCACCTCACAGACTTTAGCTTGACGCAAGTCTTCTCAGCCACCTCATCCAGATCCTTGCGGTATCGAGACGATAATTTCTTCCCGAGAATCTCGCGGGCAACCACATCGTCGATGGAGTAATACTTTTCGGTTATCAAATCGCGCACATGTGGCTCCAATTGGAAACAAGACTGTTCCATTAATTTTGTGGGTGCGTTTAAATAAAGTTCAATCAGTGAATAGGTTCGATAGTGGTCCAGTACATCGGAGGCAATGAGGTCGCTGGGAGCACCCATAGAGTGTCCAAATCCCTTCTGTTTCAAGTAGGATACTGCCTCGCTGGCTGATAGGGAAATTTTGTTAGATTGGTACAGGTAAAAAAAACAGGGTATATCACTTACAGGAGAAACCCTCGATCCATAGCTGATAAATCTCTGGATCCACAAGAGTGTAGTTGCTAATAAAAACATCCACATCAGCCTGAAATTTTTGTAATTTTATAAAAAACCCTTGACAAAAGACTAAAGTGGATTACCATTTTCTGTTGTTTACATCAATAGTGGACAGACGTCCGATGATATTAGAGATGTGACTTGAAATATTAAGTAAATCGAATTTAATATATAATTAAATAGTTATTCATTAAAATGATGTTGCATATATGGTAAAATATTCACAATAACTCATTCTGTGATCGTAAATTTTTAAAATCATTTAATTTTTTAAATTGTTTTATTTATTTTGTTCCTAGGCTTAAAATAAAAAGGTGAATTGTACGAAACTTAACTATCGATTATATAATTCTCGCTATCGATAACTGCAATGCGCATGGCAACTCTAGTTATCATGAGGAAGAAGAGGAGGATATCAACTTTTGGAGACGAAATTTTGTAAAGTTTAGCTTAAAAAATGTAAATTGCAATGAACTAAGCTCTGTAAATAGTGCAATGAAACGTCAACGTACACAACACGCACTGCGCATGTGAACGGGGTGCGCGGGAAAAAGCGGATCGCGCCGCAACGGCAACAGCAGCAAACAACAACAACAACAACACAGTATAATCGTATCCAATTGCAAGTTGCATTCGCGCAACTAGATGCATCTTATAGCATAAAACCCAAATACTAGCTAGCAAAACAAGTGAAAGTGAACAAGAGTGCGCGCCTGGCACAGCGATATAATATGGAACAGGTCGACTCCTCAACCGAGCTGCACCTGAATAGGAAAGATCTAGCCGCGCTGACCGACGACGTGCGCGACGTTGTAAAGGAAGAGGTGATACTAGAGAGTCCGGGCCATCACCACAATCACCATCAGGTAAGGAAACAACATTGGCATTGGCGGGGTGACTGTGCGAACGAATCGGGCACGGTTCTGGTTCCAGGCTTCGGTAATGGAGCTGGATCTGGATCGGAGTGTGCTCCGCTTTGCTCTGCGCAGTTGTGGAAAGTGGGTGGTTGGGGGTTGGCGACGGGGGGCATCTGTGGGCAGCGGGAGGCGAGTGGGTGGCGCAACAAAAATGCGCGCGGTGCTTGCGCCCTACGAACTGCTGCTTCATAGCTCCATGCGACCCACTAGGCCATCGCTAGCCCAACCCCCACCGAAGCCCGCCACACGCCACCCACCACCCTCATCCCAGCGCTTTTGTGGCGCAAATTGTTGTGTATACCGATTTTCATTTTTCCCATGCTGTGTTGTTTACTTACATTCGAATTTTCCTCATCGACTCCTGATAAATCCCAACGCATCGCGTTAAATTTATTCGGAAACAAAATCAATTGGCGCTGGAAACTATCTCGAATACATGTGACGACCGTGGGAATATGTGCGCAATGGTAATGCAGTTGGACTCGAAGGTTCGCATGGTCACATCCTCCTCGAACGACAACAGCGGCAGCGGCGGCGGTGCTTCTGGCGGCGGAGCAGGCGGTCCTGGTACAGCGGGAGGCGGCGGAGGCGTAGTTTCGGTCCCAGTCTCACTGCCCATCGGATCGATGATAACCGGCACCACCTTTAATGTGATCACGCCCGACCAGCTGCCCCACTTCAAGCCGATGCTGTGCGTCGATAACAATGGCTACCTGTCTGGCAGCACAGTCAGCATGGGCAACGACCTTAAGACGATCGTTATCCAGCAGCAGACGCAGCCCGGTGCCGGCGGAGGCGGGGCTGGAGGTGGCGGCAACGGCGGCGCCAACAGTGCGGGCACCAACACAACCGCCACCAATACCATCGGTCTCAATCACGATGGCTCCGGGAGCAACAACAGCCACGACAGCCTTGCCACGCTGGAGCACACGCACACTGGGGCAGGTGCCGGCGGTGGCGGAGGAGGCGGCGGCAACACAGGCTCCACCGGCTGGCAAGAGAACTCGTCCACCCAGCACATGGAGGTCTTCCAGATCCGATGCAAAACCACCTGCGCCGAGCTCTACCGAAGCAAGCTGGGATCCGGCGGTCGTGGACGCTGCGTTAAGTACAAGGACAAGTGGCACACGCCCAGTGAATTCGAGCATATATGCGGCCGTGGTTCTAGCAAGGATTGGAAGAGATCCATCAAGTACGGAGGGAAATCGCTTCAGTCCCTTATAGACGAGGGAACGCTCACGCCGCACGCGACCAACTGCAGCTGCACGGTCTGCTGTGACGACGAAGCAGGTGAGTCAGGTGAGACGACATCAACAACTATTCACACCTGACCACACCGTGCAGTGAACTCGAGCATAACCGAATATTGGTGTTAGTTAAATGGCCAATAAGTGATTTTCGAAATTCAAATAAGAGTTCCAATTCCAATATTCCTTATTGAAAATACTTTTTTTTAATTAGTATAGCTTGGCTCAAAATATAGCTCACTGGTTATGCCAAGTTCACTGTGTAAGGCCTCTTGAATGAATCACTTTACAAATTATTTTCCCATTAAATAAACCCTCCACAGCATCCGGTCCAGTGCGTCTTTTTACGCCCTACAAGAGACGGAAGCGAAATCAAACCGATCTCGACATGGAGCCTGGACCAAAACGCAAAAGGAATACCCATCACAGCAACAACAACAATAGCAACACTAATAACAACAATACAAGCGGAGGCGGTGCCAACAATAGTGTCGATGTTTCTGCTGCTGTAGCCGCGGCAGCTGCTAATGTTGTGGACGAGAATAACATGTTCCTGGAGGAGAACATCACGTCAAAGGACGAACCGTGGGCGGAATTGAACGACAGCCTGGGCACCTCCACCGAATTGGTTGACCAGTCGCAGATGGGGAATACCTACGAGCGGGAAACGTACGTGGTGAACATTAACGACGGGTCCTCCATCGCCGTCCTGGACACCAGCCAATCGTTGAAAAACATTGAGCACGTCTACTGCACAATGGTGAAGGCGACCAACGACTTCAAGCGCCTGCTGAACGACATGAAACAGACCTACGAGCGCCGCCTGGAGGTCCTGCAAAAGGAGCGCGACGCAGCGGTCAGTGCGATGCGCGTCCAAGTGCACGCCGATATCGATGACCCCAATATATCCGGCTCCCTGCATGGCAACGAGATCATATCCGCAAAGAAGGTGAGTTTACTTTTCTTTAGAATTGGATAATCTTATGGATTCGATTTATTTTTAAATAGTGCGCCAACTGTAATCGAGAAGCTCTGGCAGAATGCTCTCTGTGCCGGAAGACGCCGTATTGTTCAGAATTCTGCCAGCGCAAGGATTGGAATGCTCATCAGGTGGAGTGCACAAGAAATCCACAAACGACAACGCAACAGGTTATGCTGTTGATCGATGATCAGTCCTAAGGAACGTAACGAATTGTACATACAAATTTTACTACTAAATAATACGATTATATAAAGTTCCCCTCAATCCTCCTTACTGTACGATCCAGGCCAGCCCAACCCAGACCCCTTTGCCCCCTGCCTTGAGCCCACTTCCACTCCTTAGATACCCATGAGCAGTCTGCATCCTTTTAGAATTATGTTCTATATATTAATGTAACTCTTAACTTACATATAACTATATAAATATATATACATTTTACTATTGAACGTAGGTCAAGCCAGCAAAAAAAAAAACAAAAACAAAAAATAAGCGAAAAGAAAATAAAATTAATGAAAAAAAGAGTAAAAAAACGTAGCAATCGAAAATCAAAGCAAGTGCAAAGGCGTAGATAATTAATTAAGCTACGATTTGAAAGTAAAAAAAAGAACCTAAAGCGATTACTTGTAATTCAATTTAAATTAAATTAAATTAAATTAATAATAGTTGCAAAGCGCATAGCATAACTAACAAGAGAACCCTCCACCCATCCTCTTCCCGCACTCCATCACAGAAAACACAGAACGCAAAACCCAACACTAACTACGAAAGGAAAACACTTAAAACTCTGAAATTACAATACATATTTGTCTATGTATACATTTTTCATTAGACTCTAAGCGCATAGTTAAACTTTTAACATTTTACCATTATAATTTTACGGATTCTACTGCCCGTTACAAGCATCCAATAAAGATTTCAAAACAAAACCAAACCAACCAACCAACAAATATACTTCAGTATGCAATAAACTCGCAAAGTCCAGGTCCCTCGCAAAGCCCGTACCCGGAACATATCCGTACCGTAATCGAACCGAAATGTAAACAGAAAAAGAACATTAAATCGAGAAATAAGGAAAGCAATTTGCAATTATTTAGCTGTGTGTATATGTGTCTCGTAGGGTTTTTCCCCCTTTTCTCCACCTCTCAGAGTTTGTAAAGATTTTTCCGCCTTTCCCGTCGCGTCTGAGTCGTCGTCCCGTTGGTGTAACAATTCAAATAGTCTTAGTCCCCCATATGCTAATACATACATTCATATATGTAGAATATATATATATATATATAAAATGATATCTTTAAACAACTAGCTATATATTCCGGTTCACGCACACGCTACACAACACACGAGATGCAGAGCAATCGAAATACGAAATTTGAATTTCGAGTTTCCGGCGCCCCCCGTCTAAGTTAAAGAATTTGAAATCTTTATTTAAATGTCTGTAATGGTTTCGGATGTGGCATTCAATTAAAACCAAACAACTACACCGCAAAAAAAACAATGATTGCATTCACATCATAAATCAAAACACGCAAGTAAAGAATGCAGATACAGATCGAAGAAATATATACATACATTTAAATGTACAAAGTCTACGTTATGTGGTGTTCCTTTTTGGTATCCTTAAATACTTTTTTTTAAATATTGTTTTGGAGATGCATATTTTCTACCAGCAGCAGAAATATGTAAACCACTTCATCGTTTCTTAAAACATGACACAGATCTTGAAATATAATAAATCATCCAAGGAACTTGATTTTTAAACAATTTGTGTATGAAAAGTGGGGAGGTCCTTATCGATTTGTCTAGACTTACCTAGATCCACAAAATAAAATCCAATTTTAACGTTTGTTAGTTATTATGCACATGTTTCATTTATTATTGCATTTTATGTTGCTGTGTTGCATTATTATCGAATTATCAGTATGCTTACTATTATTGTATTCTATTACCAAAAATAATTTCTTAAAACTTGTTTACTCGTTTAATTTAGTTATAGGTATGTTATCAATTACTTTAAGTTTGCATTTTGCAACTGCTCGGGATAGTGTCTGCTATATAATTCGATTTATACTTGCCAGCGGTAACTCGGTAACTTGTTCAATAATTCTCCTTTTGCTCAAACTACAATTACTCGGAACCTAAAACTCCAGGGGGGAAGAGCTACAGCATATATATATAATTATATATATATATATATATATATAGATCCGTGAGAGTGGGTGGGGAGGGGTGTACATAGAACGAAACCGATATTTAAACATAGTTTTGTTTATTTCGCTGTCTAAGATTGCGTTTGTTGCTGTTTGGCGTTAGTAACTAATTTGTGTGATAGATTTTCGATCCGCATCCGTATGTTGAGATAGACCTTGAGGGGGATTTCATTATGTATAATGTGTTTGTGTTTTATAATTAATAATGATACAAACATATACGTACAATAAACGTGCCTAAAATTTATAACATTTCTCAATTGGCTAAATAATAAATTTATGGGTAATTTGCTGCTGCCCAATGAAGTAAACAATATAGTATATATATATAAAAAATTGCCAAAGGGGTCCTTAATTCAGGATTTAGGTTTACAAACACAACGTTCAAACGGTTAAGATTAGGGTTAAACAAAGCCAATGTGGAAGGACAATGGGGGGGATTAGTATAGCGTTTAACCTAACTCGAGGCGCGGGTGACGCTTTAAGCAATATGTTTTCTTTTTACATACAATACATCGTTTGTTCTCGTTATCATACTCGTATTCATCTTTTTGTTTGGAATCACAAATGTTAGCTAGTATTTAAATACACATGTAGGTAAGACATTCAAAAAGGAAAATTGGGTTTTCGTTTAGCGTGGAGAATGCTCTTGGTGGTGATGGTGTTAGAGAGACGATTGCGACGGCTGTGGTGGTGATAAAATGGTTGGCAAAGTGCGGCAAACATCATGCTGCTTCTGCTCCAATCAAGCTCTGCCCAAGCTCCAGCTACTGCTTCACTCCAGATTTCGCACCTCGAACCGCTTGTACGTATAGTTAATAAAGACCCAGTCCTTGGCGATTTCACCGCCCTGCGGTATTGGCGCCGATGCTATAAATTTCAATGCTAAATTATTTAAAATCTTTACATTAGTTTCCAGTAACTTACGTATTTCCAGCGACACATCGGGAAACTCGTCGAAGTTGGAAGTATCGTCGATGGAACGCACCTCGACGGGAATGGCCGCGGGTCGCTCACGTATATGCTCCCAGTCGACGCCCCGGAAGAAAGGCACCGACTTGAGGTCCTCAAGACCGCGCTGGGATCCCAGCCGCCGGTCTGCCTCGCAACAGAAGTTCACGATCGTCTCCTTTGCCTCCTCCGATATGGGGATTTCCGGGGGGAAAATCAGCGTCTCGCGCCAATTCATTACCTTGCGGTAGGTGTCTTGCGGATTGTCCGAGCAGAATGGCGGATAACCCATAAGCATTTCATACATAATGACGCCAAGGGACCACCAGTCGCAAGCGGGTCCGTATCCAGTCTGCAGGAAAACTTCAGGCGCAATGTAGTCCGGCGTACCCACCGTGCTGTATGCGAGGGCACGTCGGTTCCTTTTCCAGGACTCGGCTCGTCTCTTTGAATCCATGGGACTGCAATTTTAATAAAGTTATTAGTTTAATGAATTTCTTATAGATTTCTAGACACTTACCTGGCACAAGTGCCAATAAAATCGGATGGTTTCGCCTGCGACAAGTCTCGGTAGAAGTCTGTTCTATGCGATTTTTTCAATCCGGTGCATAGTCCGAAATCTGAGAGCTGAAATTCAAATATGGACCTTTATTAATCTACATTTTTAGAGTGATAGTTATTAAAACACACCTTTAAGTGCCCCCGCGCATCGAGAAGCAAGTTGTCTGGCTTTATGTCCCTGTGTATGAAACCGAGCTTGTGTATCGAGTCGATCGCCAAGGCCGTCTCGCTGATATAGAACTGTGTGCACTCCTCGGACAGAGTGTCCTTCTTCATAAGTAGGGTCATCATATCACCACCGGGCAAAAATTCCATTATCAAATACAAATTGACTTGGTCCTGTGAATATGCAAAGATTCATTATTATTTTCAAATGAAATTATTAATTTAAATGCAATTATTAATTGAATTTATCACCAAACCACATAATATTCAAACGAAACCTTGAAAACAACCCTTTTGTACGTTATAGGCACGTATGCCTGTATCAAGAACTTTCACCAAGAAGAAGAAGAAGCGAGGGAACTGCAACAACAAAGGCAGAGAGACAGCGAGAGAAAGAGGGAGAGAGGTGACCATATGATTGGCAAGGCGCTTTTGGCATTTGCACTTGTATTGGTTTATTGATTTTTTTCCGTGTTTAACACAATTCTTTTGTTATGCGCGCTGCTTTGCACCTTCTTTCCCTCCGCTCCCCGCTTTCACACTTGTCTTCCCTTTATGTTGTGGTTTCGGTGGTAATATTGGTGGTGCAGCTGACGAGTCACTCACCTGGAAACTGTAGTACATCTTGACCACCCATTGGTGATCCGCCTCGACGAGAACATCGCGCTCTGCCCGTACATGTGCCACCTGCTCTTTTTCAAGCATGTCGGCCTTGCGTAGCACCTTCATGGCATAAACATGACCTGTGTCCTTCTTTTGGACAAGTCGCACCTCACCGAAGGCACCTCGTCCGATCACTTTCAGCGCCTCGAAATCCTCGACTCCCAGCCGAAGACGCTTAAGGCGCAGGTATTCCGTCTCTTTTTGCGCATGCTGAAGGCGCTTCTCCTGGCGTTGCGACTCTGTCAGGCTTTCGTCCTTCAACTGGGCCTCTAGCTTGGCCAGGCGCTGCTTTCGTTCACCGTACTGCGTCACCAGGTTGCTGTAGTAGTTTTCCAGCGTCACCTTCGCCTTGGTGGCCTTGTCCAGAGTGTGGTCACTGAATCTGATCGAGGCCCCGTCCGTGTCCGTTCTGCTGCTCATCATCTAAGCTGCTTGTGGTCTCTCCTCGAGTTGTGTGTGTTGCGTTGTGTTTGTTTTGCGCTGTGCCTGGGCTTTATGGATGTATTGTGGGATCCTCTGGGCAGTTGTTTGTGATTTCTCCGACGTCCCGTTTCCCTGCCCGGCTGTGTGTCACTGTGTGGTGAGGAGTTATGCACTAGCCAGAGCACACACACTGCTTTTTTCTCCCGTTGCTAGCCTTTTTCCTCGGTAATTTGTTGAAATTCCTCCCTCTGACGCAGCTTCTTCTTCAAGTGCCATTCGCATTTTGGTCAGAGTTGCCAAGCGATGTAAACTAAAACTACTACCGAATTGTGGGGATATTAAGAACCATAATATTGATTATTTATTAGTTATTAATTCATAATTATCATAAAAAGAATCTTTGGAAACATTTTTCTTATTTATTTTCAATTAGAAATTGTTTGTTTTGCATCGACAAGTTCACATTTTTTCCACTGATGGCGCTGCAAACTGGATTGGGGAAATGTTATCGATGTCATGGAATTTCCATCGAAGCTGCTCCATCACTAAGATATAATTTGTAAACAAAGGGTGGGGAGAGTTGGAGCCTTTTAGCACTGAATCACTCCTTCTAGGATTAGGGATATGAGGACCACGGACACAAGATAATGGCTCGCATCACTAACATTCTGGATTTGGATCCAAAGTGCATATTGCTGATATTCAGTTGTCTCGGACTAGAGGACCAATTGCATCTGGCCCGATGCTGCCGCCTTTTCCGGGACGCTTTCCTGCATCTGCACCGACACCATTTCCGGAAGGTAGTCGATAGGGACACGAATCTGCGCACCCTGGAAGACTGGCACACGTTCTTGTGGTTGTGCGGAGGACGAATTCGATGTCTTGAGTCTTATTTTGACGATGACCACCCGTTGCAACTGTGGCCACTCATCAGCAGACACTGCTATCGGCTGGAAAGCATATCCATCAACAACGCGACTGTGGCTAAAACGCAGTCCTATCTCTTGAAGATCACCTCGCTGCGCAAGGTGCACGTCCGAAACTACAAGAGCACCAGCAAGGACCTTATAAAAGCAATACGGCGGCATCTGCCGCACATCACCAGCTTAAGCTTGGAGAGTTTTGATAGAAAGGAGTGTAAGTCTTCTGTTTCTAAACGATTTAAAGGAACCACTCTAATGTATTTCCATTGCAGTGCAAGAGGTGCGGAGCTTCAGCGAGCTTGAGGAACTGGGCTTGTACGACGAGGTCACAGCTTCCGAGTTCGTTACAATCGTTAGGTCCATGAGAAACCTTCGATGCCTACAGCTTCGCAACGCTAAGCGTTTCCTGACCACCAGTACACTAAGGAGCTTGATTTCTAGTTGCCACCAACTGGAGAAGCTATCGTTCAACGAATCCGACGCCGATCTTCTAGTACTGCCCCAATTCTCGAACCTAAGGTTTCTTCAAATACACTGCCCGGAGGAGCTTAAGACGCGCTTCTTTAAAACGCTGGCGAGAAGTCAGTGCTGTGAACAACTGCAATATCTCATTCTCCATCGAAAGCGTTGGATTAATGAGGAACAGGCGCAGTATATCAGTGCCTTAAAGTCGTTAAAGTGGCTTGTATGCAAGCCACGAGACGATTTTTGCGTTACCCACCTAGCTGGGCTACGCCAGCTAGAGTGCCTTTCCATTCAGGCTTCGAGAGAAATAGGTGAGACGGAGCTCACACGTCTGGTGGCCAACAACGTTGGACTGCGTTATCTTAACATATGCTACTGTCTGGGAATTACGGACACCTTTGTCCTTGATTCTCTGGGGAGTCTGGGTAGGCGCCCAACCTGGCAGCCGTTGGAACTGTACGCCGCTGCCACGGACATCAGGCACGACATCATGGAAAGAGTAAGTCAATATATTCTTTTGTCTAGTGCATTTTGGCTTATATATTAAAATTCGATTTTCAGCTACCGGCCGATTTCCCTTTGAAAATGCTATGTTTGCATTTTGAGTGCAGCGATGGAATAACTAGCAACGATCACTTTTATGCAGACGAACCTGAATTCGATCGTCAAGCGGTTTGAGGCTTCGGTATAAAACGGAAATTTCCTTCATTCATTACCAAAAATCCCTACAAAATATTTTTAAACTATAAAGCTTTATTCGTGATTTTATCACATTAAGTGGTATTATTTTGTTATTGCACATCGTTAATTTTTTCTTTAAAAATTTATTTAGATACCTTATATACTCGTAACCAAAAAAAAACTGATAACATAATTTATATAATATAGGCTGCTAGAATCTGTATCAATTTTATAAACATTTTTCAATTTATTACAATTGATTCAAAAATAAAGTATATAAAATATACCAAAATATGAATTATTAATTTTTTTTTTAAATTTATACTTTATGGTTAGATTTTGGGACTTTAAATTCAGAAAATACTATTTTTTTAAGTTTTAGGACTAGAATACCCCTTTAGACCAAGCCATTAGAGATGGGAGATCTTCAGCCGCGACTGCCGCCGACCTATCGGTGCATTCGCCTATCGCGTTCTTTTCGCACCACCACTAATATTTACAGTCTTGTTTGTTGGCAGCGAACAGCGAAAATTCATAATAAATATTAAGGAAATCGTAATAAAGGGCCGCCGACATGCTGTCCATGCTGCAGGAGAAGCGGCCGCTGAAGCGGACTCGCTTGGGACCACCAGACATCTACCCGCAGGACGCAAAGCAGCGCGAGGACGAACTGACGCCCACGAATGTAAAACACGGCTTCACCACGACCCCTCCTTTGTCCGACGAGTTTGGCACAGCCCACAACTCAAACGTAAATGCTGGAAAGGTAAGCGCCTTCTTCAGTGGCGTTTTGGCCAAAAAGGAGGAGTTGATGACCCTGCCGGACACTGGGCGAAAGAAGCAGCAGATCAACTGCAAGGACAACTTTTGGCCCGTCTCACCGCGGCGGAAATGCACCGTTGACGCCTGGTTCAAGGACCTTGCTGGAAACAAGCCACTTCTCAGTCTGGCCAAACGGGCGCCCTCCTTCAACAAGAAGGAGGAGATCTTCATAACTCTATGCGAGAACCAGGTGAACATGCAGCGCGCCACCTGGTTCATTAAGCTGAGCGCCGCCTACACACTAAGTTTCACCGAGTCAAAGAACAAAAAGCGCAGCATCTACGATCCAGCGGCAGAGTGGACAGGCAATATGATCAAGTTTATGAAGGAGCTGTTGCCCAAGCTGCAGGAGTATTACCAGCAGTGTAAGTACTTCCGGTGACCACCAGTATAAAATCTCTAATAATTTCTTTATTTTTTAGCTCACGATAAGAATAACTCAAATAGCTCCAATACACCGAGTCTGACAGCCCCAGGATCTGTTGGTGGAACCAATGGCACCTCTTCGAGCGGTCCAGGGTCCACCGCAGGTTCCAGTGCTCCATCTAATGTGATTCCGGTACCCAGCATGGCCAGTCCGCTGCCACCGATACACAGCCCGGCAAATGGACAACAGGGCTCGGCAGGACCCGGAGTAGGATCCGGCAGTGTGCTTCCGGCAGCCGTGGGGCTGGGAGGATCTGCACCGGGGTCGTCAGTGGTGGGAGGAGCTGCTGGTGTTGGTGCTGCGGTGCCGCCTGGCTCCAGCATCTCCGGCATCGGAAGCCAGTTTGAGGATAGCCGAAACGCGTTAAAATATTGGAAGTACTGCCACCAGCTGAGCAAGTATATGTACGAAGAGTCTCTGTTGGACCGACAGGAGTTCCTCAACTGGATCCTTGACCTACTCGACAAGATGCGCACCCAGGCGAGCTTCGATGAGCCGCTCAAGAAGTTGGTTCTAAGTTTCGCCCTGCAATATATGCACGACTTTGTGCAATCGGAACGTTTGTGCCGGAAAATGGCCTACATTGTAGCGAAAAAGTTGGCCCAGTTGCTAAACACGGCCGTGGAGCAGCAAGCGATCAAGGAGCTGGACGACCACCGAATGCAGCAGGACCCTTATGAGCTGGCGCTGCAGGAACAGATGAGTTGCCCGCACCACCGCGACGTAGTGCTCTATCTCAGCACCATTCTGCAGATAATTACTATTGAATGCCCCACGGCGCTGGTGTGGAGTGGCATCCCAGCCCACCGGGCTACCTCTGTGCTAGTGGGAAGCCCACTGGACCACCTGCCGCTGGCACCCTCCGTGCTGCCAATGCCAACCCGGTGTCCGCGGACCAATCTTGAAATCCGACGCCAACTGCGAGCCGCAGAGGCGGACATTGTCCTTCGAACTCAACACGCAGAGCAGCGTTGGTTCGCATCCAAGTGGCTTAACGCTGGAAAGAATCAGTATACCGGAGTACTGGCTACATTGGACCACCTGGACACGCACTGCTTTGATCGCTTGGATCAGGGGAACAGCATCGACACACTGTACGCCCACATATTCCCCAGCACTAGTCGGCGGCGAGACGAAGATCAGCAGGAACAGCAGCAGCAGCCTCGTCCTGCCTACGAACCGAAGCAGGACAAGGACACTGTGAGAATCCTTTGTGAGTGGGCCGTTTCCGGGCAGCGATGGGGCGAACACCGGGCCATGGTGGTAGCCAGCTTGCTGGACAAACGTCAAATCGATGTGACGAGCACGCCAGCAGATCAACAGTCCAGCGACAAGGACGACAAGGATTCTCTGGCCTCAGGTGCTGGCCTAATCGATGGTCTGCCCGTTTTCCAACACGTTCTGATGCACTTCCTTGACCACGACGCTCCAGTATTGGATGAGCATTCGGGCAGTTCCCAGCAGCGTACAGAATTCACCAATCTCGTTCAGCTGTTCAGCGCATTAATAAGGCACGACGTCTTCTCGCACAATGCCTACATGCACACACTCATCTCGCGTGGAGATCTTCTGCTGGAGTCTGTCCTGGTCAACAAATCCGGGACTACAGCTACCAAAACATCGCCACCACCGCCGGCTCCGCCGACAACGACAACGCATGAGTTCGACGACGATGGCTTTGGAGGCCTTGATTTCAAACATAACGAACAGGATGACTCAAACGTGGATTACGAACTGGACAAGATAGTGCAGAACATCAAGGAGAAGGGCCAGCAGCATGAGCCGCCCGATAGCCCGAAAATTGGTCCACCCGGCGATAGTGATACCAGTACGGGGGGCACTGGCACTATCTCCCGCCACTATGTGTACACCAAACACTTTCCCATTCCGCAGGATGACCCCAGCATGAGTAGCTACAGCAGTGAAAGCAATCAGCGGTATATTCTGCTGTTCGGCGTCGGCAAGGAAAGGGATGAAAAGAAGCATGCCGTGAAGAAGATGGCCAAGGAGATTGGTAAGCTTTTCACCAAGAAGTTCAGCATTGATGTGGCTGCTGCCGGGCACGTCAAGAAGCACTCGAGGAACGAGTTCAATTTTGAGGCCACCACTTCAAAGTGCCAGCAGATGGCCTACTTCGACCAGCATGTGGTCACCGCCCAGTGTGCGGCGAACGTGCTGGAGCAGCTCAACGGATTCGCGCTGGGCAACAACAACTATCTGCCGGTGCAGGAGCATGTGGCGTTTCTGTTCGACCTCATGGAGCTGGCGCTGAACATCTACAGTCTTCTGGAACTATGCGACAGCCTGCTGAAGGAGTTGCCCGAAGTCGAGCATCAATTGCAGTTGAAAAAGTCGAACTTGGTGCGCAGTTACACCACTTCGTTGGCCCTCTACATTATAAGCATCTTGCGACGGTACCACAGTTGCCTGCTCCTCTCGCCGGAACAAACGCTGTCTGTGTTTGAGGGCGTTTGTCGCACCATTCGCCACGTTAGTAATCCCAGCGAGTGCTCTTCGGCGGAACGCTGCATCCTGGCGTACTTAAGCGATCTGCACGAGTCCTGTGTCCTTCTGCAAGGAAAAGAACAGTCTGCGGAGTACTATCAGCAGCTGCAGTGCATCAAGCGCTTCAAGGATATCTTCAATACACCAGAGCAGCTGAGGTAAGTCGGCTAGTAAATTACTCTACAAAATGATTGATTTATTTCTGGATTTCAGCCTTCCGCCACAAGGCTATAACCCCCAGTTGCTGCAGGAACTGTTTGTGGCGCCACGCCGCGGCGGTAAGCTGGAGCCCCATTGGCTGCGCACTCTGCACGAGTCGCCGGCGAACGTGTACAGCTTTGTTTCCAACGCAGTCATCACCGTTTGCCGGGAAACCGACAACGAGCGGCTTAATGATGTGGCTTTGGCATGCGCCGAGCTAACTGCCAGCTGCAACGTGCTGTCTGAGGAGTGGATCGCCGCCTTGCAGAGCCTATGCAGCGGCAGTAAGAGTCCTCGCTACCCGCATCTGGGCCAGGGCGGCCAGGTGGACATCGGGCAGACTAAGACGCACAACGCCCTGGCCGTGTTCGTGTGCATTCTGGTGGCCAGGCACTGTTTCTCCCTGGCGGATTTCGTCAGCAAGTTTGCCCTACCCACCTTGGCGCGATCTGTGAGCTCCGGAGGCGCCGAATTGAGCGTAGATGCGGAAGCAGGAGCCCGACTCACTTGCCACCTAGTGCTGAAGTTATTCAAGACCTTGGAGATTCCCCAGCCGGGAATGTACTCTGTGAGCACCTCCCCCAATCCGCTGCACGCTGTGGGAAACGATTTCAGCATCCGACTAAGCTGTGACAGGCACTTGCTAGTGGGCGCCCACAAGACCATTCCTATAGCTGCGGTGCTGGCGGTGCTCAAGGCTATTCTTATAGTGGTGGACAACGCGGCCCTAAAAACACCGCTGGCTGCTGGAGGATCTTCCTCGGGTGGTCTAGGCGGCGCCTTCGGGAGCGGCCGACGGAGTGGCTTCAGTACGCCTGTTCATCCAGGTAGCACACCGAAGAGCAATGAGCAGAGGCCGGCGGATCTCAGCCAGATTCTGGGCACCAGTGACCTTCAGATGGGCAGTAGCTTAACTAGTGAGCCGGAAACAATGCAGCAACCATCCAGTGGAGGAGGACTGGAACAGATCTCACTGCTGGAGTTCGCGCAGGCGGTGCTTAAACAGATCTGTGCCCAGGAGCACGTCCTTGAAAGGTGCCTTAAGAACGCCGAGCAATTGTGCGACATGATCATGGACGAGATGCTGACTGCTAAGCAGGCGCAACGAGTGCTGCACATGATCTGCTACCCGGAGGCTGAATTCAACATCATATCCGAGTTGGACCAAAAGGCCATGATCGTTCGCATCCTCGAGAACCTGGGCCAGTGGACGTTGCGCATCTCATGGCTGGATTTGCAGCTCATGTACCGGCAGTCGCTTAGCAACAACGCGGAACTAAACGTGTGGCTGGATACAGTGGCCCGTGCTGCAATAGACGTCTTCCATATGGAGGAAGTCGTCCTACCAGGAGCTCTAAAAGCCACCCACAAACCCAAGCCCTCCACTTGGCTAGTGGCGCCGTTAATCGCAAAGCTGACGCCGGCTGTGCAGGGGCGGATCTTGAGGGTGGCGGGCCAGGTGCTGGAGAGCATGAACTACTTCTCCAAGGTATCCAAGTCGGATTGCAACAGCTCCGGAAGCGGAGACGAGAGGGAGAAAAGCAACAGTTGCCACAGCAGCAACAGCTACGGGTTGGGCGGAGCAGCTCCTCGCAACAAAAAGATGCCCCTGAACTACCAACCATTCCTGGGTCTTATCCTAACTTGTCTGAAAGGACAGGACGAGTATAAGGAGAACCTGCTGGTCAGTCTCTATGCCCAGCTCTCCCAATGCCTGCAGTCCTTTTCTGAGGTGAGTTCATAGCTTCTTTCCTAAAAATAAATAATAAAAAATCCTAATATTTGGACTAGTTGGACACCATCGGAGGCATTGACGAGCCACAAGCCCGCGAGGAAATCCTGGACGCCTTGCAGCTCCGTTTCTCTCTGGTGGGTGGGATGTTCGAGGCAATCCAGAAGAACAGCACACCCACCACCGACTGGGCGATCCTTTTGGCCCAACTGGTGTGCCAGGGGGTGGTCGACTTGAGCTGCAACCGTGAACTCTTCACCACGGTGGTAGACATGCTGGCCACTCTGGTGCATTCGACTCTGTTGGACAGCCAATCGGATCGGGACGACAAGAAGAACTACCTAAACCTGATGAAAAAGCTGAAGAAAGAAATTGGCGAGAAGAATAATGCCTCCATTCGGGTCATCCGGCAGCTGTTGCCACTGTACAAGCAGCCCACGGAGGTAAGTCATCTACATCTCTATTTAATTATCACATAACTCAAATATTTCTCGGTAGGTTATCGCCTGCGAGCATGCCGGAGTGGACACCAAGGGTAACAAGATCTGTGACATGGATAAGAAGCAGCTGCGAATCTCAGATAAGCAGCGCATCAGCGTATGGGACATCCTGGAAGGCCATAAGAACCCGGCGCCACTATCGTGGGTCTGGTTCGGAGCCGTTAAATTGGAGAGGAAGCCCCTAACTTATGAGGAGGCCCATCGCAATCTCAAATACCACACGCACAGCCTGGTCAAGCCCAGCAGCTACTACTATGAGCCATTACCGCTGCCTCCCGAAGATATTGAGCCGGTGCCGGAGAAGATCATAGTAAGTATTGAAGGTTCACCATTATATGTCTTTATTAGAATCAGTTATCCTTGCAGAAGGACGAAATGAAGGCCGATACGCCATCTTCAGTGGACCAATCTCCCAGCGCCCCGGTGGGAGGCACTGGACGTGGTCGTGGAAAGGGAACAACGACGCGAAAGCGTAAGCCCAAGAACCCGAAGACTCCACCCGTCAACAACCAGACGCAGCAGCCCCAGCTGGCGCCGCAACCCCAGCAGCCGCCGAACGTTCAGCAGCAGCAACAGATGCAACAGCAGCAGCAGCAACAACAGCAGCACATGCAACAGCAACAGATGCAGCCAAACCAGATGGGTCAAATGCCAATGAACATGCCGGTAAGTGTATTTCTTAAAAGCTGGAACAAAGCAACCCATACAACCTTTGTCGAGAAACCAAACTATCATTTTTTCGGTAATATCCTGCAAACTTTATAAATTTTAAATTCCAGACCTCACTTTTCGACCTTGTTTAGGTACCACATAGTGATAATTTGAATAATATTTTTGATTCATTTGATGTATTTGTAGATGAATATGCAACAGTTTGCACCGAATCCTAACAACATGATGCAACAGAATGCAATGATGCAGCAACAGCAGATGCAGCAGATGGGTGGCAACCAGCTGCAGCAGCAGCTGAACGTTGGCGGTGGCAACGGGCAGCAGAATCCGCAGATGAACTTTATGCAACAGGGCCCTGGAGGCGGCGGTGGAGCTCCGCAAGGCATGCCTGGACAGCAACAGTGGCACAATACACCGCAACAGCAGCAGCCGCCGCAGCAATACCACAATCAGTATGCACCGCACCAGCAGAATATGCAATGTAAGTTAGCCTCATCAGATTTACGAATAGAAGCCTGAATTTGTGTTCCTTCTTTACAGCCAATCGCATAGAACGGCCGCCGCAGGCCAAGCAGGCTCTATCTCAGATGCTGCGCCAGCGCCATCCCTTCCAGCAACAGCAGCAGCAACAACAGGGCCCTGGCGGCCCCGGCTTCAATCCCATGCAGCAGCAACCACAGGCGCAGCAACAGCAGCCAGGCCCCCAGCAGCAGATGAATCCCAACCAGATGCGGCAGCAGCAGATGAACACGCAACAAAATCCGCAGGCCTTGGCCGCTTTCAATGCCCTGCAGCAGCAAAACGCCCAGCAGCAACAGCTGAATCCCAACCAGCAACAGCAGCAGCAGTTCATGCGGGGCAACATGCGACCCGGCATGACGCCCAACCAGATGAACCAAATGAACATGGGCGGCCAGGGCATGCCCCAGAACCCCATGATGCAGCAGCAGATGCAGCAAGGCATGGTTGGTATGGTCAATCCGAACGGCAACCAGATGATGCAGACTGGTGGCGGCCAGGGAGGCAATGGCGTTGGAGTGGGAGTTGGGGTAGGAGTGGGCGTTGGAGCTGGTGGCAACAATCCCAACATGGGCATGGGAGGCATGTCGCAGCAGGGAATGATGCAGCAACAACCGCAGCAGCAGCCCCAGCAACAAGTGCAGTTCCAGAACTTCCAAAACCAATACCAGCAACAGCAGCAGCAGGGAATGCAACAGCAAGGCGGAGCAGGAGTCGGTGTTGGCGTTGGCGTCGGGGTGGGCATGGCCCCCAATCAGCAGCAACAAGGCAACATGATGGGAAACTTCAATCCTCAGATGCAGCAGGCGAACCGCAACAATCCCGACTTCATGGCTGCGGCGGCAGCTGCCCAACAGCAGCAACAACAGCAACAGAGAGGCGTCCCCGGAGGTATGATGGCCGGCAATCGAGGTCAGTACATGAACCAGGCGCCAAACGTAACCATGTCCAATATGATGGGTCCAGGTCCAGGCCAGGTTCCGCCTTACGCCAGGCAACAGGCGGCCGGCGGCGGAAAGCCAGGAGTACTCAATACCCAGCAACAGTTTCAGCAGCAGCAACAGCAGCAGTTGCGCCACCAGCAGATGATGCAGATGCAGGGCATGGGTGGTGGCGGAGGCGGGGGCATGGGAGCTGGTCCCCAGCAAGCCGGCGGCGCTGGTGGTGTTGGTGGCGGCGGAGGAGGCGTGGGCGTTGGTGTGGGTGGCATGGTGCCGCAGCAGCAGAGCATGAACCAGCAGCAGACACCCAATCTGGTGGCCCAGCTGCAGAGGCAAAACATGATGGGTCAGCAGCAGCAGTACCAGCCTCCACCCTATTAGATTCTAGACACTCCATAATTTTAAAACTTATTTTTTAATTTATTTATCAGACGTACATATTTGCAATAAACGTACACACAAAGTAATTAAAAATGCCGTAAAGTCGGTTTTTTAAAAAATATTCAAAAAAGGTATTAAAATTAAGAAACAATTTAAAAACTTACAAATCTAAAGAAAAGTTTAAACTTCAAGCTATTGTAAATTAATAAAAAAAAAATATGTTGATGTATTAAATTTTTCAATAAGTGAAAATATATATTCATTTTTAAAATTTAAAAATTAAAAATATTGGAATCTTGCATTTCCTTTATCGCAGAACTATCGGGTTTTGGCCCATCTCTAATCAGCTGGCCCTCCGTGTCTACGTTGGTATGCGTGGGCGTTTATGTTTATGTTGTGTGTGTGTCAGTGTTCTTGTGAATTAGAAATTATACATTTTTCGTGAATTTGTTTGTTCGTTTTGTGTATTTGTAAATAAGTTTAAAGTAATTTTGTGCAATAATCCCCCTGCCCCGAGGCAGATGCTTGTGTAGAAACCGAGACACTACCCCCAAACCTCGTCCGTGGCAAACTTCATTCATCGATTGAGCCAAAATTCGACCCAAATCGAGCTCAGCCCAATAAAGGTGCTACTTTTCGCAGTATTGCTTGCAATTGCTTGGCAAGAGGACGTGTGTTAGTGGGTCGAATAGTTCCAGTCCGGATATGAGCGAAGCGCCAGAGAGCAGCAAAAAACGTCAAAAGACGGTGAGTCCGAAGACGTGGCCATGGCCCCAAAAATACTTAGAACCCCCATTAAGCCCCAGATGGAAGCTAAACAGTATTTGTTATGGGTTTTGTTTAAACAATTGTCTATAAAAAGTTTGGAGCACTTGCTCAGGTGTCGGATATGAAATAAATGAGAAATTAAAGAATATATATAGCCATGTTTACACAGCCGCTACCGGGCCAGATCCTCCATTCATTGCATCGCCGTCACCCTTACTTTCTACGTACATAACTCACTAACTTCCATATGGCTAGGGCGACACGTAATACTGCCCAAAAAACGGCTGCTTTCTACGCCCCTTCCTATTCCTAATCTAATCTCATTTGAGGAATAACCTAATTTTGCTTGAAAATGTACTGCAAAATAGCATCCAACATGCACGTAATTGATAAGGTAGCGATTCATTTGACCCAGGTTCTATCTCAAGTTTGGTTCTAATTTGTAACATCTTTACAAAGTATTTCCAAATGGATGCAGATCACAAAATAAAATAGGGAAGGCTATACATTTATGCCCTTGAAGATTTCTATAATATTTGTAGGTATATTTCTAATTATAAACTTGTAACATTTATCTAGAAAATCTTAAACCATTAAGCTTTATATAATCATAGAACTTAAGCGATTTGTAAGGGCCATGATGTTTCCTTTTCTTTCTAAAAATGTTTAGTCAGCAATAATTTTGATTAAGTTGATTCTACTAATTGCAGACGTCATATTTTCCTGTAGCGAATAGCGAATTTAAACATTTATTATTTTAAGCTTTAGCCAGGCATTAAATAAAAGCACATATGTACATATGTACACATGGCTTATGCACATATATACATATACGGACGATAACCAATATTTAGCTCAAGAGTACTTTATTTAATTTGCTTATCAGGCTAAAGTTTTTTTTACAGTCCCCTCTAGAGAAAAGACCCGTCATTGATAATCACAAGTAATGACCCCCCTCCTTGGAAAGTTAAAAACAAATTGAACTTATGCAACATGCAACACTATTTCCTTACAAACAACTGGTTACCACACCGAATGTTATTACTTTTGGCTAAAACAGGTTCAAAATAGAAAGAAAGTCTTCCGAGACGACTTTACAAAAAGTAAACAACTTGTGCTTTAGGATGAGCCCGACTTGGCAATGTTTTGGGGCTGGTCAAAAGTAGTTGAAACTTGGTCAACAGGCCGCCGCCTTAGTTGCCAAGTTGAATGACCAGCGTGTTAACTTGTCTTCAGTATCTTTAAGTTGTTATATTTTATAAGGTAGTTTTATGAATCACACTTTTTCAGTAGTTTATTGTTTTATTTTTGGTTACTTTCTAGGCCTTATAGGGTAGGGTATAAACCATAAAAATAATAAAGTTATAAAGTTATAAGGCTTTTCAACTAGAAATATTGTAAACTATTTTTCAGTAAAATTTAAAACCTATTTTTAAACTTGACACCTTTTTAATAAACAAAATGTTTTAAATGTTTATGGCTGTTTAAATACTAAATCTACAAAAGCTATCTTTAGGTTAGAAATCTTAGATCTTAGTTAGATAGTTATCAGCTATCTTTATGTTAGTAATAATATTTTAAAAAGCTTCTTGATATCTTTACTACCCAGTTAAGGGTGCTATGTACTTAGCTGTTTTTTATAAATTGTTTATCTTAAACCAAAACAAAACAAGGAAAGCAAACTATACTCTCACTATGAGAAGTATCTTGGCCAAATACCGTCATAAACAAGTTCCTATGTGGACCAGCCCCCCCTCTTGGAAGTATCTGCCGACGTGGCCGCTACTGTATTATAGTCTCGGCTGCAGGCTGTGGTATTTCAGTTGCAGTTTTGAGCTTCGACGAGAAAGTTCACGGGTTTTTGGTTTTGTTTTTGGCGGTTGTTGGTTTCGGTTTCAGCCGCGGTTCGTTCGGGCCAGGTTCGCTCGAAAATACATAAACTCTCGCCCGTTTAATTATCAAAGAGTACTTTGTTAGTCTGCCGCTTTCTTTTCGCCTGTCAACAGTTTGCTTCTTTTCGTTTGTGGAAAAATGTTTACCCGATGTGCCAATTCGCTTGGCCACTATCCTAATAATAACAATAACAATAACAGCCTCTATGCTGCTGCTTCCCCGAAGTGCTGCTTTCCAAATGACGGAAAATCAAGCGATGCGGTAAGTTTTATTTTGCTTGAGATCACCACCGAAAGAGATCCCCATCTCTCCCAACATAAAATTTAATAAAAATAATCTTTCAAGTGAGCTTCTAATTTTCCCACTTGGTACTTAATTAAAGATAAGATTAGAGCTACAAGATTAGATCTGTGTAGGTCAAGTATCTTGAACGAATTCCTACTGCGAGTTTTGTTGCCTTAGGCTTTCAATAAATATGCCATTTCTTAAGATTCTTTCAACACATTTTAAAGAGGCTTAGAAACAGGTTCGGTTTCTTGGGTTCTATATAGTCAGAACCTTCCGAACTTTGGCCAAATTCTAGCCAAGATCCACAGGGTCGAGAGATTATTAAGCAATCACTAGTCCGGAATAGATGTGGAGAGGGGGATCCAGAACCAAACAGAAGACTGGCCCGACCGACTGTTTAAACATTTTCTCCATATGGAGTAGAAGAATGGAAATGAGATATGGGGGGGGCCTGAGAAAGACTCCAATGAGTGATCTCTCTTTCCCTCTCCCATTCTCCGTAGCTTTGGGGGCAGAGCACGCCATATAATACCGTAAATATTATTGAAAACTTTCAGTCTGCCTTCGACTCTCGCCGCGTGTCTATGACGGAAATAATTTTGCATCCGGACTTTGTCTCCATAGCCATTGAATCCGAATCGAATCTGCACTGTTATCAGTGTTCAATGTGAATCGAATAATAAACCAAGAAATACAGTGACAAAATTAAAGTAACCCCAAGCATCTAAGAATTTACATAAAAAACTATGCCGAATCCTCCAATTGGATTTTATCCTCATATCAAGAGAAGGGTAAGGCCTAGTAGTCTCACATAGTAGTAGTCTATCTGAAACGTTGTCATTCAAAACAATTAAATATGATGATCAACTTGTTCAATTGGCGTGAAATTGATGAAATCTGTTGGGGAAGGGGAAAGGAATAAGACACTGTGACCCACTTTTAAGTCGGGCATACCTACCATATAAAATTTGTATATTTTTCTTTAGGGAAGCTTTGTTTATTGATAGAAAACTCCATTGTGCCTTAACCCCTTTTCCCAACCATGCAAAATCCGCACTCATAGATTGAGAGCCATCTGGGTTATACATATATATTGTATATAATATCGCATAATTCTCAACGCGATTTCGCAAACACGACCTTCTGCGGAAGGTCAACAAACTGAACGCAGAATTACAGCACCAATAGCCCGCGGGGTCAAAGCGATCTATTCCGATGATGACTTTTGCCTTTGGCTCCGGCTTCAACCTGAGCTCGGGCTTTGTGGCTCGGTCCAGAAAGACAAAAAAGAACCCGCCAATGGGCCTCGGGCACCTTCGCCATCCCATCTCGGCATGAATATTAATTTATGATAATTTCGAAAGCTAAACCCGATTTATTTCTGTTCCGCTTCTGGCTCTTTTGCAGTGCCTTCAAGTGGCGACGAATGTGACCGAACAGAAGCACCATGTCACCCGGGAGACGCGCGGCAAGAATCTGGGCCTGTGCCGGGGATTCCGAGGATGCACAGTTTGGCTAACGGGTAAGGATAGGGTAGCATATAAGGCTCAGAGATACTAGAAAATAATCCTTTCTATATTACAGGACTTAGTGGTGCTGGCAAGACCTCTATTGCCTTTGAACTGGAAGCCTATCTGGTGTCCAGGGGCATCCCCGCCTACGGCCTGGATGGAGACAACATCCGGACTGGGCTGAACAAGAACCTCGGCTTCACGCCCGCCGACCGGGAGGAGAACATCCGGCGGGTGGGCGAGGTGGCTAAGCTATTTGCCGACAGCGGTGTGGTAGCCATCTGCAGCTTCGTGTCCCCCTTCGCCGATGACCGCGAGATGGCCCGCAAAATCCACAAGGATGCGGGACTTAAGTTCTACGAGATTTTCGTGGACACCCCCCTGGACGTGTGCGAGACGCGGGACGTGAAGGGTCTGTACAAAAAGGCGCGCGAGGGTGTCATCAAGGGCTTCACCGGCATCACCCAGGAGTACGAGCGTCCTCAGAAGCCGGAGCTGGTGGTCAACACCCATGGCTACACGGTGCGCGAGTCCACTCAGGAGCTGGTTACCCTGCTGGAGCAGGAAGGCATCATTCCACGTTCGCTGCGCGACGTCGATCTGCTGCCGGAATTGTATCCCAGCGAGGCTATTGCCACGGAGGCGCTGCGTCATGAGGCAGAGTCGCTGCAGAGTCTGGAGATCAGCACCGTGGAGCTGCAGTGGGTGCAGGTCCTGGCCGAGGGATGGGCCTATCCTCTGCGCGGATTCATGCGCGAGGATGAGTACCTTCAGACGCTGCACTTCAACACCCTGCAGAGTGGCATGGACGGATCCTATCGCGAAAACCACTCGGTGCCCATCGTGCTCAGTGCCAGTGAGGCGGACAAGGAACGGTTGAACGATTGCTCTTCGCTCACCCTCAAGTACCAGGGCAAGGCGGTGGCTATTCTTCGCCGGCCCGAGTTCTACTACCAGCGCAAGGAGGAGCGCCTGGCACGGCAGTTCGGCACCAGCAACCCAGAGCATCCGTACAGCAAACAGGTGTACGAATCCGGCGAGTATCTGGTCGGCGGCGACTTGGCCGTCATCGAGCGCATCCGCTGGGACGATGGACTGGATCAGTACCGACTGACGCCCAATGAGTTGCGGAAGCGGTTCAAGGAACTGAACGCCGACGCCATCTTCGCCTTCCAGCTGCGTAACCCCATTCATAACGGACACGCTCTGCTCATGCAGGACACTCGGCGCCAACTCCTGGAACGAGGCTTCAAGCAGCCGGTTCTCCTGCTTCATCCTCTGGGCGGCTGGACTAAGGACGACGATGTTCCGCTCGACGTGCGTATGCGCCAGCATCAGGCGGTCCTCGATGCCGGTGTCCTTAGGCGGGAAGACACTGTTCTGGCCATCTTCCCCTCGCCAATGATGTACGCCGGACCCACAGAGGTGCAGTGGCATGCCAAAGCTCGCATGAACGCCGGCGCCAATTTCTATATTGTGGGCCGTGACCCGGCGGGCATGCCTCATCCCGACAAGCAGGCCTATCCAGACGGTAACCTCTACGATGCAACGCACGGAGCTCGGGTGCTGAAGATGGCCCAAGGCTTGGATAGCATGGAGGTGAGTAGAATAAACAATCTTGCATATTATTCAGCAAAAATAAATGAATTATTTTGTGTCTACCAGATCCTGCCGTTCCGGGTAGCTGCCTACGACAAAAGCGCCAGCAAGATGGCCTTCTTCGAGCCGAAGCGCAAGGACGAGTTCGAGTTCATCTCGGGGACCAAGATGCGCACCCTGGCCAAAACTGGCGCCAGTCCGCCAGACGGTTTCATGGAGCCAGAGGCATGGAGCATCCTGGCCACCTACTACCAGAACCTGCCGCAGGCGTAACCCGCCGGCCACGCCGTCAATCATCCACGTGCAATTCCTCCTAGTTATAGCTTGTGGGCCTATCATATACCCATGTGATTACCGCCAGGCACCGCTACATGTTCTGTCCCTCGTGTCGCAATGTTTTCGTGTACTTCGTTTCCCCCAATCCGAGCCTGTTTCCCTGTGTGTATGTGTGTGCTTTAAACTCCTAGCCCTTCTCCAGCTATCGAAGTGTTCGTATCGTACAATCTACTTGTATTTATAATTAAGTTTTTGACAAACCCCTCTGTTTATCTTAAGCTAAAGATCGTCCAGTCGTTTCAAGGACAGTTTTTAAAAAATATACAAATTAATATAACAAGTTTTACGTCTTTTTGGATGGGATATTAAATTAATAATTTAAAAAAATGACTGTATGGCTCTGTAGAATAAATGGCTATACGGTATTATACATAGTAAAAGACATTGCCTACTTTGGGGGTTCCGCAGAAAAGCATATAACAGTTTTCGCTAATTAATAAATCATAATGCCTATATAGAGGAGATTCCATATAAAAATTCAATTCAATTTACTTGCCACGTAACATATTTCCAACTATAAAATAATCTTAAACCCAATTAGATCATTCGATTATCAAAAACCATTCATATTTTTTGTTTTGCACATGATTTATTTTTATAAAATTGTATACGTTTAATCATTAATATTACAAGTAATTAATTAATATCAAATATGCAATTAGTTATCATTTAATTTCACACTATGTACTTTACTGCGCTGTGTATGTGTTTTTTATATTTTTGTTTTTTTTTTTAATTTTAATTTCAATTTCGTTTCGTTCGCTTCGATCTTCGATAATGATTATTGACATAGTCGTTAGGGTGTGCGACAAAAAAACATAATAAATACAATACAAACTTATAAAATGAAATGTGTGTGAAGATTAAGAATATAATAAGCACCCTCAGCTGTGCGAAACTACCACATACATTTACGATATAGATTTTGTATGGATCCGATCGGGTGAGGGACAGAATTCGAGGCGTATGTGTTGGGTAATTGTGCGTCTGGACATCCTCGGTATTCTTAACAAAATGGCAAAAATTTATCAAAAAAAAGTACACATATGCAATGAGCAAACAAGGATAGGTGGAACTAATCATATGCGTACACATACATATATATTTTTTTTTTTATCGTTTTACAATTAATAATTTACAAATCGACAACAACCATGGCTGCTAGAGAAAATCATAACTCCGTAAATACTAAAAAACCTCTTCGAGAAAGACGCGGGCGGGTCGGATTGGCTGCTTTTGCACACTTTCTTTATCTTTTACGCTGGATCTTTTAAACTTGAGTTATATACGTATATATTTATATCAATATATTATTTATACCTATTCATATTTCGTACGCACTGCCGTCATATACTTTATTTAATAACTGTTTCATAATGCATTACGTTTTATTGTTCCATTATGAGAAGGGGGGGCAGCTGGCTGTTGATGTTGATTTTGTTTGTTGATGTCCACACTGTGCTCGATCTCGGTATGGAGGGTTTCCGAACCTAACAGGAATTAAGAAAACTACTACCACATACACTATCGTTGCTACCACCATGCCGCATCAGTGCCGAGCGCACGTTGCCACGTCAAAGCAGACTGCATCTGGACAGCCAACTGTCCTTCGTCCGACTGTCCATGGGTTTCAGCTGATGTCCGCCCTTGGGTGGGTTGTTCGCCTCCTGTGAATACACAAACACGCACACACACACACACACACGTTGTTATAGAAAAAAGATTCTTTGTTTCCCATCCAACTTTTATTTTATTTCTTTTTTCACCGCCACTCACCATTCGCTTTTCCGTTTTCGCTTTGATATCACTGGCGAGGGTGAGGAAGGCTTCTTCCACGTTGATGCTGGCTTTCGCGGAGGTCTCCATAAACTTGATGCCATACTCGATAGCCAATTGTTCGCCTCGCTCCTTTGAAACCTATTATAAAAGTTAAAGTGTTAAAGTGGTCATTTAACAGTCGTTTATTGTACTTTGCAAGTGGGAATTGAAACCCTTTTTTCTTAAAAAAATCTATCAAATAAGTGACTCAACATTAAAGCTTAATAATCAACACTAGAAGCGTTATGAATGTTGAAAAAATGTATTAACCTCAAACCGATAAAGCCAATTTGTCATCTACCCTATATATTCTTGGGATTATTTCGGTACTCACCTGTCGCTTATCGGTCAGTTCGCACTTGTTACCCAGCAGCATTTTCTCGACATCGGCGGAGGCATTTTCCTCAATGTTCCTTATCCAATTCTTAATATTTTCAAAGGACTTCTCCTGGGTTATGTCATAGACCAGCATGATGCCCATGGCACCTCTGTAGTAGGCCGTGGTGATTGTGCGAAAACGCTCCTGGCCGGCAGTGTCCCTAAAAATAATAAAATAGGTAAATATATTAAGCCTTAATAGTTGTCTAATTACTTACCATATTTGCAGCTTTATTTTTTTGTTATCTAATTCAATTGTTCTAATTTTAAAATCGATACCTGTGACCAAAGAAAAGAGGAAAAACATGAGAGTCAGCCAAACATACGTAATTAATTTGAATAATTTGGCAGCCGAATGAACCTGTTTGCTCGCAACTCGTGACGTAGCACCCCACCACTCGAAAGAGCGGCGGCCGTCAAGACAAAGAGCAACCTGAACAAACCACGCAATTGATTGAAACAATGTCGTTAAGTAAATATCCCAAATTGGGAATTAGAGCAGAGGGACGTGCCAAATACGAAAATAAACAATTAGCTGCGAAGCGGGGGCGGGGGGGAGAAAAGAACTCGGATTTCCAATCCGGGGTCTTCACTGGCAAAGAAAACTGTATCGGAGAGATAAGAGCTTAAAAAGTACAATGACTCTTGGCGCAAGCCATTTGTTTCCGTTGTTATTATTATTGTGTGGGCTTATAAATAGATACAGATATATGTGTATTATTTTTTGGGAAACCTTTATCGCATTAGTCTAAAAGGGAGTCTCCACTCAGAGCATCCTCTTACCCTGAACATCAACAATAATTATGACGAATACAGGGACTATTAAAAGAGGAGCGGTGTCAGTGAGTCACGACTGAGCGAAGTTCAAGAAAGCCCGGCAGCGTCAGAACCAATTCAATCAGCATAGAATTCTATGGAAGTTCCACCAGCCACCAGATGACTGATTGCGTTGGCAGTATCTCCCATCTAGCCACCATTCTCACCTATCGTGGATATAAATGTCGTGTTGAAGGCGTCCTCGGAGAAGCGGAACAGGATGCAGGTCTTGCCCACACCGGAGTCGCCTATCAGTAGCAGCTTGAACAGGTAGTCGTAGGTCTTGGCCATGGTTCTGCTTGATGGGGGGATATGGAGATCACAGTTGTTCGTCACTACTCCGTATAATAAAGTAACGAAATGGTGGACACGTCGTCGTTGTCGTCTCCTGCGTGCAGTGGAAAATCAAGGGTCTCGGCTCCGCTTTATTGGCCACTAATAACGCTAATAATATACTATTCCTAGACGTAACCACACCACACTACGGTTCGCTCGCTCTTTGCCGTTTTTCTCAGCTCTCGGTACTTTTGGGTGTGTGTTTGTGTTTTCGATTTCGTGTTTAAATGGCGACGTAGTTTTATAAGTTTCTGGGCTTGTTCAGAAGATTACGCGCGGCTTTTCCGGTGGGAAACTTATTGGCCGCGCTTGCTACCGGGCGAGTATGTTAAGTGTTGTGGTGTATAGGACGTGGAAATTAAGTTTATTAGCTGCTTTCTAATTACGCCCGTACAAAAAAATATGGTTTTAGTGTTGATTAACAAATTTTTTCGGCCCAGGGTTGAAGTGTGAGCCTATCGAAATTCTATCGAGCTTGAATCCCTGTTTTTGGGGTTTATCAACACAATTCTATTAGGGGGGTAACACATTTAGTTTTTCTTCATAACATAGACAGTTCTTTTAAGACTAGAACTACAGAAAATATAAAATGACTCCCAGTGTTATTTTTAGCCCTATATTTCATATTTTTAATTTAACTAATTCAACTTCTTGACGATTCAAAAACTTTAATTGTTGATGCCAACTCTAGCTGCTAATCAGCTGGGCGAACGCGCGTAGCCGTGCGAATGGCAAGTCCATGTTCGACACTGTATATTATTATTCCAGGCCCGCTTTACGCAGCTCCTAATCCGTTTAACATCCCATTTGATCCTATCCGCGACGGCACAGCGAACGTAAACAAATGTGAACAGTGTCAGTGCAGGAGGACGCAGCAGCAGCAGCAGCAGACGACGGGAAGGAGGAGCAGACGCAGCAGCAGGATCGGATTCTAAGAATCCGACGCACTTTGCAGTTGTACCCCCACAAAAGCATGGGCACCAAGGAGTCCAAGCACGCTTGCATCAGCTACGAGGATGCCGTTAAGCGAGGTGAGCTCTCCGGACGGGCAACTGTCGATGGAAGAGAAAATGACCGTGGAAATGGGTCACTGCTAATCAACGCAACTTGACCAATAAAAACAACAACAATGGGCCCCAGAACACCAACACAGGTGTGATTGCGCTTTATCGATTCCATTGTTGTGCTTCTACAAATTCTAATTGTCACCAGTGGACACCACAAATTCCAACTACTCCCAACCCCTGCCGCATTTCTGTGGGTTTTTGGAGTCTTTTTTCATTTGATTTGCAATTCTAGAGGCCCATCCATGTGTTTGTGTGTGTCCGTGCAATTGTGTGCATAGGTATTTGCGTCTCCGCCGCCAGTGACGTCACAATAGAAAAGCTCATCCGACCGGGTGGTGGCGAAGGGTGGATGTGGACAGTGGATGGTGGTGGGTGGCTGGGAGACAACAAAGCAGCGACGAACTTAAACAGTTAAATAGCCCAACCAAGTGCAGTGCAAGCTTAGGGTTGATGAAAAGCGCGGATACGAAGGCGACTGTGAACGCAAATGCGGATAATTTCAAGTTCTGCATGTCATGCTCCCCCCAACCCCAACCCATCCCATCCCCAAAGTGCACTTCTAATGTATGTGCCTTGAACTGTGTGTGAAATGTATTAAAGTATCAAAATCACATTTAAGTACATTTTTCAGATAGCTGGGCAATCTTTTGGACACTAATAGAGAACCTGCTAGGCAATCTACAGGTGTAATTCTACAAAGGGAGATTTTAAATTCAATTATTTGTAGTATTTAACAACTCTTATATATTTTTTAAAGCCATTCTCGATTAAAACATCGTAGGCTTTAGCCAAAAATAAATAATCTTTAACTTTTATTTAAAGATATCTTGTATTTCTATGAAATACACTTTCTTAGATACCGACAGTTCACTGTATTCAAGGTCCATCAAATAGAACTTACTTTTAATATGAATTGGTAATCTAGCAAAGTTAAGATTATTAATTCAGCCATTGGTAAAAAAAAAAAACCACCGCCACTATCCAATTCAGCAATTGAAGCCCTACCTGTTCCCACCTGTTCCCGGTGACGTGTTGTGCTCGGAATTGCTTTGGCGCCGTTTATTCCAACCTCATTTTGGTCGGGTATTCATCATCCGGTGACCGCGGCTACGGCCGCTGATTTGTGGCGAGCCACCCAGCCAGCGAGAGCAAAGAAAACGAATGTCGCTGATAAGGCCCACCCCCTCGACGGGGGGCGGTCAGGTGCGTGAGTCTCTTATTAGCCGCTACGACCGGTTCCACTGAGCTGACGAGGAAATCGACGGGGGAAATACTCGGAGTGCTTGCATGCCAGCCAGCTTGCGGCAGTCGCAATCACAGACCCCACGTTGCACTGGCATTTTAGCAAAAAATTCCGTTTCCGTGACGTCGCTTAATTCTCTGCAGCGACACAATTTGCTCCGCATTTTTATGCCCAATTAGCGCTTATCAGTCGTGGGAGTACTTAACCTGATCACTGAAATTTAAATGATTTATTGATTGCTTGTTGAATGACAGTTACTTAGACCTATAAACTATAAAATGAATCATTGTGATTTAAAAAAGATAGTATTTCTTTGATCAAATAGAGGTGCGAGGTTCTAACTTTGTTTGCAAAAGATACTTTTTAAAAAAGGATGGATGATCTTTATAATAATGTGGCATATTTATAAATAATATTAGTTATTTTTAATCCCCAAAACTTTTGTCTTCCTTTCTCTCCCAACGTTTTATAACTAAAATGTGCTACGATTTTTTAATTATCGCCGAACGAATGTGTTTGTGGCCGTAAACATATGCATGCACTTGTGCACTTGTGATTCCGCCGGGGCGATTGAATGATTCACAAACATTCGGAAAACACTCAATTGCTGATAACAGACAATTAGGTAACCCGGAGAGTTAATCTCAAAATTGAATGGATAGATAAATAATTACAGAACTCGTTTTTATGGTTGTCATAAATGAAGGGGAGCGATGTTATCATGCTTCTTATTATTTATTATTTCCTAAACTTTGTTTGGATGTGACGTTGCATTGGGGGTTTGGTGTGAAAATGAATAAACCATGTGGATGCGGGGGACCCCAGCTATTTATATAGATTTTTGAGGTTGGGATTAACCCACCCGCCTGACCATTACTCATCCAGTTCACGTCTCCAATTTGTGATTCTAGTTAGCGACGCGGAGCTCCGACGCCTGAAAGATGCCTTCAAGAAGTCAGCGGGCGTGGGACGGCAGTTCCTCAGCCGGAATGCCTTTCAGCAGGATGTACTCTGCGAGGGAGTGCCGCCGAAGATCACGGACATGCTGTATGCAGCCTGTGGCGGAACGCAGCGTGGAATATCCTTCAAGGATCTGCTCTGCGGCTTGGTTCTGATCACGAGAGGCACTCAGGAGGAGAAAACCAAGTGAGTGCTTAATAGAACTCCATAAAATGATTAAAAAACTAAACTAAAAAACTAACCTTTTCTTTTTAACAGATTTCTGTGGAACCTTTACTGTAATGATGCCGGCACCTACATCATCAAAACGGACTACGTCCGCAATGTGAACCTGGCTCCATTCGAGAGCGTCTCCCTGTTCGCCCAGAGCGAACGCGTCAATTTCGAGCAGTTCCAGGACTGGATCGTTAAGCACCGCAATGCCACGGTTCTGTCCAAATGGCTGCTGGCGGACAACTGTGTCAGTCTCACTTCGGAGCTGGAGACCCCCACGTTTTATCAGAGCTTGGCTGGCGTTACGCATCTGGAGGAGAAGGTAGTGTGAATCTCCTACTTTATCAAGCCAGATATAGGAACATTTTATTGGAAAGTTTAATACTAACTTTCTTAATTTTATTACAGGACATTGGTGACCTGGAAAAGGAGTTCTGGCGCCTCAAAAACACCTCACAAAACGGCCAAATCGATCTGCAGTTCCTCGGTCCCCTAATCAGCCCACCAATACCAAAAAATGCACTGGCAGGTCTCTTCAATGCTTTCGATGAGAACCGTGATGGACACATCGACTTCAAGGAGCTGTGCTGCGGCGTAAGTGCTGCTTGCCGAGGACCTGGAGTGGAAAGGACACGGTGTAAGACTAAAGTAATTTTAGACATATGTAAGACATATTTTAAGAAAACTCTGCCCTTTAAGTTTGTTTCAAGATCTTTGATGTGGATAGGGACGGAGTTTTGAGCCACGAGGAGACACTACAAATGGTGAACGTTCTGCTGCTGGTGGCCAAGGAGAACCGTGAGGCCGAGCACTATCGGGAGCTAACCATGCAGCATGTAATCAGTGATCTGCTAGAGTTTGGACAACGCAGGAGTCCAGACGGCACGCCCAGCAAACTAACTCGGGATAATGTATCGCTCACCGCCGAGGACTTCATGCTCTGGAATGTACAATGCGATATGCGGCTAATGCAGCCTCTCCTGGACCTGATCTTCGAGCTTTGTCACATAGTCTTTGGGCTGTGGCCGCAGTGCAAGCACATGGAGAACGATATTGTCCGGGGATGGCTGCGCCGAGAGGAGCAACGACCATATAGAGTGGGCCAGTTCTGGTATCTGATTGCCCACGACTGGTGGTTGGGATGGATGCAGTATACCCAGCACACGGCCCACACCTGCGACTATTGCAAGCGCACTGCAAGCCAGAAAACCGCCGTGGACGAGGCACTCGTGTGCGATGAAAGCTTTAACACTAATAGCCTGGAGCAGCACGACAGCTACTCGTTGGGTTCTGGCACAGGCTCAGCCTCTGGCTCCAATTCAGCCAGCAGTGGCATCTCCGCGGGCCGACACTGTGGACCCACGAGGCCAGGACCCATCGACAACAGCAACCTGATCACCGTGAATCCGTACAGAAATGTTCGCACCCTCACAGGCGAAGGAGGCCACCTGAAGCGGGACACACCCCTGGTGCAGAATCACGACTTTGAGCTGGTGCCCAAGTCGCTGTGGAAAGCTTTAAATCGGTGGTATGGCGACAATCTGCCACTACCCCGGCAGGTCATACAACCACCAAACTCTGATGTGGATCTGGAGCTGTACCCGCTGAACCTGCGAATCCTGCTGCATCAGGCCCAGCCCTCCCAAACCGGAGCTGGCGGAGGCTCCCAGCTGGGGAGCTGGGGTTCCACGGTGAGCGGTGGTTATGGAGTTCTTGCCTCTGGTGGCGGATATGCGGCCATCGCCGCAAGCAGCGTACTTCAGCCGCCCAAGCGATACCTAGCCTACACGGCCGCATTCAGCCGCCTGGCAACGATTCGGCAGGTCGGTGACTTCCTCTGCGAGCAACTGCGTCTGAAATCCGAAGACATTCGGCTGTGGCACGTGCCGTACCCCGACACTGGAGCCATATTGCTGGAGGAGGATGCCATGTGCCTAAAGGAGCTGCTGATACGCGACAACGACCAGCTCCTCCTAGAGATCCGCAACAAGGACCTCACCTGGCCGGAAGAGCTTGGCTCTTTGGCCACGGCTCAGAGTGGTCAGGGAGCCGGAACACCGGGCGATCGTCGTCGCCTCACCCGCAGCTCCATTATGTCCGTACATGCGCCTGGCGCTACCGGACTCCACAATCTGGGCAACACCTGCTTCATGAACGCCGCCCTACAGGTTCTGTTCAACACCCAGCCCCTGGCCCAATACTTTCAGCGCGAGATGCATCGCTTTGAGCTAAATGCCACCAACAAGCTGGGAACGAGGGGCCAGTTGGCCATGCGCTATGGGGAGCTGCTCAAGGAAGTCTGGACCGCAACGACGCGCTCGGTGGCTCCGTTGAAGCTGCGCTTCTGCGTCAACAAGCATGCCCCCCAGTTCGCAGGCGGTGGCCAGCACGATTCGCAGGAACTGCTCGAGTGGCTGCTGGATGCCCTGCATGAAGACCTCAACCGCGTAACAGAGAAGCCGTACAGCGAGCTGAAGGACTCGAACGGTCGGCCCGATAAGATCGTCGCCGCCGAGGCTTGGTCGCAGCATCACGCCCGCAACCAATCGATCATTATAGACCTCTTTTATGGTCAACTGAAGTCAAAGGTCAGCTGCCTGGGTTGTGGATACGAATCAGTGAGATTTGATCCATTCAGTCTGCTCAGCTTGCCACTGCCCGTGGAGAACTATGTCTACCTAGAGGTCTTGGGTGAGTAGGTCATTTTCCTAGTCTTTAATTACTATCTAATCTATCCTATCCTTCTAGTTATCCTTCTGGATGGCAGTGTACCCATTAAATATGGCCTTCGTCTCAACTCGGAGTGCAAGTACGCGGATCTGAAACACAAACTTGCCACCCTTTGTAACCTCCAACCCAGCCTGATGCTCGTGTGTGAGCTTTGGAACTCCCAGATACGCCAGGTTCTGGCCGACGAGGAGAAGCTGCGCACCCAGAGTGCCAAAGATCTGTACATCTACCAGCTACCGGAACAAAACAATGTGCGAACGCGCTCCAACTCGGTGCTCAGCATGCACATCGAACAGGGACTCAAGGATATCCAACGCAGTTCCGGTAAGGCAATAGCTTATTATGAATTTCAAGGATTAAACTTGATTCCCATTGGCAGCCCTTATTACTGCCCAAGATTCGCTGTCGTCCTTGAGTACTCTGCAAACCTCCAGCCAACGTGCCTCGTCTCGTGTCCTTTGCAATGGCCATGTTGCAGGACTAGACATGGAGCCGGAGGCTGAGGCAGAGTCTAGGTACAACAGCAGCAGTAACAACATTTTCAGCGGAAACGGAAGCGGCGACAACCAGGTGCACGAACTTCTGCCAGATGAGGCCGGAAAGGTAAGCCGGTGCTTTGGAAAGAGAGAGTGCATGCCCCACAGCCTATTTTGCTTCAAGGTATGGCTTCTATACTATATTAACATACACGTATTTAATATCATAGATTTATGCCCAGTCACTGGGTCGATCGATTCTTAAATTGAGAACTTCCTTTGCCATAGGATAGAGCTCGTCCCTAGCAGCGAACACAGCTCGTGTCTCCGTGTCATGGTCGTCGCAATAGCGAATCCCCAGATCAGAATCCGAATCAGAATCCGTTCAAGAATCCGCCTCCGTCTGCTTTTCTTGAGTGTAATCTAAAGATATATTAAATACCGAATATGTTAAGTGAACAGTTGCCGTCTGCCGTCTGCTGGCTGCGTGGTTTGTGGGCTTCCCTCTTAACTCTACTCAACTACTAGCATACTCTGTATATTCTCCCTATACTCTTCGTATCCGCACACTGATTTACCCAATCGATCTAAATTATTTGTATCCTATTTTATATATACGTATATCCTTCTGTACTAATCACATTTAATTTGTTGCCGGCCTTTCTATAACTTTTGTAAATTATTTGCTTCAACAAAATCAAACCGAATCACCTATTGCTATCCTTTCTGGAATCTTTGTTGATCTTTAGTATGTCGTGTTGTTGGTTAGAGGATTGGAAGTTTTATAAACATAATATATAGCTTTACAGTTTGCTTTAAGTTTTTAGTAATTTAGCTTTGTTGGAAGCTCTTAGACTTTCATTAAAATTAAATAGTATTGTTTGTAGTAAGTTTTCTTGAATTTAGGATGATTTGACTTAAATTAGCTAGTTAATAATTCAAATAAATACTTTATTGTTTCAATTGTTTGAAATTTATATTAAAAACCTTTATAAAAACTTTTAGACCTCGCTTTCAAGTTAAAAATATTTTCAAAAACTAAGTTCATGATTTTTAATTGCCACCTTTTCACTCACCACCGATTTCACAGAATAACCAAAGTAAAACAAAGCTAATTTTTAATCACAAGCAATAATTTATAAATATTTAATTTAGCATTAAAGTTGAGCGTTTATCGTTTAGAGGTATTGTGTACATTATCGAGTAGATTGATCCTTGGTTAATTGAGTTCCCAAAGCTTTAGCACACACACACTCATTGAGTCATAGACACCACCCATCCAATCGCACACCGACTCTCTATTTATCCCCAAACTCTCTAATACGAAATCCTGGCACAGGAGTCGCTCACATTGAGCTCCAGTCCCGAGAACCATTTCATCCACGGAGCGGCGGCTCAGCAGAAGCGTGTCTCCTCCGCCAAGCTGCTGCACACGGAGAGCAACACCAGCTCCATGTCCTACACGAATCCCTCGGGAGAGAACTCCATGGAGAGCTCGTTGACGGAGCCCAATCCGCTGGCAGAGCTGACGGGTGGAGCCCACGTAAGCGGAAGTGGCAGTGAAGACTCGTCTAGCTCCTGCCGAACATCGCCCAACGAATCCAGTGGCCTGAGCACAGCTCACACGCTGGGCGCCAGCCTCGATGTGGACGAGCAGGCGGAAGAGGGAAACGAAGAGGAGCCGGATCAGCAAATAACCACCTCGCAGCCGGAGACCAGCAGCGGCGTCTACTCCCGACGCTCCTCGCAGCCGCACAAGGCCGGCAAGTATCTGGTAGCCGTGCATCGGAAGATCACCCGCCACGACAGCTACTTCCTGTCCTACCACAAAACCCGGCCCAGCCTGTTTGGAGTGCCTCTGCTCATCCCGAACAGCGAGGGCGGCACCCACAAGGATCTGTATTGTGCCGTGTGGCTGCAAGTGAGCAGGTTACTCAGTCCTTTGCCGGCTACAACGGATCAGGCGAACCATGCCGCCGATTGGTGAGACCCAAGACCCTTTTTTAATTCAAAAATGTTTAATACTTTAATCTTCTTGCAGCGACGACAGTCTGGGCTATGATTTTCCCTTTACGCTGCGAGCAGTTAAGGCGGACGGACTCACCTGTGCCATCTGCCCCTGGTCGAGTTTCTGTCGGGGCTGCGAGATTCGTTGCAACAACGACTTTGTGCTCCAGGGAGCTCTGCCACCGATTAATGCTGCATCCAGTAAGTCTTTCCGAGCAGAGTCTTTTAAGAAAAATACTAATCTTCACTTTCTAGGCAACACCACTACACCAAAAATGAATGCTAAATTCCCATCGTTACCAAACTTGGAGGTCAAGAGGACGCCAGAGTACACCGCCTCGTTATCGTATACACCGACAACGAAATATTTCGAAGACTTTACCATTGCCATTGATTGGGATCCGACCGCCCTGCATTTGCGCTACCAAAGTACCTTGGAGCGGGTAAGATACTTAATCCCAACACTACTTTCTTATGGTAGACTAACCACATGTATTGTAGCTGTGGGTGGACCATGAAACCATTGCCATAAGCCGACGGGAGCAAGTGGAGCCCGTTGACCTAAACCATTGCCTGCGCGCCTTTACCTCCGAAGAGAAGCTGGAGCAGTGGTACCACTGCAGCCACTGCAAGGGCAAGAAACCCGCCACCAAGAAGCTGCAGATCTGGAAATTGCCTCCGATATTGGTTTGTCCATAAAACTATTAATCAAAAACTATATCTTACATTATTTCCATTGTAGATTGTTCATCTGAAAAGGTTCAACTGCGTCAACGGCAAGTGGGTCAAGTCCCAGAAGGTGGTGCACTTCCCCTTTGACGATTTCGATCCTACTCCATATTTGGCATCCGTGCCACAAGAGACGATACTGCGTCACAAAGAATTGTTGGAAATAAAGAAGGACAATGACTTTACGATGGCCAGCAGCGAAGTGGTTAGCGAGCTGGATGAGATCGATGGGGCTAGCAATCAGGACATCGAAGAGAAGGAGGCAAAGCCGACCACCTCATCTCCAGTTGCCACAGCCAATATTCTGCGACAGAACAGAAGCATCAATACTGTTCGAAGGCAACGCCTCATTTCCACAAGTCTCACCAAGACGCCCATAGTGGATGGGGAGTTCGAGGACTACCACCAGCACAGGCTTAAGGAGGAGGTGGACGAGTTTGATCCAAAATACAGACTCTATGCTGTAGTGGTGAGTATTCTCTCTTAAGAAACTAAAATTCAGATTCTAAATCTCAATATTCTAGTCCCACTCTGGCATGTTGAATGGCGGTCACTACATTTCCTACGCATCGAATTCAAGTGGTTCCTGGTACTGCTACAACGACAGTTCCTGTCGTGAAATATCCCAGAAGCCAATGATAGATCCGAGTGCTGCCTATCTGCTGTTCTACGAGCGCAAGGGCCTGGACTATGAACCCTACCTGCCCAATATCGAGGGCCGCGTATTACCACATGCCACTGGACTCCCGCTGGAAGTGGACGAGACCGAGGGAGAGCTGAAGAAGCTGTGCACGATATCCTAACTGAAGTCCACTCTCCGACCCCGATCTTTCTGGTCATGGCTATGAGGGATTCTATTATTATTGTACCCGTTCTATGATAGTGTTTTGTGTTTTGTTTTGCACCGCGTCGTATGTTTTGTTATTTACTATTTTAAGCTTATTTGGATTTGCGCAGCTTTAGTTGCTTAGCCCTAATTAGTTACTAAGTCTATCTCTACACGCTTTTGAAGCCTTTCGGGTTCAATGCGTGTACTATACTACAAATTTGTGTAACATATTCAAGTTTTAGCTTTTAAGTTATGCGTTTACCTGGTCAATGGCCAATTAGTTATGTTTGTTTAGCTCAACGATCCCTTTCACCATTCTTATTGTTGGTTTTTGTTTTTTTTTTCTCGTTCTCGTTCTCGTTGTATATAATTTTAAAATTTTGTATTTGTATTAGGCCCGAAGTGTGTGCCAGATTGTAATTATTTATGCCAGACCAGACGTTTGGTTATTCCATTTACTTTGTAATGTCTAACTTGTAATGTGTAATTGGTACTATTGTAAATAGCAAATGAAAGGCGAAATGTTGTCGACTCTTTGATATTAAAAATTTATCAGCAATATCAAGATGTTACGAATTTCACATCCCAAGAACTCGCAGACTATTGTTGCTCTACTCATACGTATTTAAATGTATTGATTGATTCATTGATTGATCGATTGATTGATTGGCTTTGTGTAACGCGCCGAGCAGATTCGGTTCGAAATTAGTATTGCGCTTATCAGATATGACTTCAATATATCTAATGATTATGTATTTGATATTTACAAATTATATATATACACCCACAGATATGTATACATACAGAACTTAATAATTTATATTAATATACATGAACATGATGATATATTCGAAACGGAAAGCTATGAATAAAACAACTTTTATCGCTTAAACTGAATCGTTTTTTATTTAACCATAAAGATCTGCGATGAAATAATGGTGGAATTGGCCATGTCTTAAAAATAACTTAATACCAATAACAAAAATTATGAATATAAACTAATATTTTGTCGTAAAGCCTTTATTGGCTATAACAGCTTCACACCTACGTGGCATGGAGTCCACCAAGTCCTGGCAACCAAGTCCTGAGGGGAATCTGGGCCCACGCGTCCTGTACAAATTGCCAAAGCTGCAGCTTTGAAGTCGTGTATTTCTTTGCCACATATCCCTTGCTAAGCTAAGAGCTGGGTGGTACTCAGTGTTTGGGGGTCGTCGGACGTACTGTCTGGAGCCTGTCCCAACAAATGAGACCAGTTTGGGTTCATCTATCCAAAGAATATTGCGCCATTTCGTCACTGGCCAGTTCAAATGGCTTTTGGCAAACTCCAATCGAGCTTGGATATCGACCTTTTACCAAGTAATGGCACCTTTTGGGGGCTACTCGCATTTAAATTTTCATTTACTAATCGACGGCGAATGGTGACGTTGCTGATCTACAACTTCAGCTCCTTTTTTACATCCCTAGAAGAAGCAAAAGGATTCGCTTTGGTGAACCGCACTTTTCTTCGGCCTTCAATATCGGTGGTTTTTATCAATATTTCTTTCAATATCGGTGATACCATTTTGGCAAAACAATTTACCATATCTTGGATTTTTTATAGGGTTTTTCCAGCTTTCTAAGCTGAACTATCAAATTCCTCTCTTTCTTTGAACAGTGGTGTCCTTTTCCCACTAAAATCAACAATCAACATTTGCATGGTTAATGTGTATTTTCATTCAAATTATATAAATAAACTTAAGCAAACTTACTTTTCACAAAATTTTTAATTTTTTCGTCGCTTTTTAGGGATCAAAAAGAAAAACTGCTATTTTTATGAACAGCCAAGAACTTGTGATTTTGAAAAAAAAAACCCAAAAAACGGAAATAAAAGGCCAAACTTACGAAATTGTTATACTTTTCCCATCTCTAAGTCCCATTTTACAAAAATAATGATCAAGCGATCAACTAACGAAAAGGAAAACGCCAAGTCTTGATGCCTACCAAAATTAAATTAATTTCATTTAAATAATAATAGGTAATTATTGTACTTACCGTTCGCAAATAAACAATTTGCAATTTTCCTTCGATATTGGAAAAGCTATCGAAAATATTTTCCAATTCTTCATGTTATTTGGAGCATTCTGTAAAAAATTGTATATTAATTAGTATATATGTACATATATAAATTTATATACTTACAATTGACATTTTTTAAATGGAATTCGTCGAAAATTAAAAAGAATGGTTCGTCGACTATAATAAAATTTAGGTTACTTTCAATAATGGCGGATCCATTTTCAAGAGTAGGTTTTCGCTTAAATAACCATTCCAGAAATTCTTCTGAAAGGTTTTCTTTAATAATAATTTCTTTAATAATAATTTCCAAAGATCTCACGCACTGCATGTTGATCAGGAAAATGTTCACTATGCAATTTTCTGGCAAATGGTGGTAGGGGTGTAGGTGGTCCCTATTTGGGACGCTTATTATGGGCCGCCATACTCATTAAAGGGTTGCCAATGTATGAACTAACCATAAAAAATTGACAATCACAAATTTCGATGAAAAGGATTCATGATTTATCATCACTAATTTTTAGTTGAGAAAAAAATTGCTTTGAGCAACAGTAAGAAGCCATTAAAAAATTAAAAAAAATCAAATAAAGATGTCTTTCTATAATTATAATTATAATTATAATTGCACAGTAAGTACTTAAGTATTTAATACCCTTGCTGAGGTATTATAATTTAGATCAAAAGTGCATCCTATAAAGCATAGATGGGAGTCGCGCGGTCAGCGAGCCGACGCTGCGGTCCCGTTAGCAACAACAAGAACATACATATTAAGGCTGCGCACAACGCGACGACAACCATCGTGACGGTTGTGGTTCTGGCCGAGCTGCGGCTCCGAACCTTAGACTTCGTGCCCATCTATGCTATAAAGTATATACATATACATATATTCTTGATCAGGATCACTCCTGAGTTTGTATGAGCATGTTCGTCTGTCTATCTGTTTCTACGCAATCTATTCCACACCCTTCTTTCCTTTGCACGCAGATTCATCAAACAATATTTACAACGATGACGCAGCCAACGACGCAGCCGCAGCAGCCGCAGGTTCCTCTAGTCCAAATTATTGTGGAACCACCTGCTCAATTAGCTCACTACTCGCCGCCTCCCGTGGTGACCACCATTTCTACTCAAGTTCCACAGGCCGGACTGATACTTGCACCAAAGCTGAAGCGACCACGTCTGTCCGAAGATAGCAACTTCAATGGTTCCTCAACGATGGACACGCCTCTAATGCCGGAGGATGACGACTACCACTATTTGATGAGCCTGCATCCGCACATGAAGCAGCTGACGTCAGCCCAGAAACTACGCATCCGCGGCAAGATACAAAACCTCATCTTCAAGGAGCTCGACAAGAACGATCTCGAGGAGTCCAAGTAGTGCAACACCTCGAATACCTCTAGAATAAGCCGAAGACTCTACATACTTCCTGTAGCACAGTAGACCGTAGGGCATGTGCTTAGTTTTGTCCATGCCATGCTGCTTGATTGATTTCTAGTTGAGCGCCACTCCAAGGAAAGCTGGTAGTTGGCCACTTACGCCTAAGCATAAATACCTTAATAATAAAAGTATTTACTTTAAAGATGGGTCAAGACATATGTACCATAATGATGGATACCTTAAAGATGGGGCTTCCCCTAATGTGATGGCTATATCTTTCCCAATTCTCATCCGATTTTCAAGAAGAGTACCTTGAACGGTTTCTGGATCGATTCTCCACCATTTTGCATCAAAATCCTAAGGCGAAATATTTTTTCCATTTTTTGTCCATTTTTTGTGATGGGATTCCTTGAAAATGGGGTTTCCCCTATAGGGTCCACAGTGATGGCTATATCTTCCCCAATTCTCATCCGATTTTCAAGAGGAGTACCTTAAACGATCTCTAGATCGATTCCAAACAATTCTGCATCCTGCATTCCCGAATTAAGAATTCCCGGTAGCATAATTGTCAATACAAACGGGCCAACAAAATTTTGATTCCATTTTTGGATTTTGATTTTGGCCAAAGATTGGATCAAATTTTTATTATCTGGTTGATGCTCATCACAGAGGAATAGATCTCTGATCCTTAAAAGGTATCCCGTTTTTCCATCGTTTCCCAATTACTTTAGATATTTAAATTAAAAACATCTAGTTCTATTTTAATTTTTGAAATGATAAATATTTTAAAACTCGGGCAATAATACTTTACAGATTTAGAAGCTTTCGACCTTTGAACTTTCCAACTTATCCCAGCTTATCATTCAACTTGAAGTTGCCAATTGAAATCTGAAACATTTTCCGTTGTTTTCTTCCGAAAGAAGTCATGACCTCTGACCTCTTACTCCAAAGAGCCCCCCAATAACACTCTGAACACTTTGTTTGCAATGGAATTCAATACATTTATATATTGTATCTAGATGTTGTAATCACATAAGTAGGTAAGTAAATAAGAATTATTTTAGGTGTCTGTTAATTGGCCGCCAGATCCCTGTCCCAGATCCTTGTTCTGGCATGGATTGGAAGCAAGGACCTGCCGTTCGCCAAGCGTCATATGGGTTGAAAGTTGTTAGTTGTGGGAACGCGACATGGAGGTATGGGTCTCTATCGGGGATTTCATTGCAAATGATTATTACGATAAATATAAGAGAGTGTGCAGGTGTCTTCGTGTGAGAGTTGAAATTCTTAACTTGATTAAAAGTATATTTGCATGGAATACGAATGCGCTTAACATAGATATTGAGGATGGGCCTAGGCGCCGGCGTTATTCGATAGCTGGCCGGGCACCGAGAACTGTGGCCGGAAGCTGGCAAAGTTGCCAGCCGGTCCGCCGGTGAATGCGGGCAGTGTCGTGCCCTGGAATCCAGCCGGGAATTGTGCCATTAATTGAGCTGCAGAATAAAAATTTCAAAAGTTAATACCCATTTCAGACAAAAACCCAAGATTGAAACTCACCTGCATTGGAGGCATTGCCGGCGGTGGCCGCCAAGCGAGAGAGAATCGAACGCTCCGACATTTGGAGGCGCTGGGCCACGGGCGGGATGCGGGCGAGAGTGGCCGGTAGCCGGGAGACGTCGCTCTTCATGTCCGAGAGCAGCTCCTCGAGCTGGTTGAGCACCTTGTGGAGCACGGCGTTGGCTGGCTTGTTGCCCGCCAGGGACTCCTTGCTGAGATGTTGGTGCGACTCCGCGAGACACTCCACCTCGGCGAACCGGGCGTTCAGCGACATGGCTGGGTGACTTGGGTCCTGGGCGAGATTCAAGTAGGCCGCCCGCCGCAGCTGCTCCTCGATGACCAGGGCCTGCTCCAAGAGCTTGAACCGGCGGGCGAGGAATTTGTTCTTGATCTCCAGGAAGTTACCCTTGCCCACGTCCATCTTGAAGGGCTCGTTGATGATGGCGAAGCGGATGTCGTTCTGGATGTCCTGCCAGCGCCCGTATCCGTGGGTCACGATGCCGGCCAGAAGCCAGTAGTCGTGGCGCCGGTGCCAGATCTCGTACTCGCGTCCGGGCACCGCAGCCTTCTCCTCGTTCAGCCACAGGGTATGGAGCTCGGTGAAGCCGCCGTCGGCGATGTTGAACATGAACTTGCGCTTCAGCACCTCGAGACTGTCCTCCACTCCCTTGCCGGCCGCTCCGGTAGTGCCAGCAGCAGCTGCGGCGGCAGCGGCAGCCGCCTTGTGATCCTTGGGCGAGGTGGCGTTGGGCTTCTCCAGCTCCCCGTCCTCCTTGACAATCATGACGTCGTCGTCGTCATCGTCGATAGGGATGGGCTTCTTGTCCTCGAGCTTTTCCTTCTCCTTCTCCTTTTCCTTGTCGTCCTCCTCGGTCTTGGGCTCGTCCTTGAGTTCGGTGTCCTTGG